ATCCCCTACGGGTTGCTCGTTTGGGCTACTGGTAATGCCCTCCGCCCTATTGTTCGCGACCTCATGAGCCAGCTTCCCGCTCAGAAGAACTCTCGTCGTGGTCTTGCTGTCAATGAATACCTTGTCGTGAACGGCACCGAGAACGTTTGGGCCGTTGGAGACTGCGCCATCACCAACTATGCTCCCACTGCCCAGGTCGCCAGTCAAGAGGGTGCTTTCCTTGCTCGTCTCTTCAACACCATGGCCAAGACAGACGCCATCGAGAAGGATCTCCAGAAGCTTTCCGAGGCCCAGTCCGCTGCCAAGGACGAGGAGAGCCGCAACCGCATCTTTGACGAAATTCGCGAGAACCAGCGACAACTGCGGAGAACCAAGCAAATTGGCCCCTTCCAGTACTCCCACCAGGGAAGTCTGGCTTACATCGGAAAGGAGCGTGCGGTTGCAGACATCAGCTGGCTGAGCGGCAACATTGCAAGTGGTGGAACTATGACCTACCTCTTCTGGCGTAGCGCTTATCTGAGCATGTGCTTCAGCAGTAAGTATCCTCTGCTTTTTTCAAACACATCGGATCGAGCATTGAACTAACACGTCATTTTCATCTAGCCCGGAACCGTGTCCTGGTAACTGTTGACTGGATCAAGGCCAGACTGTTTGGCCGTGACGTGTCTCGCGAGTAAACCACCCTTGCTGCTTCAGTGTGAGGTGGATGCTAGGAACCGTGTACAACAACAATAGACATGCCCATACCCTATGATATTCAAAGCGCAACACATTTCCTTCTGAACTGTTACCCCACCTCTCTTCTGCTCTACCTAATGCCATCTCCACGACTCCTCCTTTCCGCGAACCGAGCTTCCTGCGCGGTCTTGTCTTGATATCCCGCTCCTAACCATAATCCTTGTTCTCGTCATCAAGCCTTCTGATGTTTTGTGCCATTAAGGCACACATCCCAAAAATCGCCGTCGAGAATTCGGAATTTAACCGCTCCTTTTTCTCGGGTTTTCGTTTTTTTTTACATATCTTACTTTCTTCCCTGTGTACGATTGGATAGACTACGAGGTGTCGGGTTTCGCGCATAGACTTGTTTTTTTTTTTCTGTTCTTCTGTTTCCCTTTGTTTATGATAGTTTGGTGTCGTCCAAATTAATAACGTATTTCCTTTCTGTTTTAATATTAACTACCACTACTTGGTACTTAGCGCTTTAATATCTTCTATTCTTGTACTGTATTTTTTTAACTACTTAATTTGTATATGTAGTAGCTGGTTAGCATCAATAATCACCGCCACCTCACAATCAAATCTTTTCTGATATCGAATCATTATACATGTTACCGATTAGGCCCGCGTTTCGGCTTCGATTGTCCGAAATGCCTCGGACCATCCCAGTTTGTGACTGACGCATTTCGGAATCATCACCGATTTTGCAAGCAAACCGGACGGACTAAGGTAAGGTATGGATTACGATTCCCGGGCAAGACGGAATACGAATTGCGGCTCTTAGGAATGGAAGTACGGAGGACTAGAACTAGTTATGGCAAATTTTCCCCTTCATTTCAAAATCTATGTGGAGTAAGTACATACTGTATAAACGACATAAAGCTGAGGTGGGGGATTGCACATGTGGAGAAGAGAGAAACACGCTGTAATTAACGCCATCCCGGGATTATTGGGGTAAGTATCCGTAAGCGACTATCAACAAACAGATGGGGATCTTCTCAATTATGGTGTACAGANGGGGTGCAAATCTGGGTTTTCGGGTGTCGAGAGAAGGTGTATGTTGGGTAGATATTGCTAACAATTCATTGATGTGAATGGGATATTAATATAAGGGTTTGGGTACGATCAACCATTAGAAGATATTCCAACCGCGATTCCTTTGGTCCTTCCCTGGTAACGGACGTTCGGAACTCCTTAGCTTGCCGCGGCCATCAAGCTGCCGGATGCTCTCGATTTTCTGGAGTGCCAGTTCGAGGAGTTCCTTCTTTTTGATGACGTCGAGGTGTCTTCGAATGCGAGGATCCTCGCGCGCGAACCGCTCTACCTCTGCGTCTGAGAGGTGGCGGCCTAGTCGCACGTCTAGCTCGCGCGGGAAGTTGTAGTAGAATTCTGAGAGGAGCTCGACGTTTAGGAAGAGCACGGCGGTTGATGTGAGCTTGTCGGCTACGACGTCCAGGAAAACTTCAGGGCAGTAGTATTTGTTCTTCTGGGATGCGCATTGCTTCGAGCGGACGGCCATCAGTCTCATTTTGATGATGTCGGCGCGGTCACGGAGGAAGGCGCCCTCTCGGCCTGCAATCAAGTTAGTCAAATATAAACCCGCCAATGGGTATGTGAGTGCGAACGAACCTCGATCCAGAAGGGATGAGCTGAAGCCTCCGGCACCAGCGGAGCCATCTCCTTCAAGAACGACTTCACCTTTCCTGACTTTATCGATGAACGACATGACATCCCGGAGTTTCCTCTTCCCAACAAAGTCTTCAACCCGCTTCAGTGCAGTCTCGCAGGCTTTCAGCTCCTCTCTCAAAGTTTTACTGACACTTTCTCGGCCCTTGAACCATTCCGGATCTTCGACTTCAATCTCGAACTTGTATGGTTTGATACAGTTCTCAACTTGGTCGCTGGTGCTGAAGAACCGGTCATTGAGAATACTCGTGCACGCATCGCCGATCTGCTTTTGAGCGTAAGGGTGAGCGGCGAAAGTAGAGCCGGTCAATAGCCGCTCAACGTGGCCTTGGATAGCATTTGCCACAACGGTTGTAGCCAATCGACCAATGCCGAGTTTCGTCAGAGACGAGGTCGAAGCATCGAGCTTACGGTGCCAGTATAGCGACTCAGGGTCGGCCTTGGGAAGGTCGCTGAGCGGATCCAGCTCGGCCATCGGCGGTGACAGGTCGTCAATGGGCCGGTTCCAATACCTCTGTGCGAGAATGTCCATCACGCGCTGATCCAGTTCAGCCTTCAGCATTTCCCGGACCTGAGGGCGGCCAAAGCTCTCAGCAAAAGCTTTGAATGAGTGCTTGAAGCCATCAAGACTTTCGGCAAGATATGATTCTGCGCTAAGCGGTCGATCATTATACTGGACTTTGAACTCATATGTTGCTTCCTCCAGCTCCTGACTAATGGCGTCCCTAGTACCTGCTAGGCTTGATGCCATCGTTTGTTCAAGAACGTGCATGAGCTTCTTTTGTAGGGTAGACACGCCGACAGAAACGCCAGTCTCAGCGCCGAATTCAGTTGGATGTGCTGAGAAGTATGCGTGCTCGTTTCGAAGGATGGCGCTCGTGATATTCCCGCTTCCCCGGGAAAACAGGGCAGTTGTTTGCGGGATCCGGGAAACAACACCAACGTACCCAAGGCGCAGAGGATATTTCTTATCCGAGAGGATGCTGAGGCCTCGTTCTGGGTCGACGAGGTCCATCTTTGTGATTACACCAATCGTTCTTTCGCCCCTGGGGTCGACCCGGCGACTTGCCCGTAAAGCAGTCGAATTGGCCAAATCGACGTCTGCCGCCGAGATGGCGAGGATGACGTTCGGAGTTTGAATATACTTGTCACAGAGATCGGCTATCTTTTGCTTCAACTCCGGTGGTTGATCGTGCCCCGCCACCTGGATGTATCCGGGAAGATCAATAAGAGATAGGTCAGGAACATTGGGCGAGTATATTTGGAGCTGGATCGGATCGTCCGAAACGCAATCCTTCTCGGGAACAGCCAGGTTCAGATCCGTCAATGTCCGTTGAATCTGCGAGAAATCGGTAATCTTTCCAAGCCCGAGGGCGGGGAATTCTCCATATTCCGCTTGTGCATTCGGTGTGTTGACAAGGGTAAGTTCAATGGGACGTCGAGTGACCATATTTGAGCCCTTGGGAAGGAACTCATGGCCAACTATAGCCTCAAGAACAGAGCTCTTCCCAGAAGACTGCGAGCCGATGACCACGATGGAGGGCAGGGTCAAGGTGCCAGACTGTCCGACTGTCTGGAGAATATTCCTGATTTCGATCATCTTCCGCGTAAGCAGCATCATTTGATCATTCTCCGCGTCCTTTCTAGCCGCATTCTCCTCGTCCTCCTGCTCATATCCAAAGACAGACCCAACAGCAGCACCCGTAGCAGCCGCACCCGCTCGGCTCTCTTTTGGCGATTGCCCACCGCCACCGCCGCCAGACGATCCATCACTCTGCGAATCCTGGTCGAAGCGTAGGATTTTCTGCAACCACTCTGGAGCCTCGATATCCTCCGTAGATTTCTGCCAACCCCGTTGTGTCTGGTCAACCACGCCCTGCAACCCCTGAAACAGCCCCGACGCAACATCACCCGCTGATTCCGCGCCACGTTTAAATGCGTCTATCGCATAATTCCCCGCCTCTATAAACATTACAAATGTTAGCTCACCACATCCTTCAAGTCACTGACTTCAATCACATACGCGTAGCTTGATACTGGAAATACGCCATCCCAGCTACCATGGCACCACCAAACATTGCAGGTATTCTCAAGAGCTTCATCGCAAGTTTCGGAAAAACACGGGCGAACGATATCGCCCGCACAGCAGGCACATTGTTGTGAATCGAATTCGCCCCGACAGGCCACGCCCGGCCGCGCAACGCTGCAGCCCCCTCAACTCGTAGAAGGCCACCGGTCCTTGCGCCGGCGTTATGGACATGGCGGGCCAGAAGACCCGTCCGCAAGAGCGGAACAAGACGATGGGAGAGGATCCTCCCGCTCATGGTTCTTGCAGACTCATACACGTCACGTAGGATAGGTCGGACAAACGGTTGTCATCTCCAGGCTTCCCGCCGCCGTTGTTGAGCAGATTGTTTGATTTAGCAGGCGATGAATAATAAGGAGAACGTCATTATTCTTGCCGACGATCGAGAACCAGAAGTTGGCCGGCGGCGGGCCGCGATCCCGTGACTTGCGCGAGTGGCCGCTTAGTCGACCGTAGCTTTGTGAAATGAGTCACGTGTGGGGTATGAACTGACGTGATTATTGTTGTTGGACAAAAAGCAATACAGGGGTAAATTTTTTTCTTGTTGCTAGAAATATTCTCTTGGATCATTAATCTCGCGGCTCTTTAATTGAGTGTCTTCTAAACCAGGTTGCTGTCTGGACTGAGGGTTCTTTGTTTGCAGTGACAGCTGATCGTGTGCCTTCACCGGTTGTGACCGCCGAATTGGATAACAGACCTCGAGCTGCTTGAGCATTTCTCTCCCCCGGCATTGTTTTGCGCTACTTATATATATCGAGTCTGTTACTATAGACATAAAGCAAATACCGCCAGAAGAATATGTGTCGTTTCTTAGTGAGTCATTCCAACCATCTATTCCCAGAACAGTGTCTAACATCTCCATCAGGTATACAAGGGCAGCCATGAGATCCGCCTCAGCAAGCTCATCACAGAGCCCAGCCATTCAATCTTAACACAGTCATATGACTCCCGTTTGAGACTTGTAAGCCTGCAGCCCAGCACCACCTTGACTGTCTCAACAATTGCGCCCCACCCCATGGCTTTCTGTGTCATCTCCTCTTTCTCGAGACACTCATTCTCCTCTTCTTTCCTATTAATATTCGAAAACAGGACAACCGCCGCCCCGTGAACGGCGACGGCTTCGGCGTAGGCTTCTACACCGACCCAAAACTCGGCCCAGAGCCGTGCATATTCACATCAACCCTTCCTGCATGGAACTGCGAGAACCTCGAGCGTCTCGCTACAAAGACATGCTCGGATCTCATCTTCGCGCACGTGCGCGCAACAACTGAAGGAACCCTCTCCGACACAAACTGCCACCCGTTCCAGCACAACACCCTCATGTGGATGCACAATGGCGGCATCGGCGGCTGGCACTACATCAAGCGCGCCCTCGCTGACTCACTAGCCGACAAGTGGTATCTCGGCGTGAAGGGCGGGACGGACAGCGAGTGGGCCTTTGCGCTGTATTTGGACCTCCTTGCGAAGGAAGGCGTTGATCCGAGTTGTGATCCTGGCCCTGAGGGATTCGGGCAAGCATTGCTGCGCCGGGTGATGGTGAAAACGATAGCGAAGATTAATGAGTTTATACGGGACATTCCGAACAGACATAATGTGCCAGAGGGGTTGGAGACGCGCAGTCTGTTGAATTTTGCGGTTACGGATGGCCATACCGTTGTTTGTACGCGGTATATTAGTAGCAAGACGGACGAGCCAGCGAGTTTGTATTTCTCGTCTGGGACGAAGTGGAAGGAGGGCAAGGTGAAAGGCCATTTTAAGATGGAGAGGCATGATAAGGGGGCCGATATTGTGTTGGTTGCCAGTGAACCGATTACATTTGAAAGACGTGAGCTACTATATTCCTCCTCCCCTCAAAAGAAGGTTCAAGCGTTTCATTGCATGATACTGACTAATTCTAGATAACTGGGTCTCTGTCCCAGCCAATTCAATCGTCACCATCCACAAGCAAACAGTCCTTCTGCATCCAATCCTGGACGAGTTCTACAGCGAAGACTTGAACCACGACCGTTCATCTTGTTACGCCGTTTCAAAGGGTCTTGTTAGCACAGCGCCAGGGACTACTGTGCAGCCGCAAGGTGCTGATGCAGTTGCCACACCTGACATAAGGGTTAGCGCCCCGGGGCTTGAGCCGGAGGCTAATGGGGGGATGCCGAAGAGTCAGCTCGAGGCAGCGAACCAGTGTGCGCTGTCGCATTAATAGACAGACTATATGTGCGTTTTGGCAGTATTGGCGGGAATATGGAGTAATGGGCGTTGGGGTTGGGATAATTAGCGCTTAAGGCTAGTTTGTTGAATCTCTTATTGTTATTATATAGGTTGGCATACGACTCATTGATGGCTAGGATTATAAAAATGCATTATTTCTAGGTCATGTATCGTCCCCCGTTATATTGGCATGCTTGAAGTACTTCATGCCTACCCACGCAATGATAACCCACACCCAAGACATGACCGCGGTTAATATAATGAGAGCAGGGTAATAACCAACAATGGGAAGGGTAGGATCATCCTCCAGCTCAGGGGGTGCATAAGGGGTCTCTCCGACATCCCAAGCCCAGCTCCAGACGCCAAAGCAGCTTCCCATCCCCACAACAAAAACCAACCAAGTAACTATCAAAATAATATACCCCCACCACTCTGTCTCGGAATAGTCCCACCCCATCGTCTCCTGGCTGCCAGTGATGTCAGCCGCATGCGTTGCGAGAGGTGATTTGGCGCGATGAGCAGCCCCATACCCTGAATCCGCCGGCAGTGCGTAATAAGAATCCGAACTCGACGCGGGAGTGGGAAGCCGTAAACCGGCAGCGCCACCAGTACCCGTCCTCGGAGGGAAAGAGACGATATCCTCATCATCGGTGGTAACATCTTCAGCGAGATCATTTTCCTTTGATTCGATGGGCTGAAGATGCGGCTGCACCGAAGTCGAAGCCTTCCGACCCCGTTGCGGCGCGTCCATCAGAGTCCAGGTAGAGGGAGTTTTACTCTCTCCTAGCCCCTCCATCCCTGGCGTTTGGCTAGTTATAAATCCATCACTCGGCGAGACCGGGTCGCCAAAACTTCGTATCCGATTGCGCGTAGGTATAGGTGGTGGCACCAGTTGTTGTTGCTGCTGTTGAACCTGATGCTGGTCGGCAACGTCCCCACGAGCAAAATCCACGGGCGGCCTGCTGCCCTTCTTGTCTCGATAATCAAACCGCGTGCCCAGTAAAGCCGTCTTCCTCAGAGACCCTCGCCTCCTGCGAGTCCTTCTATGTTGTAGCGCCGTCGACATGGCGGCCCTTCCCCCTCGCAACCCTGAACCGAGATCGTCGCGGTCGTCGTCTGCTTTGAGGTTGGAGCGTGCGCGGTCCGAAGGATTTTGGTTGGCTTGCATCATACGTAGAAAGGAGAGTCGTGAGAGCAATGAACCAGAGGAACTGCGCTTGTGTCCACTGCTTGCGCTTTCGGAGCGCGGTCGGCCTGGAAGCTGGTCGTGGTCCTCATTGTCGAGGGACAGTGCCGCGGCCTTCGAGTTGATTGCATCCTCCATTGACCGGGTGGCCTTAAGGCGGCTTCTGTGGGTCCATCCACATTTGATATTCGCCAGTAGTATAAGATGGCTCTTGGACTTGCGTGGAGCTTCGTCCTTCTTTTTTCTTTTCTTTTGGATCGTAAAGATGTCAGGGGCAGAATAGGAGGGAGGTCTGGAGGCGGTCACCTGTGGCTTCCCCGACTACGTAAAACAAGGGCGGACCAGCGGAGTGTCTATTGTTCCAACAACAACCATTTACTTCATATCTGCCATTCTTTGGGAATATTATGGTAAAATATGTAGATGGAATATCTCACAAGACCAAACGAGATAGAGTAATCTAGAGTGGTTGGGTGTATACTCCAGAGACATAAGGAATATCATAGAAGATCTAAACGTTTATCATGAAGTAAAAGATGCAACAAGAGAAGAAATCTTGAATCGCTAGTTAAGAAGATAGAAATCCCAGGAAAAGAAAAAGAGAGCGCTACCACACAGGAGTCCCGGAGTGACAAGAGAAATAACAGGTCTTTCCAAGACCACCTGTACATACGAAAGAAATAATACGATACATATTTGAAAGACAATTTGTTCAGATACAGGGGTCCAAAATGGGCTCAGCAATGGTGTGGAACAGAAGGAAGTACTTTTAGTTTATTCCGCAGGACGCTTGAATCCGAAGCCCAAGAAGCTTAGCTCTGATCGAAGTAGTGCAGAATCGTTCAGTTCAAGGAAAGAGCAGAGGAAATTTGGCTCAACAATGTGGACTTGGGGTATTGGTGCACGAGAACACACAAATTTCATATTTCAGAAAACAAGACAAATCGAGAATGGGATATGGCGCTCGGAGATCCAGTTGGCAATCATCAAGAAGCACAAGCACAGATAGCAGAAACGGTCAACTCAAGATATGGCAGTTGTCGAAAAGAGAGGAAAAAAAAGATGGCAATTAGAAAGTGAGCGGAGAAGAGAAAAGGAATAAAAAAGATGTCGCTCCCACGTTATGAAGATGTGCTAGCGACACGACTTGATTCCAAAGGCTGGTGGATATGCGATAGAGTTACGCTTGGTAACCGCCAAAGCCATTTCCGAAGTTGGGGTTGTTCGGCTGGTTCCAGCCAGCGTTGGGCGTGGCTTGTCCACGACCATAGCCGGCATTGCCTGGGACCTGGCCGAAGCCCTGCTGAACCATTTGTGGCTGCTCCCAGCCCCTTCCAGCTCCTGCTGGACCTATCGTGACGGTTAGTCGTGGGTCTAAATATAAAATCAATAGGGAGGATGGGGAACGAGATATATTTACCTTGTGGAGTCATGGGAGCCCCAGGGCCACCATATTGCGGGAAGAAGGGACCTGGACTGGAGTTGAAGGGTGAGTTCCCCTGTTGACCAGAGAAACTGTCGAACTGGCCGGTAGGAGGACGATCCTTACCCCACTTTTTTAAATAGTTAGTGATAGAACCCGGAGTTGAACGTGGTTGGAAATACGTACGCTGCACTTCAGGGGCCGACCGTTGACATTATAGCCGTTGAGCTGGCAGATAGCCATAGCCGCATTCTCATGGCTGTCCATCTTGATGAATGCAAATCCTCTATCGGCTTGCATACGGGTTTCGACGACGTAGCCAAAGTTCTGGAAGAGGGGCACGATGTCGCCCTGCGTGGTGTAAGGGGTGAGATTGCCAACATAGCATGTAGTCTGCCACTGCGGGGTCTGCTGGACAACCATGTCGTAGCTTTGAATGCCATGAGTAGGGAAGTGGTGATGGCCAAATGGAGTGGTTGGTGTCATTCCCATTGCTGCCATTGCCTGCTGCTGGGAAATGGAGGGCTGCCCCTTTTGATTAGCCCAGTTGCAGCGGATGGCGCGAGAACCGAGCCATTCACCATCCATCGAGCTCAACGCCTTGTCAGCGTCTCCACGGTCACGGAAGGCAACAAAACCATAGCCACGGGAGCGGCCAGTCTTCATGTCCCACATAACGCGAGCCTCGGAAACCGAACCAAAGGCAGAGAAGGCCTGTAGGAGAACCTCGTCGTTGACCTCATTGCTCAAATCACCGACGAAGATGTGGAAATGGTTCGAGGTGTCCTCTTTGTTAGTGGTGTTTGACTGGTATGCCCAATTCACGCGAATTTCCTACAACCAGTGTTAGAGAAACGGGTTCAGCGGGATGAGGGGACGGGGGTCCACGGGGCTCGTCTTTGCGCATACCGATTGATGGATTCGACGCCCGTTGAGCGTTTGCATGGCCCGCTCGGCGGCACCTGGATCATCGAACTCGACAAAACCGTAGTTGGCTCCCTTATTATTAAATTGCTAGCATTAACGATGAGTACTGAGCTGAGGGTGGGGTTAAACTCAGCGGCTTAAAACGTGATCAAACTCACATTCTTGTCGGGGATAATCTTGACGCTGATGACATGTCCAGTGGTCTCAAAGATTTGTTTCAGGATATCTTCCGTCACCCGCGGGTCGAGACCTCCGACGTAAAGAGCCCTCTTGTTTGGTTCAGGGGCAGCACGACGCACATATCCGCCGGCGCTGGTCGGGGACACCATACCTCCAGACATCGGAGAGGTAATAGCGGTCGGAATAGGGTTGGTGTTCTGGGGGATAATCACGGGCGGGCGAGGAGGCGGCGGCATGTGGGAGGGGTTGGTTTGGCCATTTCCCTGGGGCGCATCGTACTGTTGATTCGAGCCAGCAGTCGAAGCTTGTGGTTGATGGGAGACCGGAGTAGAAGCAGACACGTTATCCGCCATTATTGCTGGGGAGGAGGGTGATGGCAAGTTTTGCGATGTACAGAAGCTGGTTAGAATTCACAGAATGAAGGAACAAGCTGGAAGTGATCGCAGTGCCTGTCTAGGTAATGGAGAGTGATATTGCAATCGTCAGTGATGGGACGAAGCAGGGTGTTACGCTGAGACTGGGTTTGGTTTCGTCGTGCTCGAAGGCGGAAAAAAGCGACGCGGGGATGGAGGCACCCAAGCAGAAAGGGGACAGAAAGGAAATGAGGAGAGAAGGGCAACTCGAGAAAGACAAAAAGCAAAGAGGCGAGAAGGGAAGAAAGAAAAAAAAACGCTAGATCATACAATCAAGCAGCAAACAGAGGTCGAGGAGGAAAAAAGACGGTGACAAGTCGAGGGGATGGTGGAAAGCTTTGTGATGGATGAGGGCGCTAAGTGGAATCCTGGCTCCTCCAGCCTGCCAGGACCACCTCCGGGAACCACTGATGTGAGCGAGGCGATGGAGCACACGATCGGGCTCGATTGGCAGATGACAGCTAAATAAATACACACTGGGAAAAATAGACAGAATAAGCAAACTTGGGCGCTGCAGCAATTGGTGGAAAAGCGAGCAGGAGGGGACAGAGGGAAAGGAACAGGGGAAGAGAAGCTGGAGAAGGTTTGACTTGTCGCAAAAGAACATTCAAGAAGGACGTCTATCGGACACTATCTCAGGTACCTGGGCGCCCCGCGGGCCCTCGCCAGCTTGACTAGTTGACTACAACTCTCCTCCCGTACCCAAAGTTGCATGGGCCTTTGATCCCTCGTTCTGGCGACTCCAGTGCTCTCGTTCTGTTGCTGACTAGTGGTCCAAGAGCCGCCTCGGTGGGGTGCCGCTAGTCTGAATACAGTTAGCACCCCATCGATGAATTGGCTCCTTCAAGTTGGACCAACGCTTCGCGTCATCTCAAACGGCATCAACCCTGACAGACGGTGAACCGCGAATGTCCCTTTATCCCCTCTATAAATAACCAATCGGTAGCCATACTCGCGCAGCTTGGCTACGTTGTTTTGCAGGATTCCCTGTTTGCTCCTTGTTCGCTGGCTGTGACGAATATCTGCCATTCCGACCAAGTTGTTGCCGCGCGCTTCGACTAAACCTGTCTCGACCTTGAAGGGCTCGAGGGCACCCGAGAGGGGACTCGCCAATAATACCGCCATGACTTCTCCGAATCTCTCGAACCCGGACTCACTCGAGGTCCTAACGGCCACGTTGAACCAAGCGGTACTTCTTTAAAAGCCCCGCTTAAACTACCGGATTTATATACTAACTTCAATTAGCTGGTTGAAACTGGCCGGTTTTTCAAGTCAGATGGGTCGCTGCAGGCTCGCGCTCAGATGAAGCGAAATCTCCCTGTTGCGCATGAGAAGTTTCAGTCAGCGTTAGATCACCTATCAGAGCAAATAGTATGTAGCTCACTTTGGAACCTGCAGCAGAAATGAAGCTGACTAGTGCCAGTTTGTTGCCAAAGCATTTTTGGAAAGAGACTATGAAGATGTGAAGGTGCGCAAAGCTGCCCTTCGCAAGCGTCCTACAGAGGATGCAGCCAAGGGGGAGCCGGAAGTGACGACTGGGGCCCCTCAGACTATGCCTGTCCCAGAGGAAACAGCTGCCGAGGCCGTTCCCAGTGACGGCGAACCTAAAGCAATAGATAACGCTGTTAAACAAGAACAACAAACAGATTTGAATCAAGAACAGCAGACTACGACGAATGAGCCCGTGAAAGAGGAGCCAAAGGAGGCCGACGCGGATCCGTCTCTTGCTACTCAGGATACGACGGGGACGGAGGAAATCAATTTCGACTCGTTGCTAAATAATCAAGGGCCAAATGAGTTTGACCTCAATCTCGACTTTGGAGAGAATGGGAACGCCGGGAACGAAAGCTTCTTCAATGCGACCTTTGGCGACCAAGACACTGGGTCTGGCCTGGATGCCGGGAATACTCAAATGTCAAATACAGAGCCTGGACAGGACAACAATGCGTTGCCGACAGGCGGTGATGCCTTTGACCTCGAACTAGAGAAATTCTCCACCCAACCCGGAGATGCAAACGGACAATTTGGCGGTAACACAGAAGATATAATGGGGCCAGGGGAGTCTAGTTTCGATGACCTGTTTATGGAGACCGAAAATTTGGGCGGCACTGATAATGAGAACCAAGATCTGTTACCGGGCGATGGGTTGATGCAGCTTGATGAACTCGACGACAGTTGGTTTTCATGAACTGGAGGGGGTATGCGGAAACCAGTTCCGTTGACATCAGAGGCTCCTGGCCATGCGATGATGCCAGACCACAGGCACGCAGGCCCAAGGAATGCTCCACACGTTCGAGCGCTAACTCAAGGTTGCCGAACTTTAGTACGTCTGCTACCGACCTGTCGGCTCACATAGAGTTTTATCTGCAAGGTAATCGGTAAACCGATCTGGTGTGATGTGATGTGTTGTTTCTTTCTTATCCTTCTTTTTCACTGTATATTAACTATATAGTTAGTGCTGTATGTGAAGTACTTTCGGTTCCTTTTTCTCAAAAGAATAGTGTAGTCAAGACTTGTTCGTTAGCAATCTGTTTGAGACCCGTATGCGCTTCTAATGTCAAGCGAATGAAGCCACCACAACCCCAAAAGTACAGTCCTGCAAGAGAGACGCTGACCGCCGAGTTACTAACGGGCATTGAAACTGACACTGACACGACAGTGACGACACCGACATTGCCATTGACAGATGACAAGCGACAGGTGACACGCCTGACCATCGAGTGTCAACAGGCCGAAGAAATCCCGATCCCGGCAGACTCACTCTCGCCCGAGGATCTAACTCTATCAGGCAACATGTCCCCTGCAAGAGCCAGACCGCGTTCTATTATGGAAGACGGCAAATTTGCCTTAGTAACCGTAGGGCATGCTCGAGGCCAAAGGGACAAAGGCCCATCAGGATCCCCAAAATAAGCGGCTGACAGATGCGCTAGACACTGCCAAGTGCTAACTAAGTGCTCACTCACTCACGGCGAAGAGGTCATGATGTCATCATTACTGCGTACGAAGCGCTCCCTGGCGAAGGGCAACAACAGGAATTCGCCAGCGGCCCCCGCATTATTAATTTACAGCGACTCCAAGAAGAACTTGGCTGGTGCCCTGAGCATGGATTTCACAGGCAGACAGTCGAGGACAAGAGGTCTTGGTAATTCGCCCGCTTCCCACCGGCCGGCGTGCTTCCAATTTTACTGGTGGAGAGGGCCGTCTGCCGATGGGCCCGTTCTGAATTTCTTTTTCCAGTGATCTCCATGATGTGTGGACAAGGCGATCCGACGTCATTCCGAGGAGTTTCTCCAGTCCAGACCAGGCCTTTTCTGGAAACCTGAATTCTTCACCAAGCCAGCCAGTGCCGGGCGTGGGCCGGGCTAGTGTGAATCCATAAATAATCACATGGGCCTCAAGATGCATCGAAGCAGTGTCAAAGCGGGCTGCCTGACGGTCAATCTTTTCATATGTGCGGCAGGGCAGCTGGTCGGTCGCGCCACCGATGTGGTGGCATAACATCAGAATTAGTTAACAAAATACAATCGTCATGCTGTGTCAACTCGGGAGTAAATGCTGCTGCTGAGCGATGTTCGTAGTACTACCGAATACAGATTAAGATTCCACTTGCAGGCGGAGGGCCAGAACCAGAAAAGAACCAGAGCCACAGTTTGCCCGCCGCCGGATCACCGGAGAGCAGCCAGAGTAGAAGCAGTCGTAGTATTATTAGGCAGTTTTGGTGTACCGATTTTCGTTCCGCGTCATCATTCATGAACCGTTCTTTTCATTCTTTTCGGTTCTTCTTTTGGGCGCAAACAAAAAGACTTTCTCCCGCACCGCCTCACTCTTGTCGCTGTCATCCACCTCTCCATACATACATCACAAATCTTACTTTACCAGTCGCCCTCGGCTCTCGACTCATCTTCAACCTATCTACACGATCTTCTGGAGTTCCCCTTGACTGGTGATCCCGCTCGTCGCTCGTTTCGCCCGTCCCTCTCCCTCCCAACTCCCAATTCTCAACCCCTGCACGCACCTCCTCCAGCCGTGACCGAGCCCTTGCGCTGTCGATCGGCCCCCCCAGAAAGGAAGGACAAAATAGAGGAGTCAAAAGCAAAGCGGCAGCAGACGCGGCTCACTGGTCGCACGACTCAGGTGCAGCTGGGGATCGTGCGTAAAATTCGTACCAAAACCAATAAAGCTTCCCAATAATGCAAACACTAGAAGCCCAACTGTGTTGAACTGTGCTGCACTGCAAATCCCTCAGCAAGCTCATCGCTCATTTTCCTGTTGCAGAGCCTGAGACTGCCCCAGTGCTCCATCGCGGTAAGTTGAAACTTCACCGTCGTCTTGACGAGGTCATCTGGCTTTGTGTTATTTTCTGCGTCTGTGTCGCTTCTTTATTATCGCGCCTCTTTTCCTCCCTGCAGGGCGCCTTTCCCAGTTTCTCCTACCTTTCCCTTGTTCCTTATACCTTATTCCTTTTATACTCCGCTCCCCCTTCTATACTGCTGTGCTCCCTCCATTTTCTCTCCTTGAAACATTTTCAGTACCCTCGCATACGCACTGCAGTGTTTGCTCGATCTTTTTTGTCTTGTTTATCTTGTCAAATAATGAACTTAGATTGGCGTTTTTCACGATGACAGCTGCTCATGTGCCTCAGGATCTACCAGGATCAGTCACCGCCACAACTCTAGTCGCCGGTCGATTTCCCTGCGAGACGCCTGAACCCGCCCCTCTCCTCCACAGCCTGCTACACCATTCTCGGTTCCATCGCCGGTCTGGTTCTGCGACAACCGTCGACAGCGTTGCGACCCAACAATTTCCCAAGCAAATCGGGCTCGCTCGTCGCGGGTCTATTTTCAGAAAGCTGGCGGGTCCCCGGGAGAACGCGAAGCGCTTTCTCCGCTTAGGAGCCGCCCAATCTCCGGCGGCGTCTCAGGATCCCCCAATGGCTCGCGCACGTCGCCATCGTCCGGTCTCTGAGATTATTCTCTCCCCAGACGATGTAAACATGCTTGCCGCGCCCCCCCTCAACCCGGGCAGAATGCGCTCGCATTCTTCCTCGAACTCACCAGCCGCTGTACCGCGCGGACCGTCACAAGGCTGTATGCCTGACAATACGCCTTTCCCCGCACTGCCCAACGAGAAGACCGTCGCCACAGGAAGTGGGATTTCAGTTGGAATCGCCCTCACTGAGCCCGTTCTCTTCCTCCAAGGCTATGATCAAAATGATCCGTCTACGAAGAAATCTGCCATTTTGCGAGGGCAACTCCACCTGAAGGTTTCGAAAAGTGTCAAAATCAAGAAGATCTCTATCTGCTTCAGAGGACAGGCGCAGACAGATTGGCCCGATGGTAATTTTTGGCCCCCAATCCCCATTCAAGTTTTTGAAGAAGGTTCTGTGTTGACGTTTGCGGGCTTTAATTTAGGAATACCGCCCAAAAAGATACATTTCCACGACAAGAAAGATCTTGTGACACATGGAGTTGTATATTTCAACCACGGCGATACCGCTCTTATGCAGAATGATTATGGTGCGCATATCTACAAGCATGCCAAACCTTTGAGTTTGGTCACCGGCAAGGATAATACGACGACGGTCACGCGAGAAGTGTTCAGCAACAGTGGTTCTTCAACTTCACTCAATAATGGCTTGACTGCTCGGGAAGCGAAGCGACTTTCGCTGAATTCCAACAACTCGCGGAGCTTCGGCAAGGGTGATGCACCATCGCCACCGTCTGTGACCCAACCCCAGCGCAACTACCGACTGTTCCCTGTTGGCGATTATCTATACAGCTTTGAGTTCCCAATTGATGGATCTCTGCCGGAAACGATCAAGACGGAGCTCGGCTTTGTGAGGTATGATTTGGAAGCTATTGTGGAACGCTCAGGCGCCTTTCGACCGAACCTGCTAGGTAATCTGGAAGTGCCTGTGATCCGCACACCCGCGGAGGGTTCGTTAGAACAAGTCGAACCGATTGCCATTTCTCGAAACTGGGAAGATCAGCTGCACTATGATATCGTCATTTCGGGGAAATCTTTCCCGCTTGGGTCTCAAATACCAATCGCTTTCAAGCTAACCCCTCTAGCAAAGGTTGAATGCCATCGGATTAAGGTCTATGTGACGGAAAATATCCAACATTGGACTGCGGATAAGAGCGTTCACCGGTTCCAGCCTGCAAAGAAGGTTCTTCTCTTTGAGAAGCGGGCTGATCAGTCCAGTACCAGCACGTACCCAGGTAGCTCAATGCGCGTTACGGCTGGCGGGGGCATTGAGTGGGATCAGCGAGCTGCTGCTGCTAGAGGGGAGGAGATTGTTGAGCGGGGTCGGACGAATTTACTTGGAAACCTTAATAGCGAATCTGGTGTTGGTCCGACTGAAATGGAATTCAATGTCCAGCTTCCGAGCTGCCATGAGATGAAGAATCGGGATGAATCGCAACGTTTGCATTTTGACACGACGTATGACAACATCCAGATCAACCACTGGATCAAGGTAAGAGCCCTTCACTCGGACTGTTTTGAAGCTGCTTCTAACTAGAAACAGATCGTCCTGCGTCTATCTAAACAAGATGAACGTGATCCCGGCAAAAGGCGGCATTTCGAAATCTCCATCGACTCTCCATTCCACCTCCTCTCATGTAAAGCTACGCAAGCAAACATCTATCTCCCGGCATATACAACGCCTGACTCGGAGCCCGCCACTCCAGCACCGGAATTTGAATGCGGGTGTGCCGGCGCCCCCGCTCTTCGTCGACGTGGTACTCGCACTCCCCCGGGCTCTGATCGAGATGATATCCCGGCGGTTATTACCCGGAGTTTCACCAGTGGCTCTGGCGGCCTTGCCCGACCACCCGCAGCGCACCTGGCCACGGAGGCCGACGGACGGGCAGCAAACGCAAATACAAATGAGCGCCCGCCACGACCAATGCACCTCCTGCGTGCGCCGTCATTCGCGCCTCCGGCGTTCGACGATGTCCCTCCCCCACCGCCACTTATCACCCCGCCACCAGAGTATACAAGCATAGTTGGAGACAACGACCGAGACGCAGTCCTCGAAGACTACTTCTCGCGTCTCTCCTGCTACGAAGAACGAGTCGACGAAGAGCGAGGCTCAGGTCGGGTCGACGTCCCACTGACGCCCGGTGCGCGCGTAAACCGCAGCATGGACGTTCCGCGCGAATGGATCCGTCTCGATCAGTCGACTGTCTGATGCAGTCTGCAGTTCTTCGACACGATATCCTTTTCATAGCATTACAAAAAAGTATATATATATACGACCCTGAAACGAATATTCGAATAAAGTCACGAAGTCACGAAAAGAAATCAATCCTCTTCATTTCCGTCTAGCGAGCGGAGCGGACCGGATCGGGACGAAGGAGTTTGCGATAAACAGCTGCTTTTTTTTCTGCTTCTTGCTTTTCTTACTTTCTTTTTTTGTTGCCTCTACACTTTGACATCTTTGTGATCTTTTCCTTTGTGATTCCCTGGGCTAGCTTCATAGTGACTGGTCATTGTATAAGTCATCTTTTTTCTTTTTCGTATCTTGATTTATGTTAGGTAAAATAGGCGCAGAAGCAGGAGATATCCAGTTCCTCATTACCCATATGCATGATATATCACTTTTCAATCCAATCCCACCACAATTTTCATATTCCAGAACCAAATAATCCGACTAAATCAATTCAGTTCAATTCAATTCCTCAACCGACCACGCTCATCCCTCTCCGACTCAATGAACTTGGTCCGGTACCCAATCGATATCCTACAGAACGTAATCCATTAGCAATGACCATACATACATAAGAAAAAAAAAAAAGAAAAGATAAAAGGAGAAACAAACCCCGACCGCGTCTCATCCGCAAAATTAACATGATCAGGCTTCACAGTCTTCCGGAACTCCTCGTCCCCCCACAGCCGCTTGAAGTCCGCAATGTCGCCCATGACAAACTGCACGACGTAGTCGTAGTCGGCGAGTTTCTTGGACATTTGCATCTCTTCTGCATCGGGGAGGAGGGTGGTGAAGTTGTCGATCTAGATGGGGTAGTTAGCACTTATACTATGTCGCTGTGATTCTTGTGTGGAAAGGAAGGATGGTAGGAAGAGTGGTGATACCAGATTGTACTCCTTGATGCCGTATTTCAGGAGGAATGGCAGGGCGAGAGGGGCATGGTGCTGGGTTATGTAGCTGTGGAAGTCAGCTTCGTTGAGGCCCGGCTTGCGGATGCCGGTTATTGTGATGCAGATTTCGGACATTGTATACTGGAGTATATTACTTGGTGTTCATTTATAAAAGTCGTGGCTAGCAGGTGGGGGTGCCGTTAAATAAATAGATATTGAGAACTGGACGGTATACCGGTATCCAGCGGGAGATTCGGCATGAGGTTGCAGCGTGTCTGTTTGTTCCATGATTCATGACTGTTCCTCTATTGTGGTGGATCATGATGGGAGATCCTCAGGTTGCATCGAGATCTTTCCGTCTCGGCCCCATCCGCCAACGTTTAGTGATTAGCCCATCGTTCATCGTCCCACTGACTTTCGCTTACTTCCCGCCCATACCCATGGATCGCCATTACCAACTCTCCAGCCCACCATGTCATCCTTTATAGCACTGTCTGCCATCGCTCTCGGAATTCTTCTCCCTCTGTTCAGATACCTGGTTCAGCCGTTTTTCCTCTCCCCGCTCTCCAAGATCCCCAATGCCCACTTTACCTCTCCGATCTCCAGCCGCTGGATCCAGGCGATCCGCCAGGCTGGCAATGAAGTCCTCACCATCCACGCATTGCACCGCAGACATGGCCCCGTCGTCCGGCTGGCCCCCGACGAGCTGAGCGTCAACTCACTGCACGGCCTGCGGGTCGTCTACACCGGTGCATTCGAAAAACACCCGCTCTACCGCGACCTCTTCCTGAATTTCCACACCGATAACCTCGTAGGCATGGTCCCCAATGCACCTCACGCACGCCAAAAACGCATGCTCAGTCGTGTATACTCGAAGTCGTACCTCCAGGAATCGGATGCCCTCCGTAGCATTTCAGCCATCATCCTCTCCCAGAGACTTCTTCCCATGTTGCAGCGATTCGCTACGACCGGGGAGACAGTTAATGTCCTCCCACTCTTCCAGGCTGTCGGGATGGACTTTACCTCGTCATATCTATTTGGGCTGCAAACGGGAACGCAGTACCTCTTTGACCTACCGCAATGGCTTCACTGGCTAGACCAGTATAACGAATTCAAGAACCTTAACCCCGATGTGCGCGCAGATGGATTCATCGAACGATGGTGTCTCTCGCTGTGCATGCAGACAAAAGCGAAAACCGCCAACGACTCGGGTAATGGAGAGGATCTGTCTACAGAGCCAGTGGTATACAGTTCACTCCGCCATGCGCTGGAGAAATCTCCCGACTCCCGCCCAATCGACCTCGCCATTGCCTCTGAGCTTCTCGACCACCTCGTTGCAGGCCACGAGACCTCGGGAATTACATTCACGTATGTAATGTGGGAGCTCTCTCAGCGACCAGAGATACAAGAGGACCTCCGTCGCGAACTCTCGACACTCAACCCGCCACTCCGTTACCCATTGGCGTCTATAACAGAGGGTGATGGTGACGGTGATCTCCCGACTTTTCCGCACCCATCTGACATCGACTCCCTCCCGCTCCTGGACGCTATAATTCGTGAGACTCTCCGCTTGCATGCCCCCGCTTCATCGCCGCTACCCCGTGTCACACCAGATACCCCAGGCGGGACATCGATAAACGATTTCGACAGTATCCCGGGGGGCATCACGGTGTCGTCGTCGGCGTATACGCTCCACAGAATCGAGGAGGTATACCCGCAACCAACAGAGTGGCTGCCCCAGCGGTGGGCCAGCCCTGAGCCTGGGAAGAAGCACGATATGCGGAGATTGTGGTGGCCGTTTGGGAGTGGGGGGAGGATGTGTCTCGGGAGTAATTTTGCGTTGCAAGGTATTATCTAATTCTCATTATCATTCTCAATCTTTCTAGTTGACATGACATGTTCTAATGACGATGCTGTTCTGCAGAAATCAAGCTGGTCATGGCGGCTGTATATACGAACTACATGACCTCGATTGTGGATGACGAGGGTATCGAGCAGGATCTCACGGAGTTTATCTCCTTGCCCAAGAGCCGGAAGTTGATGTTGAAGTTTAGTCCTGTCAAGGACTCAAGTTGAAGAGGGGATCGGTTGATTTGATCATGATGAGTTCTTCGGCTCGCGGACCATACAATAAAGCTGCAACAGTCAGCCAGAGCTCTCTCGGAAAATGTACATATACATATACATACCATACAAACATCACCCCCATCTCCATCCCGACACTCCATAACCCTCTTCATTTCAAACCCCAACCGCTCATAAATCCCCACATTCGGCTCATTCCTCGAACTCTCCAAATAGCACTTCCTCCCCTCCCGGTCCGCAACATCCATCACCTCCTCAAACAACTTCCTCCCAACCCCCTTCCCCTGCGCATCAGGACTCACAGCAACAATATTGCAAAAGTAATACCCCCGCTCATCATCCCAAATCGACTCCTGCGCTTCCGCCTGCCGCGCTTTCCAGATATAGTACCGCCGCACATTCAGCCCGCCCCATCCTCCATGCCAGAGGTTGTTAAGCCCCTGCCTGAACCAGAGTAGCCAGGACTGGCTCCATTCGTACCATGATTCAGGCCTGGATGGTGGGTGCGGCGCGAGCCAGCATGAGACACCTACGATTTTCCCAGTCTCTTCTTCTTCTTTTTCTCCTGTTTTTTCTTCGTCCACGGCTACGTGGAATATGGCGTTGTTGATACCCCAGAGACACCGCGCTTCTAGGGAGCCGTAGTTGCGGACTTTGTTGAACTGGTTTCTTTATCAGCTTGCTTTTTTTTTTTTTTTTTTTTGATTATTGCTCTTTCCCCGCACGATATACAAATAATAATAATTATATAGATCAACAGGGGTTGACTCTCGCTCAAGAGAAAGTAAAGAAAGAAATACATACACTCTTCTCATCAAACACCCACCGGAAATAAGGGTCTTCTGCGAATGCCCGCTGGATTATGTCGATTGCGGCAGGGATATCGGATTGTGTGAGGGGTCGGACTTTGATAGCCATTTTCTGTCTTGGATTGGCTTGTTTTAGTTGCTGATGGTGTTATTAAATTATTTTTTTTTTGTCTGGCTATGGTGCTAGTGGTATGTAGGTGTATAAGATTAACTTGACTGGTATTGAAACTGGGGAGATGATAAACTTCAAGATAAAGACGAGACCTGGATCGGGAAAGTCCATGCGGATGGAGTCACGCGGGTTCCACTTGTTCTGCGCTGGACATGTACCATGGTATTGGTCACACTGCAGTATAACAAGTTCTGCGAGTAGAATTATTGATTAGTCTATATACCCCTTCGTACTCTAAATCTATGTCTAGAAGAAAAGAAATCAAGTAGATATGTCACAATAGTTAAAATGAACGGCTCCCTACTCCTCCCACTCGCCAAACAGCTTCGTATCTAAATCACAGAACCCATCGAGCACCGCCATGCCGCGTGCCCGTTCCTCTTCGATGCGCTCCCAGCTCCACTCGTCGCCGTCCCAGGACGAGGCATTCGCCTCCTTCTCCGCCTCCAGCTTCCCAACCTCAGGGATCTGGCTATCCTGCAACTTCAGCACCTCTCGCACAAACGACCCATCCACACCACTCGCCGCCGCCGTAATCCCAGATGGCGTCCCAGTCCCCGATGCATCCGCCGACTCTGACGAGGTTGGGGCAGCAGTAGTAGTAGGAGGAGGAGCAGCACCCTCCGGCCGCTCCGGCAAAAACCCACTCTTCCGCAACGCCCTCTCCGGCGCAATCGTCAACCGGCCCTTCTTGACAACATACTTGCTAACCGCCGTCGCATAGAGCGTCCTCTTCCCGCCCCTCTTACCCGCAGGCTTGAGGAAGAAACTCAGCACGTACATCCATTTCTGGTCCCAGCCCAGCACGCGCGACTCGACCTCGAACTTGGTATACGGCTTGATCTCGCGCTTGAAGCTGCAAAAGACGGACCCGAGGGCGATGTAGATTGATTTCCGCGGCGGGATGGGCTTGCCCTCTTTCTGGGCGGCGGCGGCGAATTCGCTGTCGAGTTCTTTGCTTAGTAGGCCCACGCCGGGGCTGTAGATGCGGGTTACGAGGGCGGTGCGCGAGACATCGAGGTCTGTGAAGTAGGTGCTGTTGGATTTGTGGAGGTTGTAGTCTGTCTCTAGCAGCGGGGTGCTGGTTGTAATGCTGTAGGGAACGAACACTGGGTGGGTGGGTTTGCCGGATGAGGTGGTGAGGGGTTTGCCCTTGGGGAAGAATGGGTAGTCGGGGCGCCAGCGGACGTTGGTGAGGAGGTGCCGGGCTATACGGGCCTGTTGGTTTGGACGTGTTATGGACTTGCTTGAAGGAGAGTAGGAGAGGTGGGAGAGGTAAGCTTACGTGCCAGGCAAAGGGGAGGTTCTTGAGATTGAGGATTGCGAGGAGCAGGGCGAGGGTTCTCCAGGAAACGAGCGCCGTGAGAAGCGCGCGGGCGTTCTCTATGCTTAGCGCAGCCATTATGTCTAGCTCTACCATCTGGGAAAGAAATAGTAAAAAAGGAAGGACAGAAAGTATTTATTGATAGGGCAGGGCGCGGTACGGAGTAAAATGAGGGATCGGCGACAGATGAGATACGTAACCGCAGGTACTGACGCGACTCGGACAGATGGGGCGCATAAGCTCCGTACCGTCAAAATATAACAAGATATGTACACGAAGGAAGCGAGTGGGGTTTTGACAAGATAAGGAGAGATTCAGATTGGTGGCTTGTGAGGTGCTCACTGTGGTTGAGGAGTATACAACGAAGACGCCGTCAATTGTTGGGATCGCGAACCGAGGCTGTGGTCTCTCACGTGAATGGCTTATTAAGAAAGGAGTATACAAGAACAAGCCAACAGTAAGGTGGAAACTATATGTGTATAGAATAAAGACGACATTAAAAAAGCGCCATTGTGTTCGGCGGACTCGACACCCCCCTGGCACAATTCAACGGGCTACTCGAGATAAAAAAAGTCCACCGTCCATGCGCCCTGCACATGTCCGCCAGGCCATCCAGATCGAACATCTCGCCAATCGGCACCCCCCACCCCGCCAGCATATGATGATGAAGATCAAATTCCGGATTGCGGGGCGGGAACACCTCAAAGCTCACCGCGTCTGACGCAACCGCCGCAAAGTGGTTATCCCAGAAAAACCGCAGCACACGCTCGCTCTGCTCAATACCCGCATGCTTCGGCATCGCTTGCTGGCTATACACCTTCCTCTGGCTATTATCCATAGCTGCCCAGGTCTGCGGTAGTCCCACGCGGAGGAAGAAGATGTCGCCGCGCTGAAACTCGATCTTGCAGTCGCGTGCGATCTCGAGTACCGTGTCCAGCGAGATTTCCTGTTGCGATAGCGCGTTGATAGGGATCCCCTTCTTCTCAGCCCACGAGACGAAATCGATTAGGACACCGCGCCCTGCTATGCCCTTCGTCGCCCAGTACCCGATTCCGATACGCGGGTTTGCGGGGTCCTGGATCTCCTCTGCGGTTGTTCCGCCGTAAAAGAGGCGGCGGTTGGGGTCTTCGGCCGTTGGCGCGGGGCCATTATGGTGACGAAAACCGTCCCATTGAGATGACTGCTGCGGGTTGAAGTGGTATTCGTCGTCGAAGGCTACGCCCTCCGCGACCCATTTTACTTTGTGCTCAAAGGGTTTGCGGCCAAACCCTGGATACTCTATGAATCAAGAACGGCAAAAGACTTGACTTGGGATGAGGTGCTTTGATTGTCTTACCTGGCGGGTTTAGGTTCTCGATTCCCCATTGTAGACATACGCGCTCGCCTGTTTGGATTTGTGTTCGGGCTGCGTTGGCAACAATGTCTGGGGTTAGGATGCGGAGCATACCAAGGCCCTCTTCGGGCGAGCCTGGCGGAGCGGGCCAGTACTGGAGTTTATTGGGGAGGTCATCGAATTTCTCAGGAAGGTCAAAAGTAGCCATGATGAGTGTTGTGGTGGGTTGAAGTGGGAGGAGTTCGGTACTCGACAAGGTGTTGTTACACGGTTATGTCTGCCACAGCAGGAAACCGTCTTCCGTCGTGTCTTTGGGGGAGAGGTGCGCCGCCCACTTATCCGCAATCCAAAAGTACCACACACCAGGCCGGCAGGTGGGGGAATTGAGGGTCTCGGAGCAAGTCCGTCACGAGCGGAGTCGAACCCTCGCTGGTAGCAGTTGGAGCAATGAGATCAGGTCTAATGCAGTATGTATATATTCCAATAGGCACAGTAAGAGACATGCTAATTACGTAGAGTTACACATCCATCATTCATAGGTCATCCACATCTTCGTCAGTCGAAGACTTTCCCTGTTTGTTGAGTCGGGACATCTCGTGCTCTTCGCCAGATTTTGAAGAGCCACCAGAGCTTGACATGGCAATTGCCTGGCGTCCGGTGTCCGAAGACTCGAGGAACTCGCGCAGCCGACGCTTGCCCTCGACCATCGCCTGGTTCGATGCCGCTTCCGTCATCTTCAGAATTGGGCCCCAGAGATTCAGCTGGTAGGTCACGTATGCGCCGACAGCGCACACGAAAAGCAAGAAGAAGTAGGCTGGGTTTCGGAGGACTAGCATATAAAGTTAGCAGTGAAAAAGGAAGCTAGTGTATAGTACTTACCAGCAATTATCTCATTCCATCCGAGCGCAAGGAGGATACCGTAGAAGTACAATGGAACCTGAGTCATGCCTCCAATCGCACTCCGCTTGGCCTCGACGTACACTCCATCCGCAGCCTTCTTGAATCGCACCGTGAGCTCCTGGCGTTTGGAATCACCGAGGATTGTCATTTCTTCCTCTAGGCTCTTGCCTTCCTCTTCATCCACACCACCAATGGGGGCCAAATCTTCTTCGTCCGCGGGACTCGCTGAGCTAGGTGTGTGTCCGACCCAACGGTCTAGTGGAGGGGGGGCAGAGGATTCCGCCAGCCGGAATCTAGAGAGAAGAGGTATCAGGGTGAGAGTCGACTCGCGGGCTTTGGTGTAAATGCCCTCGATATCGTCGGTCGGGCGCCAAATTCTTGGGACACCGGCTTCATCATAACGGAACTTGTCCTCAAAGTTCTCGCGCAGCTTTAGCAAAAGGTTTCCTTCAATCATCTCCTCATCAATCTTGGCGCGCAAAACACCCCAAGACTTCCTGCGCAGTCTCCATAGACCAACATCCACTTCCTCCAAACTGGCATCGAAGCTGCTAGCGCGGTCCGTGAATCTCCTCTCAGCATCGAGAACCGTCTCCACGAAAACGTTCCAGACGCGGTCCCAGAACTTCGTCTCCGTCGGCTTTTCACCAGATTCCGGTGCACCACCGCCGGCACGTCCAGAGCCAAGAGCATTGAATTCTAGACCAACGGACTCGCCCAAGCGAGATTGAACCCAGCGTTCAACGCGGGTCGCCAATCGCCTCATCTCGTCCCTTCTCAAACGACCGCTGACCTCTGCAAGCTCCTTCTCGTATAGTGTCAATTGCTGTTTGTAATTGCTCCAAGGCGCACCCTCCACCACAGTTGCGCGAGCAACTTCTTCGAATTTCTCCATGGCCTTCTTAACTTCGTCGTTGACAATTTCTGCAAAGTCATAGCCCGTGCCCTTCTTCTGGCCTGCCTTCACAGCGGCTGTAACAGCCTCGCTAAACTCATTAATGCCAGACTTGTGCGCAGCGTTCAGTTGACCCTGCAGAAGAGCCTTCAGACGAGTATCAACTTTGTTTTCGAGTTCACCCCGCTTTCGCTGATAAACACCCTTGTGGTATCGACTCGCTTCGGTCTCGAAATTCTTCGTCGCCTTGGCTCGTGCTGATCGCATGACAGCACCCAAACCCCCAAGCACTTCAGGTTGCCCGAGACGGGAGGCCTGGGACTGTTTGTCTTCAAAAGGAATAATGACCTCGTCGAAGAGGATCATCACCTCCCTGAGGATCTCGTCACATCGGAATTGGGCGAGGAGTTCCTGTTGAGTCGGCAGGTCCAAATCTTTGTTGTTGACAATTTGGTCCCAAATGCCTTCCGCATACACCGAGAACCCGTCGGCGGGGATGCGACGATGATACTCAGGAAGGAAAACACCGCCCTCTGAGAACTCACCGTTTCTCGCATTGAGCGCCGTGTCTTTCTGGCCTTCGTGGAAACGAAGGCTTAGCTTCTTTGTTTCTTCAACAAACTTTTCGGGCTGGTAGGTCTTGTGCGGAAGTCCGTAAAACTGGAAGTCAAAGTAATCATGCACTGTTGAGCGTTCCAGGCCCGCAGGCTTAGATATCGAGTCCCATAGACGGGCCATGTCTTCCATCAATGTCTTCTGCAGAGCCTTTAGCGGCGTCGTGCCGACAAAGTCACGGATTACGAAGAACAGAAGAGAGCGATGGGTGGTACTACCCCCGAAAAGTTAGCGTTTTGCGTGAATGAGGACATGGATCACCAAGTGACATACCTCTTGTCCTTCAAAAATAGTTGTAAGTTGACCTCAAAGACCGTCTTGAGCAATCCCATATTGGCACCCTGGTACAGGCCAACTTGATGTTCCCAAATATTGACAATCAGGACTTCGCTAGTGGCGAGTGCAAAGAGCGCACTCTTGCGTTCAAAGTCCTGGTCCTCTCCCCGCTCACGTCCGTCGGTACCTTCCACATCCATAACCAAGATGTTATCGGCCATAGATTTATCGCCTCCTTTCTTGTTCTTGGACAGCCAGATGCCCTTGGTCGTCTGACGCCTTTCCGTTTCGGCCATGACGGAAAAGTGGGTACCAAAGAGGTTGTTAAGGAGTGTCGATTTACCTGTCGACTGAGAACCAAAGACTGAGATGAGGTGGTAGTTGAAACCGGCGGGCGCGACATTTTCGTAGCTCAGATACTTGGTTAAGTTCGTGCTATAGCCATTGTTGTTAGCTCCCATTGCCACACTAAGAACGAATGTTGTCCCACGTCACATTAAGCCGCATTGGACACAAAACATGTTTGTACAGAGGGAGGGGGAGCGAAACATACTTGAATTCCTTGTTTTCGTCTATTACTTGGACGCCATGCTCGTATGTCGTCTTGTCGCTGCTGTCACTGCCAATGGGGGCAAAATGGCCATTGGTCGCCATGGTGAAGATACGCCGTTGGGAAGCTACCCAAGGTCACAAAGAGCCGTCACTAAAGCAAATGTTGTGGTTCCAAAGATTGACGAAGCTCTAAATATCGAAGAAAATGCACTTGCAAGGTGGCCCGCAAAGTGTATTCCGAGACAAGTGGTATGTTCAGTTATTAAGGAGGCACAGTGGACACAACAATAATAATGCAAGAGAGTGGATGTAAGGAGACGGGGCAGCTAACTAATGTGCGATGATGAAGTAAGACAAGGGTCACTGGAGATGGGTGTCAATCACAAGACACTGACAGCCACACAGAATCAGAGCCTGGAGATCTCGTGGTGCGCCCGAGGTTGATTGGAAGTGGAAGGCAAGTTGGTCGGTTGTCAGTGGTGAGTGGATGATCCCGCCGCAGCCAGTCCAGCCGGTGCTCAGTGCTCGTGGCAGGAGGGATCCGGGGGCGTCATCGATGCCTTGGCTACGAGGCCACAACATTACAATTCTGGTTTAGCGCTATTCGACCCTCACTCTCGTTAACAGTCCTACGAGGGCTGCTTGAAGCACCAACTTGGAAACCCCGACATTCTGCCCTTCTCGCGCTCCGGTTCATCATCCACGGACCTCGTGCTACATAGATAGAGGTTGAATGAAGCTGTGCCACTTGCCCGGATTAAAGCATGGGTGTTCAATACTAATTAGACTGAAATAATTACTGCAGAATAGCTTACGAGCATCCAATTCATATTCAAACATTCCTAGAATAACACGGAGAGGAGAAGCATAATAAAAAGTTCTACATATTGAATAAAGTACAAGTATATGAATATAACTCTGAACGCCTGAGCGGCCCCTTCCCAATGTTATGGTCTGAATCCATTCGCGGTTCCCTGCACAGCAATCAAACCCCAAAGACCCAGATGCATACTTTTTTCATTTAGTACAAAGCAGTCGTTTACTGTTCCATGACGCGGGTGACCAGACCGGTGGCGACGGTGCGACCACCCTCACGGATGTTGAAGCGCTGTCCAGCCTCAGCAGCGACAGGGTTGTTGAGGTTGAGGATCATTTCCACGTTGTCACCAGGCATGACACGGCGGCTCATGTCGCCATCGGGGAAAGAAAGGTCGCAAGCCTCGTCTAAATACGAGTTAGATGTATTCTTCTTCTAAGGCGAGAGGTCGAATGTTTTGAAAACTTACCAGCAGTGCGAATGTAAGCCTGGGGACGATAGTTGACACCGAAGCCACTGCGACGGCCACCTTCCGCCTCAGTGAGGACGTACATGGAGACCATGAACTTCTTGTGGGCCTTGATAGAGGCGGGAGCAGCAATAACCATACCGCGCTTGACATCCTCGCGGCGGATACCACGGAGAAGAAGACCGGAGTTGTCACCAGCACGGGATTCGTCACAGTGCTTCTTGAATGTCTCAATGTCAGTGACCTTGGTCTTCATGACCTGACCACCTCCGAGAATCTCGACCTCGCTGTCCTTCTTAAGGAGACCACGCTCAACACGGCCAGAGGCAACGGTACCACGACCGGCAATGGAGAAGACCTCCTCGACGGACATCAGGAAAGGCTTGTCCAGGTCACGCTGAGGGGTAGGGATCCAGGTGTCAACGGCCTCAAGAAGGCTGTCAATTCGCTCAGTACCGATATCGGGGCGGCGACCCTCGAGGGCGCATAGGGCGGAACCGAAGATGATAGGGGTCTCCTCGCCTTCGAAGCCGTAAGTGCTGAGAAGCTCACGCATTTCCAGCTCTACAAGTTCCAACATCTCAGGGTCATCGACGGCGTCAACCTTGTTGACGAACACAACAATCTTCTGGACACCGACCTGGCGGGCAAGCAGCAAGTGCTCACGGGTTTGGGGCCTAGTTCACGCGTGCTGTTAGGCGACATTCTGTCATATCAAAGGGTGTATATAAGGTTGACGTACATTTGACCGTCGGAAGCAGCAACAACAACAATAGCACCGTCCATGTTAGCAGCACCAGTAATCATGTTCTTGATGTAATCGGCGTGACCGGGGCAGTCGACGTGGGCATAGTGCCTGCTTTCGGTCGCGAACTCGATGTGGGCGGTAGAGATGGTGATACCACGCTTACGCTCCTCAGGAGCCTTGTCAATAGCACCATATTCGAGGAAAGCAGCAAGACCCTTGGAGGCTTGGTACTTGGTGATGGCAGCGGTCAATGTGGTCTAAGAAAGAGTGTGTTAGAAGAGGACTTCGAGGAAGATACGATGCGAGGTTCTTACCTTTCCGTGATCAACGTGCCCAATGGTACCTTTCAAGTGTCAATTAGCCAAAAGCAAACGCAGCAAGCGATGTATTTAGCTTACCGATGTTCACATGGGGCTTGGAGCGCTCGAAAGCAGAGGCCATCGCGCGGACGGTCTGTCTGTCCTTGGAGAGCGCATACTGCACCGGGTTGACACCACGAGGACGCGTAAGAGACGTCCGGGTGGTGCGGAAAAGAAGGTTGGCGGTTCTTGAAAGGCCCGACATGATGACTGCTCCGCAATAAAAAGACTAACAGAAAAAGAGGGCAGGGGAACGCGATGGATTGAAGGAACAAACACCTGACGACAGGTTGAGCTTTGCAACAAGCCCGAAAAATTTAGGAGACACGCTTAGTCATCAATCGACCAATCAGCATCGGAGGATTGCGGATGTTCCTGAAGTTCCCGGCCGTGCTGCAGCAGACCAGTACTAAGAATCTCCCATCTTTGCTCATTTAACGGCATTCAAGTTAACTGATTATAACTGCTTGCTTAGTGCATGAGAGGTAGAAGTACATGGATTTTACGTGAGCCGTGCCTGAAGGTCAGAGTCCTTCGTAATCTGGGCCACCCAACTCTGGGGTCACCTGCTTGATTTACAAATAGTAGCTGGAACTACTCCGTACAAGGCGTTGAATATTGTACAAATGCTATGGTTTTATATAATGTACAAGACATATGAGGCATTCCGATATAACATCACAAATCCTTTTTCTTCACTGTGAGCATAACCCGCTTGCCCGGTTGCCCCTCCATAGCTGAGACCTGTATGGCATTTGCATCCTTCACGGCTTGCAATACCTTGTCCATCACGTTCTTGACTTCTTCCGGGGTCGCGTTTCGCTTGTGTTTCTTCTTCGTCAATATCACTTCTACCTGCCTGCCTTTCTCCAGGAAAGAGGTAAGCTGCTTCAGCCTATGAGAAAGATCATGCGCATCAATGGCCCAGTTGAGCTCAATCTGCTTTACTGATATCTTGGTAGCTTGGGCGGGTTTGGTGACGGCACGCTCGCGCTGTCGCATTTGCTCGCGGTTTACGACTTTGCAAATGGGTGGTCTGTCAGACGCACCGGGAGCGACTTGAAGTACAAACTGTGCAGGTCGTTCGATTGAAGCTAGCACAGAATTGAGTTGCACAGGTGGCATGAGTTTGTTATCCTCGCCCACGAGCTGGATAAAGTCTGCCTGAATACCTTCATCTCTAAACTCGTCGGTCCTGGTCGGTTGGCTATAGCGGGAGGATGTGAAGCGAAACCGGAGCTGCGACGAAGATTGCGCCGGAGCGTAGCGTAGGAACTGCGATCGTGGTAATACGTGGGGAACGAGGAATGTCTGGCGAAGAGCCTGTGTGGTGGTGACGAGCCCGCGGATGTGCTTCATCTTTAGTGGCGAGAAGTAGCGAAGAGTGTGAAAGAATTCGACAAGAGCAGGACGACGTAGTATCCGTAGTATCCAGGATATTAGCGTTGAAGACGGAGCACGACGGCGAGGAGGGTATGCGACCCCCAAACACAGCGGGTGATGAGGACTTGCGGTTTGGGTGGTGCTGTGGTGGACGCAAGCGGCTGGAGAACCCTGGAACAGCCACAGCGCAGATTGGACGCCACAGCGGATCTGTCCCTTTCTCCCGTTCTACCCTGACAGAAGTCTGGACAACTTTCTTATCTTCCTCTCCATCATTCACCCATCCCCTGTTCACCCCAGAACCGATTCCTCGTGGGAATTGCTCGGAGGCCCCAGGCTCTATGATTCCGTCTTCTTTCCCTCGTTAAACTCTCTTTCATCGCTCGAGCACGACCCAAGGACTCGTCTCCTGGGACGTGGCTAGAACTCTTTTCGTTCTTTTTTTGCTCGCATGTCGACTGGAGTTGACGGTCGACCTTCAGGCCCACGAGTCAGCAGGCGCTCTATTTCGCGGGTTACCGATTCCGCCGGCTCATTTACCAGCCTTCCAACGGCCTTTACAGACAAACAATCCAACATGGTCACTCAAACCCAGCGGTCCCGATTCGTTAAGACGGGCGCCATTATCGGCGCCCTGTTGCTTATGCTGTTCTGGCTTGCTCCATCGAGGGCCACAGTGTCTAACCTTGGACCTAGTAAGTTATTGGTGATTTCGACTCCACGAAATTGCTGCTAATACTGGCCTACAGCTTCTCAACCATCCACTGGCGGTGCACCTTTGACGGCAAAATGCTCGAAACCCTCAGATCCCTCCAAGCCTCTTATTCAGTACGCAATGATGATCGATGCTGGAAGCCAGGGCTCTCGAATTCACGTCTACAAGTTCAACAACTGCGGACCCACACCCGAACTTGAGCATGAGGAATTCGAGCAAACTGAGAAGAAGCAGGGCGGCTCGGGACTTAGCTCTTACAGGGAGGATTCTGAAGGTGCTGCTAAGAGCTTGGATCCTCTTATGGCCGTCGCAATGAGTACTGTTCCAGACGAGTACAAGTCATGCTCCCCGATCGCAGTCAAGGCTACTGCTGGACTGCGCATGCTCGGCCCCGACCTTAGCCAGAAGATCTTAGAGGCAGTGAGAACCCGCCTTGAAACCGTCTATCCCTTCCCCGTCGTCTCGCGTGAGAAGGGTGGCGTTGAGATCATGGACGGCTCCGATGAGGGCGTCTACGCTTGGATCACCACGAACTACCTTCTCGGAAAGATTGGTGGACCCGACGAGACCCCTACCGCTGCGGTCTTTGACCTTGGTGGAGGTTCGACTCAAATCGTTTTCCAGCCTACATTCGATAAGAGCCCATCTGGCGGTATGCCGGAGCACTTGGCTGAGGGCGACCACAAGTATGATCTCCAGTTTGGTGGGCGCCACTTTGAACTCTACCAGCACTCCCACCTCGGGTATGGTCTCATGGCTGCACGGGATGCGGTGCACAAGGCTGTCGTCGAGGCGAAGTTAGCTGCGAACCCAGGTGACCGCGCGTGGTTGAAGCAGCCCATCTCCAACCCCTGCATTGGACCCGGGATGGAACGCGAAGTGGAGCTGAAGTACCAGGATGAGCAGTCCAACCATCCTCTCGCCCCTTCAGTTAAGGTCAAGATGGTTGGCCCCAACGAGGGAGCTCCCTCAGCCGCTGCCCAGTGCCGCGGACTGACGGAGAAGATCCTTAACAAGGAAGCTACTTGTGCCCTTGCACCATGTTCATTCAACGGTGTCCACCAACCATCTCTCGAAAAGACCTTCTCGAAGGAGGACGTCTACATATTCTCCTACTTCTACGAGCGTACACAGCCCCTGGGTATGCCCGATTCGTTCACATTAGACGAGATGCATGATCTCACCAAGACTGTCTGTGCCGGAGAATCCACATGGAATGTCTTTGAGGGTATCCAGGGTGCTCTTGAGGAACTGCGCGACCGACCGGAGTGGTGTTTGGACCTTAACTTCCAGCTCGGTCTTCTTCACACTGGTTACGACATGCCTCTGTCGCGTGAGGTTAAGATTGCAAAGAAGATCAAGGGTAACGAACTTGGATGGTGCCTTGGTGCCAGGTAAGCATCAACCGTGACATACTAGCTGAGAATTATAGTACTGACAGCTTCATAGCCTTCCCCTCCTAAGCCAGGAGTCAGGCTGGACATGCCGAGTGAAGGAGATCTCATAGATGACAGTGATGCCGGAAATGACCTGAGTTATATCTTTTAATTATTCTTAAACGGGTGCAACAAAAATTCCTTTCTCTTCTGCATGCTAACAGGCTAGACCGTTGGTATTGTATTCTTTTACATTTGATTTGGATGTGGCCTGGTCTTGCTGTACGGTATAGATGAGAAATCTGGTTATCGGTGGATATAGAATGTTCTCATTTCAATGCGTTCTTCATGAGACAAAGCCTGGAATTATTACCGCAATGCCAAGCTGAATAGACTATGTTTTTTCCCTGCCAAGTTGAACGCCTGAGATACCCCCTGAAGATAAGCCATCGAACATAACTTTTCCACTCCATCATCAAGATATCATGAGTATGTGTATGTGTATGCGGATCACTGAAGGGACGCCAAGTATATGCATGCAATGTAATAATAGCCAGAACCCACGAAATAGACAGCCGGACTCAATTACCGAGATCTTGAATCGATGGTTTCTCTGACGAGGATGTCTTTTCCTTTCCCATCAAGCGATCCATCAAATTCGTATCGGAGTGGCCATGAGGTTCAGAATCTTTCTCTTCGTCGCCAGAGGTGGGCTCATCACCGGGGCGCTTCTCTTCTAGAACACCAAGTCCTAGGTTCTGTAGACGACAGATATTAGCAATTTGAAGTAATTCAAGTACAGTTGGATGTGTAACAATGAGCGTACCATTTCGATGTATTGACCGTCACTTTGAGCCTCATTCTCATCACCTTCATCAAGCCGTATATCTTTTGCACGACCAGCAGCTATTTCCCTCTGTAGGTCCTCATTGGCGGTTTTCATCTGAGGCAGAAACGCAGATAACTTGCTGAGAAGACTGGGTTCTTGGTCGATGCGACGAATATTTGGTTTTCGTCGCGCTGGCAAGGATGTGATTCCTTCATTGTCGCCAGTCACGACGTTATTTGAATTTCCAGCAGTTTCACTTTGGGCGTCGTCGTCGTCGTCGCCGTCATCATCATCATCGTCGGAAGAGGATAAGGACGAGCCAGACGAGGATGTGTAATCTTCGTCGTCCTCTTCGTCATCGTCGTCGCCGCTGTGGTGGGCTGCGGAGGAGGCTTTGCGGGCATTCACCGCGGAGGAAGCAGAAAGTTCGCGCCCGCCATTACTCGTCACAATGTGCTGAGCGGAATTGTCGCTGCGCGGGCGCTTGGGTAGAGTTATTGGGCGTGATGAGACAGACTGAGCATCGGCATGCTGCTGAGGGCGCTTCTGAGGCACATTGTCCATTTCAAGCGCTGCCAATGAAAGAGAAAAAGTGAGACTGGGCCGGGCGATTCGAAGGATGGATGTGCTTCGCCTTCACGAAACAAGGTGGGGTCTTGGTGGCTGTCCGTCGATGGCCCGGTCGCGAGGGGAAGATGCAGGTCCGGAATTAATTGGATGCTTGGACATGCAAGAGACAGCGGACCTTGAAAGCCTGAAGAATTCTTTGTCGGGTCGGCTGGTGGTGGAAGTGTCTATTGGACCGTCACCTTCCACTCCAGTTGTCATGTTCATTTCATTTCTCCTCCAGCCATGCAGGATTGGATCAACACCTGGAGTCATATGGGGGCAGTGAGCCTGTCTCTTTCCCTTCTGATTGGGGACTAACATCTCGTCTGGTCGTATATGAGGTTGGGCCAGTCCAACTCTGAGTGAATGTTCCTTTCGCTCTATCTGCTGGGCTGAGGCTTTATTCCATCCCCCTCTTTCTGTCGTCTTTGTTTTCCCAACGGCGTGGTTTGTTCTTTCATTAGATATCCATTTATACATGGGCGTATGTTAGCGTCATCTGGCTATTTCTTGTAATACAAAACTGCAGGTCCTGCATCGTTCTGAAGGTGTGTCTCTGGCTACTAACTGTCTGACCTCCTTATACTTCGGGCTATAGCTAACGAAACCCCGCAGAATCCACAAACAGCCCCTCCTTGAAGGTGGGGAGCAGAAGAATAAGCCAGGGACATTCATATAAACGAAGGCCGCGAGCCTCTCTGGATAAAACACGAGTGCAGACAGACCAGACCATGTCCGAAATGGAACCCCCTAAGCTTCAGGTGCAGCAGCCCTCGCCCACAGAAGAAGCCAAAGAAACCACAGACAAAACCCCAGCTACCAGGAGGTCATTGCACCAGAACATCCTGGGCAAACTCCGTCCACTTCCTTTGCAATACCATTGGTCATTCTGGTACGACAAACATTCCGAGAGTGCATCTTCAGAATACGACGAGAGACTGTACGTCTTATACGAAGACGTTGCGGACATAGCTACCTTCTACCGCGTCTACAACAACTACCCATGGGACAAGGTCCCGCAAAGAGACACAGTGCACATCTTCCGCAAAGGTGTGAAACCCGTCTGGGAGGATCCCGAGAATCTCAAGGGTGGATGTTGGAGATTCCGAGTGCCGAAGAGAAAAGCGCAGGCTTTCTTCCACGAAATCGCCATTCTCTGTATCTCAAATGAGTTCCAGGCTGCTTTGGAAAAAGGTACGCAGATCCGGAAGAAGTCTCTCTCCCTCCGTGAATCTATGAAACTGATAGAGCACAGAACACGACCATGTCCTGGGAGTGTCTACCTCCGTACGCTTCAACACGCATCTGATCTCGGTATGGAACAAACTAGGTTCGAACGAGCGCTCCGTCAAGCTTCTAGAGGAAACCATCCTCAATCGCTTATCGCCAAATCTACGGCCTACTGACTCAGGTACGAACTCGTATTTCTATAAACGCCATCATGAAAATGAAGGGTACCAAGAAGCCGTTGGGCAGCAGGCGGGCTCCGAGTAATGGATTAGTACACTACTACAGGCTTGAAGTATTACGGCATGGGTTGATTACGTTTAAATATTTGTATTGTTTAGAGGATAAATAAAAAGGGCCCGATTTTATCATTAATTGATTATTTCGTTTATACTGGTGTTCTTCGGTACCATGATACTTATACAGTGGTATATTAAATAATACATGGATAGAGCAACGGGAGGACGGCTGGCATACGACGGCTCCTACTCCCTTGATGAAGCCTTATCGTCTGCATCCCCAGGCCGCCAGCTCTGCGCCTTCTGATTCGGATCGCGCGGCCTCTCTCGATCCCGCTCTCCTCCACCCGGCATATACCGGTCTATCTCGATGAAGCCACGAGACCGCTCCTCAGGGCGCTCTGGGGACCGGAGCCGTCGACGCGGAGAACGGCTTCGACGGCTGGTAGATGGGACGTAGCGGTCGATGTCGAGCATGCTTGGAGAGCGCCGTCGAGAGCGGGAACGACGGCGCGGTGAAGTAGAAGGTTTTCTTTCCCTATCCCTACCACGATCTCGATCTCTGTCACGGTCACGGTCACGGTCTCGCTCGCGATCGTTGTCCTTCTCCGTCCGATCTCGATCACGGTCACGATCGCTAGTCCTATCTCTGTCTCGATCCCGATCCCTGTCGCGCTCTCGCTCTCGCTCCCGTTCACGATCTCTATCTCTGTCTCTGTCTCTGTCTCTGTCTCTGTCCCTCGACCTGTCCCTATCTCGAAAACGATCTCTTTCCCTATCCCTCTCCCGGTCCCTGTCACGATCTCGTTCTCTCGACTTATCCCTGCCTCCTTCCCTTTCTCGTCCCCTGTCACGATCTCGGTCCCGATGAGACGAGCGTGGACGTGAAGATGAGCGAGAATAGTGGCTGTATCGCCGACGATAACTATCATAAGCCGGTCTATCCCTACCACGATCGCGACTTCGGTCCCGGCTGCGGTCCCGACGGCGGTCATCATCTCTGTCCCGGTCATCTCGTACACGGTCTCGGTCTCGGTCTGTCCTTCTGTCCCTGTCCCAGTCCCGATCTCTATCCCTGTCCCGATCTGTGCGATCACGATCACGATCACGATCACGATCACGATCACGGTCATGATCACGGGCTCTGTCGTAGGTCCGTGTGGTAGACCGACTCCTACTGCGACGGCTTGGTCGATAGCTTCGATCACCGTAGCGCTCCGCCCGAAAGTCGCGAATTGGGACTTTATCGTCCGAATCACGGTCTCGAGGTCTGTTAGACACATCCCGTGATCGGACGTTACGGTCATCGTCATATCGCGATCCTCTCCTTCTCGACCGGCTGCGGCTGTCATCGCGCCTCCGGCCTCGGCCGTCGGCCACTGTTGATCCACGTCGCCGGTTATGTTCTGGGTCAACAGCTGGACTGCCTGATTTAGTAGAGGTATTAGAAAACTTCGACTCCGAGGCCTCCTTAGGCTTGCTCGTTGTTGGCTTTAGCCCGTTTTCGATCGCCTCAGCTTCCTCGAAATCGAATTCCGGCTTCTGTCGGGCCTTCGCAGCTAATTCTTCGCCTTCCTTCAGCAGGAGTTGCAGGGCAGCCTCTTCCAAAGCCTTCTCATCCACAGGCGCAGGCGGGGCTGGCGGGGGAGTAGGTTCCTTTGATACTGGAGTTTTCTCATTTCGGGCGTCTTTGATACGAGGCGATAAACCACGATCGGAGCGGTAGCCGGGAGAGCGGTCGCGGTCGCGGTAACGATGATAATCTCGGTCCCTATCCCTGTCTCTGTCCCTGTCACGATCTCTATCCAAGTCTCTGTCTCTTGTGCGACTGCGATCTCGCTCACGATACCCCCAATCCCGATACCTATCGCGGTCCTCACGTCGTCGTCGCTCGTATCGTTCCTGCCGATCTTTTTCTCGTTGCTCATCCAGAGCTCGTTGTTCTGCGCGCCATTTTTCATCACGCTCGCGCTTCCTAGCCCGTTCTTCATCGTCTTTTTGCCGCTGGATTTCGCGTTGCTTCCGTTCCTCTTCCTCTTTCTGGCGCTCCTCTTCTTCCTCAATTTCTCTTCGTTTGCGTTCTTCTTCCTGCCAAATCTTTTCACGCTCATCGCGCTTGGCCTTCACAATCTTAGCATAGTCCTCATCTGTCGTACTCCCCGCTATCTCCTCGCGAAGGGCGCGCTCATCGCCGATATCATGGCGACGAATATCGCGAATGGACTCTAGAATAGTCGGGAGATGTTGTGCGGCCAGCGCATCCAAAGTCTTCTCGACCGTCTTATACACATCGCTGCGGTCCACTGCACCTTCAATCAAGGTTGCGGCCTTTCCCTGTTCTCTAGAAAGAAGTTGAGGTTCGCGCTCGATCTCGGACTCGGCTAAGTCGGTGAGTAGTTTCGTAAATTCGACTTTTCCCTCCTAGCGCGTAGTCAATACCCAAGGACAAGGAGAATAGAGAAATAAAATAACATAGGTGGATTCCTTACACCATCATGAAATTCCGACCACGCCTTCTTGCGAATATTATCGAAGCCCCCCTTTTTCTTAAAACTGTGTAGCAACTCGTCGACCGCTTCGTGCTGCGCCGAAGTCAACGGCAGCTCTTCCGTCTTGAACTTCTTGCGCTGCAAACTCTCAACATCGAGCGACGGTCGCTTCACGCCATTAACCTGGGGTCCTGGGGCCTCCACTGATCCATCCATAACAAGTCGCGTGGAAATCAGACGAAAATGCCTGAGTTCCCAGGTTCGGTTGGGTCAAGTAGAAATTCACTGTAGATCTCGACCCTGTGTTGGAGCGCCGCGACGGGTTCGGTGAAACTCGCGTTCCGGAGCGGATTGGGAACTGCGGCCCCGTGATTCGACAGCCTTGGATCAAGCACAACTTCATCCCGATCGACTGTCTCTCTGCCGACGGAGCTCAATTGTGCCCGTACTCTCCTCAAGCCGCCATCGCGAAATAACTGCTTGATTTCTCTACCGGCAGGCTCCGCTACCTTTTTTTTCCCCTCCTCCCTATCCGCGCAGTCCGAGTCCGCGACCCCTCACTCCGTCAATATGGTTCACAAAGTCCTCTTCTGGAGCGGCTTCGGTACGTCCCCTCCCGACAATCTGTGTTTACGCGCTCTGGGTTACTTGCCAATTGGCCTTGTAGCTTAATACTCCATTTAATTCCGTCATTTGGTATAGCCAAGGCCCTTACTAACCCATCCCGACCCCAGGCATTGCCGTCCGACTCTGGCAGCTCGGCATCGAAATGCGTCCTCTCTTCGTCAAGGAATCCCTCTGGGCGTACCCCCTCTTCGCTGGTATCGGTGGCAGTTTCGGATACTGGATCCAGGGTGTTGAACAACGACAACTCAAAATCCTCGCACAGCAAAAGGAAGCTATCCTGGAGAAGCGCCGGCGACGAGACGATGGTGCTCTGAGCAAGGTGGAAGAGGCCGGTACCTTAGCTGCGACGTCATAAAGTTGGTGGTTCAGTTTCGCTTGTGTTTATATCATATCATATCCGCCTCTTTTTTTGTGTTCGGTGAATAGCGCGTGGAAGGACGGGTTGTCTTCCCTCGTGAGGGTTGGAAGATTCAATCTGTATATGTACCAAAATGCAATGGTTAAAATTCGCTATGGTGACAATTCCGTGTTCGATAGAGTACTGCTATTGAAGGATGTGTAGGGAAGGGTTAAAGCGAATTGGCTTGACTGTGATTCAATAAATTTTTAGTGCTTTCAATTCCTTAACGTGGTTTCTGCTGAGTTTACTGAGTGTTCCAGTGAACCGGCATAATTAGCATACTCCTAGCGTAGCAGCACAGGTTTACGGGTGCAATCAATGTATAGACAATCCTGTTATCTGGGGGAGACATGATAAGGGTTTTAGATCTAGGGTTTCTATTGTTACTAGGGAGGAAATAAACGGAATGTATACGCAGAATTTATTGTGTACCGCCTAATAACCCAAGCGTGATATGTGACGAGGCAGCAGTAGCAGCCAGTTCAAGCTTTCTCTATAGTAAATTGAGTTGAGATTTCCCATTTCTGGCCACCGCCTCCATATCCTCCGCCAAGTCGATTCTTGATTAGGCTAGATACCCGCTCACGCACTCGTAGGAGATTCTCCTCGGAGCCAGTGACGCGGAGCTTCAAATTCGCCATGCATAGCCCGTAATGAACCTGCCAGAACCTTGCATCGTCGACGGCGAACACACACGGGTCGGCTTCAATATCCCGGATGACGTCGGAAATTCCCGAGCCCGAATAGGACATGAGCAGCATGGATCCTAGAGTCTTAACGAGACGCATCCCGAGAACACACATGCAGATTGAAATGGTGCTAGACAACGTGACGTCGAGCCAAGTGTAGAGCTGAATGGAGACCAAAGGGAGTAGTAAAAGCAGTGCAGAGCAAGAAAGCGTGAGGAAATGAGACGGGTTACTGAGTACCGATGGTAGGGACTCAATATAATCAAACCGCATGGCTTTTCCGATTCGACCATGGTTCCTCAAGCCAATGGCAGAAATCAACGTGGACGAAATAGCGAGAAGTGCTGTGAAATCTACACTTCCTGGAGAGACCCGCTCGTGGGGATGCTCATGGTGAGGCTCGTGGCCGGAGGACTCAAGGAAATGCTGAAGGTTGTGCGAAATAAGATCCAATCCCATGAACAGTAGAAGAACACACATCGCAAACCCAGCCAACACCTCAGCTCGTTCTAGTCCAAAGGGATGCCGAATGCTTGATCGCTTCCAGACCTCGAAATTACCCAACACGTCAACCGCTACACAAAGCAACGCACCCAGCGAGTCAAAGAGGATCAAGTGGGATAAGGCTGTCATAGCCAACGACCCATGGGCACTCCACAGAGTGTAAGCTGCGACGAACATATGGCACACACTCCACCAAAACCTCCGTTTCTGGTCGACAGACATACTAGACCGGCATTCTTTCAGCGTCGGTATCGGCAGCGAGTTGGGTAATGCCAATGGGGCCCGAGGGGGAGGTTCGAGGAAGATCTGGTGCGAGATACTACTGTGCTTGTATTTGTGTCCACGTCGCTGGCCAATGTTCTATAAGCACTGATATTAGCGGAGTGAATTCGCAAAGAATTATAGAACATGTCTTACAGACTTCACGACAGGGCTCTTGGCCATTGTCGTGGTTTGGAAATTGAACGGCCCCGATGAGACATTGTCGCTCTGGCCATTGGGTTGTGTAGCATCCGCTGAGAGGTTGAAGGAGGCCTTAGTAGGGCTCAGGCGATTAGAATCTTCCGACATAGACGAATTTAGCGACGGCCCGACCAAAGGCGACAAAGTATCACGGCCTAGATTTTGGGATGGGATGGCAGAAGCACTTGGGGGATCATCCGGGGGTGGAGTGGGCGTCCGCGGCGGCACGGGGAGCGGCATGTTAGATGCCATTGCGCCAGCGCAAGAGGCAAAGAATTAACAGTATAATTCAAAAGCGCCGCGGTTCCCTATCCAATTGGCTGGGGGAAGGGTCACGACGATATTGATGATGTTGTTGAAGCGCGGAAACAGATCGAGATTGAGATAAGGAGGCGCCGAGGCGGGGAGGAGACTGTGGCCTCAGGCGCCAACATTTAGTATGGGGCCGTTGGGGACTCATCGCATCATCGACTCCTCCATCGTCTTTCCATCTACCTCTACTTATCCCGGCTCGGCCGCTTTTCAGGCTCTTCTTTTTTCTTCATGGTTCAAGACTGATGAATTTCTTTCCCCGCCCCTTCCTGGCGATGATATTCCTTTTAACGGAGTAAGGTGGTTGGATCATCAGAGTCTCGGAGGCTGGCGCCGTCTTCCTAGTTATGGATCACCGCGGCTCGTTCTTTTTTTTCCTGATCGTATTCTATTTGCTTCTCAGCTCACAATCACATCCACCATTAATATCTCAGGATCGTGAGCACCAGCGAGAGCTTGAGCGAGAACGACATGCGCTTCACCTGCTGAACGAGTCCAGCTATGGAGACTTTGATCCCCGCGCCGATAGGTGGCTCCCGTTCATCGGGGCCCGAAAAAACGATAGCTTTGACTGGGGCCTTTTGGCGGACGCTCAGGATAGAACCCGGTACCAACTGCGGACCACCTTTACGGACGCAGGCTTAGTGCCTCCGAACGGGCTCGAAGATCGCGATGCATCTAGTGCATTGAACCTTTCTCAGCTGGCCCTACCCGTTTATCGCAATTCGACGGGGACGTTACGCGGAGACTGGGTGCGTCGCAAGCTGGAAGCCGATCGACCTCCACTCAACACAACCGCCATTGTTCTCGAACACGAGTACTTCACCCATGAGTTTAGCCAAAACGTCACTGGTGACAGCGGGGCCTTCTACCTGAATGTGCATGAAGGAGGCGGGCAGGAAATCAAGTCTCCTCAGGGCCATGTTCGTGAGATCCGAGCAACCTTGGCCGTGGAGACAGATGAGTTCTGGGGCAACACCTGGTATATCTCGTTATATGGAGTCCATTTCCCTGAAACCGGCGGCATTATTCTCACGACGACAAGCGAGAAATTCCGTGGTGTTTTCAGTCTACCCCACTTGACAATGTCTGCAGACTCCTACAACCTTTCCCACGAGCTACTTATCAAATCGCTTTCGGATACCATTGCAGAGAAGCAGAATCGCCATCCTACACTATTTCCCTGGTCTTCGCTTGTGGGAACGGAGCAGGTGGAGTTTCCGTCTCCAAAATGTGAACATATAGTTTATCTGCAGCAGCATCCGGTAGCTATAGAGGGTTATCTGGCGGACCAGGTGGTCATTAACCATATGGAGCATGAATTGAGATATCCAACTGGCGCACCGATACCCTCTCCACCCGTATTGGTCATGTCGGCTGTGGTATACTCTCCCGACTGTGGATATATCCTTGAAACCAAGGGCGCCCCTGATTATCCCCCGACAGACAGACTGTATCTCCAGGGCCCCAAATCAGAGGAGTATGCGAGATACGCCGCGCGCGTAGTATTCTTGGTTTCCGCTACGTTTATTGGGCAGATTACACTGCTTATGCGACAAATCAAAGAATCCTCCACTCCATCAACTCGCAGTCGGATTAGTTTCTATACTATTGCTCTCATGGCGTATGGGGATGCATTTGTGCTGGTCTTTATCCTGCTGGAGCTCTACCCGGCGATCTCATTCTTGGTCATGGCAACTCTGTCCTTTTTTGCCTTTCTTTCGGTGAGTTACATTGCCATGAAATTTATGATAGAAATATGGGCTATCCAGGCTCCCGAGAGGAGGGAGCAGACCCGTCGGTCTGGCCCTTCCACGCCGACTAGCCGGTCCGGTGGGCTACCTCTTCCTGCTACAGCAGCTCGAGTCAGAGATTCCGGCGCTACACCCATAATTTTGACACCTGATCAAGATCCGCCTGCCGATGAGGAAGAGGAGACAGTCACACCGAATCGATCCACCGTACCAACAGCACAGGAAACTCGAAGTGATGTGGGCGCAATGTATGCGCGTTTCTACTTTGTCCTCTTTGTGATGCTTATTATCTCGATTTGGTCATTCCTCTGGCCTAATAGAGTGGGTCGCTGGTATGCCCGAGCCCTGGCGTTTAGTTACTTGTCATTCTGGGTACCACAGATATATCGAAACGTCATACGCAACTGCCGAAAAGCTCTGCGGTGGGACTTTGTCATAGGCGAGAGCTGCCTTCGACTTTTCCCCTTCCTGTATTTCCTGACTGTCCACGAAAATGTTTTGTTCATCCGCCCAGATCTCAGAACTGCGGCCTGCCTTACTGGCTGGGTATGGGTTCAAGTCTGGCTCCTAGCGAGCCAAGACATCCTAGGACCTCGTTTCTTCGTCCCCCGAGGTTGGGCTCCTCCAGCATATGACTACCATCCGATTCTCCGAGATGACCCAGAATCAAGTCTCGATCTCGAATCCGGCGGTATCCTCCCAATCGGAGCTCTGCGAGCAGATGGACGACGGGACTCATCAAGCGAAGCGAAAGAAGACGATACCCGGCAGCGCAGCAAAGACCGCAAACGAGCTATTTTCGACTGTGCCATCTGTATGCAGGATATTGACGTGCCCGTTCTTGCGACGTCAGGAGCCGCGGGCGGCAACAGTGTTGCGGACGGTGCGACGAGTATCCTCACGCGTCGAACTTATATGGTTACTCCATGTCGTCACATCTTTCATAGTCCCTGTCTTGAGAGTTGGATGAAGCTTCGTCTGCAGTGTCCTATATGCCGCGAGTCCATTCCTCCGGTTTAGATGTGCAGCATTTGGATAGACCCTAATCTGAAATGTATTATTTGGCTGTGTAATATATCGTTATATACTTCTATCAGATGCTTACTATGGGGAGAAGCGAAAGCTCAAGATATCTTGGTCATAGCTCAGGTACACCGCCCGCGAGCCACAGTGAAGAACTGTATAAAGGTGGGTAGTCAGCATGGTGATTGGTCCCCACAACTCGTAGTTGTGCACAACAGATCCACATTCTAGGCGCAGGGAAAGCGCGGTTGCGAGGTAAATACGAGCAGCATAACACTGGTGCTATGAATAAGATTCAATTACCGTCCTTTTTTTCCTCTGCGACATTCCAGACGTTAGTACGTCGAGGACAACGCGGGCATAGGGTATTCTGTGACAGGGTGGCTCCGCGGCAGGGATAATTGATTGAGATGGATGCATTTGCGGTCTCTTTTACGGGGAAGCTGGAATGCTCTGTGGCCATCGGAATTATCAGATATCAGGGCTATGCTAGTCCATGGACGGCGTGAAGAGGTGGATTGAAGAGAAGACGTCACAGACAACTCTCAGCCTTCTGATTGATTTCTGGCTGTAGACTGCACAGCCGCTCTAGAAACCAGCAGACAATGCAAGCAAACTCGGCTAAATCAAGATGCTGATACATTTAACGTCTGAGGCCCTATATCTAGTAGTATACCGCCATCTCTTCTCATCCAAACGATCCATGGAGTATATGCGGGGCCTTCGAAGGGCACCTCGCAGGCTTGTTGCTTAATTAAGAGTTCTATTTCCAGAGTATGCGCGAGTCAACTTAGTGCGTGACTCCTGCACTTCATCACACCACCATCCCAGCCACATCAACCAGTTAGGGCGCAAAGCTAACCGCGAACTTGCACACCCCTGTACAACCTCTCCAACCGGACAGTCTAGAGACTGCGGCACAGTGAGCTTGCTTAAGCCAAGATGACGGTCCGTCCCTTGGCCACGGCCCGGTCCCCTGCTTTTGTGGCAGTGTAGATTGTGGTACTTTCCTCGCTACCACGCATCTACACTGCTATGATGCCTTGACTTAACACTAACTCAGCCACGACAGTGTGGCAGAGCTGGTGCACCTTAGGCAGACAAGTAAAGCCCTGCCCTGCACAAGAAGTATATAGTTCACCATCATTCCCCTCCAAAATACCATACCCATCATCCAACTCAGATACCAACTCCCCAATAGAACCAACCAACAAATAACAAACCACCATGCCACCTCGATACTATTCCCGCCCACACCTCTCCAACATAATAAAACTAGAACCAATGGAAGAACCCTGGTGCGCCGGGTTCGCCCATTCCCAAGGCCGCCGCTGCCACAACCGCACAAACGCCCGAAGCCGGAAAGCAGCGGCGTCCCTTCTCGACGAAGGCACCAGGGACCTCCACCAGGGGTTCTCCATCGACGACGTCCTCGAGGACCTAGCACCCCTCGTATTATGCAAGCAGACAAAGAGCCACCAGGCCCAGGCACCGGAGCTTGTCAGGACGTGGCAGCGCCGCGTGCAGAGGTTTGAGCGTTCTTACAATACGCCTCCGCCCGTTGCTTCTCAGCCTCGACGTACTACTACGTCCACATCCACGCCCGCATCTCCGTCGGCCCGACGAACTAGCAGTGGACAGCAGGAACTTGGGCCTGGGCATCTCGAAAGGAGGCTCCATGATATTTCTGTAGAGCTTGAGCGGCTGACAGCCACTGTCTCGGCGACAGAGTCGAGGTTTCAGAATTTGACTTCGAGGTTGTATGAGCAAGCTGGTGCACCTTCTGGATCTGTTCGCCCAGCCGGTGGTGTTGATGCAAACACTACTAGCGATGGCAGTGTGAACTCCCGAGATACATCGAGCACGAGGCCGTCCCGCACGACAGTGTCGAGTCCAGTGGCAATAAGATCTAGGTCGATAAGCCCTGCGTCAACAAGCATAACGTCACCTTTGGATGTCGTGCCTCGTCATGCTAGAACAACAGCCCATATCACTCTGCCCTCCTCTCGCGCGGGCGACGCTACCCGTCGATCGATCGAGGGTGAGTGTGGTATTTGTCTGAATCCACTGCTAAGGACTCGGTCTCGCAATGGTTCTAGCTCTGGTGATGAAGTAGAGGATGCTGATACTGAGGAAGATACGGACTCTGATTATGAGGAAAGTGAGGAGGAAAGTGAGGAGGAAAGTGAGGAGGAAAGTGAGGAAGAAAGTGAGGAAGATACGGACTCTGATTATGAGGAAAGTGAGGAGGAAATCGAGGAAATCGAGGATTACGAAGGGTTGACCTGGTGCAAAGCCCAATGTGGAGTCAACTACCACACGGAGTGCATTGAGCAATGGCTGCGGGAGTCTAGACATCGGAATTGTCCAACTTGTCGGAGCGGGTGGATTGAGTAGGGGTGCCTCCATGAAAGTCAGGTTGTAATGATGCTTCTATGAAGAACATGGTTAATGAATAACGATATTGAAGTCTGATTGTATACCCTTCATCACACTAGACAGCTTGTAGTCAGTACTAAGGAATTTCAACAAAGACACGAGGCAGCCAGAAGCTTGTTCATATATTATATTCGCCTTTAATGTTGAACCTTTAAAGCGCACGCAGCCGATGAGGGCGACACAGGATAGTCTAAACAAGGAATACACACCCTCTCGCAAAGCAGCATCTTTCTCCTATGGGAAAATGGGGTGGAAGGAAAGCCAAGAACAAAAGACCAAAGCAGACATGTTCCGCTCTCAATTCATTTTGAAACAAACTCATTCATTCACATTTATTTATAATTCTTCCGCATACTCTTACTCCTCATCAATGGTGGCCTTGTAGGCGGCCTCATCAAGCAGGCCATCGGCCTCGGAGGCATCGCTGACCTCAATCTCAGCGATCCAGGCATCACCCTCTGGGCTCTCGTTGATGAACTTCGCCTTATCTTCGAGGATAGCATTTGACTTTGCAACCGTGCCGGAGACGGGAGATAGGACGTCCGAGGCAGACTTAACGGACTCCACGGCACCGACGGGCTCGCCGGCGCTCACTTCGAGACCGGTCTCGGGGAGCTCAACGAACACAACGTCACCAAGAGACTTGGCGGCGTATTCTGTGATGCCGACCTTGGCTGTAGAGGGGGGTTACCCATGGTTAGTTAACTCTGGTTTGGAAGAATGGGCGTTGAGGGAGCTCACCAGTCTTGCCGTCGCCGGAGAGCTCGACCCATTCGTGGGACTCAGTGTACTTCTTCACTTCCACTATATTTTTGAAAACAGGTGATTAGTATATGGGTTACTGCAGACAGCGACAAAGGCCAATGGCTTTGTATAGGCAATTTGTGTGCGGTTCTTACAGAATGGGCTCTGCGAAAAGGTGCGGATTGTTCCCCGCGGGAAACCCATTGCGGGCGAGACCCTGCGGACGGAGCTCAAAGGGAGCTTCTGGGCAAGGGCGCGGGAGGCAAAAGGGCGGACGACACAAGCGGCGGCAGACATTGTGAGAGATTTGGAGTGAAAAATGGAGAAGAACGACGAAATTGAACGGATGTTGAGAGGTGTAGGAGAGAGGAAGAGGAAACGGCGGAGGATGATGTCGGGGTTGAGTAGATAAAGCGCCAAGACTGGCCCTGATAAGCGCGTCATGGGCTGTTCCGAGTCGGGAAAATCTTCACCTGTGGCTTTTCTGCCTCTTCTGCCTTTCTCCTTCTCCGACCCGACCCCAGTCCAGCCTAAACCCCACTTTGTGACGCTTTTTGTTTGTCGTTTACTTGGTCGCGATGCTGTACGAATTGATTGCTATCGTATGCTGCCTCTTTTATCCCTTGTCGTGGCTCCCCCCAATGCTGACTCTCCCCCCTAGGTCCGTCCGGGCAGTCTGAACGAGGTTCGAGAGTATGTACCCCAACAGCCGAAAACGGCTTCCATCTTCCTACCGCGCTATCGACACTTATAAATCACTGCATAATTGAATCAAGCCGAACAAAACTAACACGTACCAGCATCGCCCGTAATACTGGCACCCTCGTCCTGCGCTCCGGCGGCGTAATCCGCGGATTCACCAACTGGGGCGTCTTCCGTCTGCCCAGAACCACAACGAAACACCAAGCCCGTTATACTGACGGCCACCACTTCATTATGCGCTTCGATGCCGCCTCGCCCGTGCAGCTGGGTATCCGCCGAACCCTCGCGCTCGACCCCCGAATGATCCGCTTCTCGGTCATCAAGCTCGGCGACAAGTTGCAAGAGGTCAAGGATGTCAGCGGGAAGGTTGAATGGAACGACGTGCGCAGTTTATCGAACTCGATCTAAGAGTATAATCCTTTGACGACGATGGAGGAGCTGGGGTTTGTTATGATATAAAGGCTGGCCGACCTACGGGTATGGGGCTCGGATGTTGATATTGGATTCACTGTTGGGACGGAAAATATGGATTGATCACCTTGTACATTATCGACGGCATTATCGGCGCATATGATCTTTGTGTTTTGCTTTTTTAGATGGGTTGATAATATGTCAGGCCATGCCTCGACTTTTTTTGCTTGATGCCACGTGACTAGGCCATAAAGCAAGACAATAAAGAATTGTTCACGACTCAGGTGCTTTGATATATGCGTAGGTTTGCAGAGAAGTGTTCTGCAATTTAAGAACAGGGGTTGAACCAGTATAACCAACTTCGGAGGGCGAGTATTGTCATGGAGTTCAGATTATATATCACTCCACCCTACAACACAATATGCCGACTGCAAGGTTTCAACATTGAATTCAAATATTCTGACTATTCTTGAGGACCATGATCCAACCCTATGTTACGCCGTACTAATCACATAGCTCACTCCTAGTACGCCGTCTTTGGTACATGCCAACTGAAAAAGAAACAAACTCCAAATCAGAAACTCGACCAGGATGAACGTTCAACAGGACGCTCTTGCACGCCTTGCTCCAAATCCCTCTTACTCTTCCTACCCTTCTTCTTTTCCTCCCTGCCCAGATAAGTCGATGGCTCCAGGGAGTTCAGATAATCCTCCTCATCATCCAAGTCACGATGAGTGAAATAGAAAAATGTTCCACCAAAGAACGCCAACACGGCAACAAACCCATAGTTCCACTTCAGGAGGGGATCCTGGCTTAATGCAGTGAGACCCTGCTGCAAAGCTGCAGCGACGGTGTTTGACATGAGGTATAGCGACTGCACGATGCTCTTCATGTTCTTGGGCGCCTTGGTATACGCGTACTCGTAGCCGGTGATGGTTGTAAAGATTTCGCTGACCGCGATGAGGACGTAGGTGATTGTTTGGAGCCAGACGCTGATGGGGGCGGGTTTGTCGCAGGTACTTGCATGGTTATGACATGGGCTGAGGACGTAGATGTAGTGTTGGGTGACGGTTGCGGTGATCATGGAGAGGGAGGCGATGATGTACCCCACGTAGATGCGTTTTATGGGGGTGAAGTTGAACCCAAGTTTGCTGATGAGAGGGTAGATGAATTGGTCCATGAGTGGGATAGTGATTATTAGGAAAAGAGGGTCCAGGTTGTTGATTATGTCGTTGGGAGCGCCGTGAAGTTCCATTGTTGCGGCTTGGGAAGTCAGGTTGCTGGTCATTTGTCCGAACGCGAGCCCTAGGTGGTGTATTAATACTACGTTTTTTGTTTGTTACTGGGTTGAGTGTAGAACATACAGTAGACGGGATACCAAGCGAAAACGCCGCATGCTTTGATAGCCCTGCGCACTTCATCGACCCATTGGTCGTCAAAAGTCATCCAGTACGGACGATGACAAACACGTATCTTGCTGGGCTTTGCATTTTCCCAAAAGTTAGGCGATCTGCAGTTCTTGATACTGTTCAAGTAAGCAATCTGACCGAGAAGCCACCAGAGGGCAAGACAACTGGGGTGAAATAAATACTCACAGTCGAACGGGGTTCCAAGACCAATGAGGTTTCAATGCATAAGCCCATAGCCTAAAAGCTTTTGCAACAACGGATCCAGTAGGAGGTGTGACATCGTACTTGTGTCGACACACGAAGAGGACCAAAGGGCACAACGAAAACAGCACGGTTGGAATGGTAAATGACAGCCAAAATCCAATGTACTTCTCCGCATAGACCATGGAAATTGACCCGGCCAAGCCACCAATGTTGATCATGAGGTAGAAGTACATGAAAATACGGGAGATCGTCTGCACCGGGTCCACTATGCACCTTTCTCCGGTTTTAGGATCGGTTCTGATGTAGGGTTTGGCGCGCTGATGCTGCTCAGCGATCAACGGGGCAATATTGGACCTGTGACCGTTAGTAAATCTCATGCCCCCATGAGCAATTACTTACTTGAAGCCACCGACGCCGATACCGAAGACAACGAGACCGGCGGAAAAGCAGACAATAGCGAAATTGGGGTGTTGAATGACAGGTGGAAGAGCGGATATAATGAGGATAATGTGTCCAAGCATAGCAAAGATAAACGAGACCTGGATTGTCTTCAGACGACCCCAGAATTCGTCGGCAATCCATGCTCCGACGATTGGGGTTAAGTAGCACCAGAAAGTATTGACTAGGGTCTACATCAGCACATGTTGATAAGGTCCCATGGAAGTAAGTGCCGTGTGATAACACGAAGAACTCACAAGTGATTAAAGCAGTTGCTGCCCTCTGACCATGTCCAAGGGCCCCGGGCTGTCCACTAAACCCAGCGCCGGTAGTCGAGTCAGGAGGTAAAGGCTGCTGAATGAAGTTGGTGACTAAAAGGTTAGCATCCATACTGATAGGATAGTAACACTGGAATGTTCAGGCAGACATACAAACAGCAGCTGTTCCGTAGTACGAGAATCTCTCGCACAGCTCGACAAAGGCAATGGTATACGCAGTCCAGCGGACATTGCCAGCAACACGGCGGAGGGTCTTGAAATCTTCTTCGGTTGGATATTCAAGCTCAGGGTTATTCGATGAAGAATTAGCTGCTATCGCTGCTGCTCTCTTCTCCTCTTGGAGTTGTCTCTCTGCTAATTTGGCGGTATAACAAGTCATGTCCGCAGACTCCCTCATTCTGGAGAAAACCATGGCTGGAGATGAGCAATTGGTAATCGCCTATGCAAGGATGAGATATGACGAAGAGAGGATGAGGATGAGAACGAGGAAAGGAAGAGGAGAAAGGAAAGAGAAGATGCAGGTAGAATTGAGGGTGGGAGAGCAACTGAGAGCAAGCTGTGTTATGATTGATATTTGCTCAAAATACTCCCCACCCATATTCACTTTGGACCTTTCTGTACCCAGTCACTCAGGGCCTCAAAGACAACACTGCACTGAATGAATATCCACATTGCCCAGGTTGCTTCAATGGACACCGAAGGATGTGTTAACCAGCCCAGCTTCGGTCTCGCCTCTGGGTTGCCGAAGGCATTGAGGTGGAAAGCCACCCACTCCGTACTTATCCATCTATCCTTTATCCTCACAGCCTTTAAGCCCTCTGTTATGGCAATTACCACTAGATGAGCGCCCCAAAGGAGCTTGAAGGGACTAAGCACCAGGCTCTCATTAATGATATCACAAGTCAACGAAATCGACCCAATATCTCTGGCTATCTGACCTGGGCCGACCCCGAAGCTTCCACCAGACGTGCGTACAGTATCCCATTACAGGTAGAATTCTTTTGAACCATGAATATCCCTCTCATCTCTTGTGATAATTTCCCGTTGCACGGAGCGGCTTCTGCTTCCTTGATGTATGGGCCTCAAAGTCTCGAAAAAGAATAGGCTAAGGAGATGGAGAATGACGCCAAAGAAAGCACCGAACAAACAATCTAATCGATAAGAAGATCTCGCGAAGCCTTCAAGAGGGTAAACTATCTACTTTTCACTGCTTATTGTTGGGGTGACAACCATTGACCGAGTTAATGTCTTAAGAGAGATTCGAGCAAGTCTCCGTAAGAGATGAATGTCTTTGTAATTACCCAATGATACATATGTAATTGAGCTTTCTGATGTTTTTATTTTCAAAAGAAATATTGGCCAGGATTGTTTCCTACCTGATTGGTAGTTAGGCTTGTGGCCCTCGGATGGACGATATTGTTTCATACCTCAAGGTGATTGGACAGTCTTGTCAGCAGTTAGGCACATTATTCTCACAGCAATTGAACCTTGAAGTTACTCGAGGATGGAGTCTTTCTTCGCGAACTAGAAGAATCATATTTTTTTCTTACGCAATCGATCCACCACCGCACTAGTAGACACAGTGAATGCTACGAGTTCTCAATCAGGTACCGATTGATATCTTCGGACCGAATAAGGACAAATGTGAAACAAATCAAACGAACACACCAGAAAACAATCCTCTAAAAATATCAAGCTCTTCTTGGTTTCCAGTTACTTTACCAAGAGCCAACAGATGGAGAAACATAAGTCCCAGCAACCGTCTCCCCACTACACTCACTCGGAACCTCACTCGCCGTCGATGACCCCCAAGACAGCGGCACCTGTCCATTCCTTCGTGCAACGGTCGTCAAAAACGATGCAAAGGACCAAGTTAGCAACTTCGCCGAGGCCGGTTCTCCGCTATCCCGGGTGAACTGCTCCGACAACGCGCCGTCGCTCGGGGTATACGCCTGCACGATATCGATGAAGCCGTCGGCGTAGGCTTTGACTGCGCCGGTAATGGACTCGTATTCGGGAGAGGAACTGTCAAAAGATCCAGTTTGCGTGTTGTTGACGAGATCGGTGAAGAAGGGGAGGGAGACGTTTGTTATATCGATGCTGCCTTGTTTGTCCCATTGGTAGAGGGCGCCATACAGCTGCTCAGCGGCGGCGAGTGTCGTGAGGTACCTGAGATCGGTAAGTATAACAAGAAATAAAATTAACTTGGAGCTATACTGACCATGGGTTTCCTCCTTGGTAGGTATCTTCCGCATAACGACCAGTAGCAACTGCTTTACCCGCACCGAGGCCGCTATTAACCCCATAGATCGAGCGGAACGAATCGACATAGACCTTATGGTTAGCCAGTGCCTTCGCCGAACAAGGCTGGAAAGTCGCATCATCACAGGCAGCCTCCGGGTCAAACAAGTTCAACGAAGCAATGACCGAGTTCGCATCAACGCCAGAACGACCGTTTGTCGGACTATTCGAGACAATGGCAGAACCATCCCAGTATTCCTGGAGATGGCACAATATCTGAGGAGCCACCGAGCACGAATCACACGTCTCCCCTAGAGCCTCAGCAAAGGCCGCGCCCTCAACCAGCGCCTTGAACTGGACGGCCGTGGTGAAGAACGATGACCCCTCTACTTCCTCCCAAAGATCAAAGCCTGTTCCGTTCCAGTACTCGCCAACGTATGCAAGGTCGTTCTGGACAAGCGGCCAGATGTTGGATGATACTAGGGCCGTGCTCCCATTCTTCACGAGGTAATTCCCGTACGCTATTAGAGCAGAAGCGCGAAGAGCAGGTCCATCACGCTGCGGACGACCCCACTCATCGGTGAACTGGCTCAGGTCGACGTTGAACTTGGGCTCCCCGAGCCCAGATCCATCGGAAATGCCGCCCGAAGGGTTTTCCACTGACTGGAGCTTTGCTTGTGAGTCGACGTAGTTTTGGATCGTGGATTCGAGGTCTGTGTTTCCGGCGCGGAGTTCCTCGATGAGAGCAGCCAGTGTCATGGCTGCATCTCGGGTCCAGGTATAGAAGTCTGGATTATTCTGTTAGCCATGAGTTTCTAGGGCTCTGATGCATCTTCACTTACAGTCTGGATTTTCTTTGGATGGAGAGGCAACAACAACGCCGGATGAGGCCCCGGAGACGAGACTTCCGTTGGCGCCGATGTTGTTCAAGACACCCTGTAGGGATATAGGAGTTTGGGAAGTAATAAAGGAGTCCACGTCAGCCCTCTTGTACATCGGATACCGAGGGAAGGCGACAGCCCCGGTTACAGCGAGGAGGGAAATTGACGACTTCAACAAAACCATGATGGTGAGTTGTGCTATTCAAACTAAATTTGTGATTGATGATCTCGGATTCCATGGCAGCAGTTTAACTGCGTCTTTATACTTTTGCTCATCGTCCACATAGCCTTGACATGTGCTGGAACACGGCATCACCGGATATTGAACCTACAGGCATCGGGCCGATCAGTCACAGATAGGGAGATTCTCCTGTGGAAAGAAATGTATATCGGCCACTATACGGGGCAGAACAAGCAATCTGGGGCTGACGCCATGAAGAGACAGCCACATCAAGGACTGATCGTCCGGGACTTCGCCGGAGGATGCCCACTGAATGTTTCACCCCCGTCCTGATTGCTTAAATGCCATCTCATTACCGACAACTCGCCGGCGGAGGCTATTGTGGCGCTAGATACTGTTTCTCATTTGTTATCTGATTAAGTTGTTGCTCGAGCAAGGTTTGCTGCAGTATCCGCAATGTCGGTCCGACATCTCGTCCATACAGCGATGTGAGCATTTAACTCCCCTGTTCAGCATGACGACTCTTAATTAAATAGAGTTAGTTTGTGCAGCTAGAACAGAACCGTCTAATTACCTAGTTTCTATAATTAATAACTTATTCATGACGAATCGCCAAAGTCTCGCCACTCGCAATCTGATACACTGCACCAGAACCATTCACACCCAGTACTTCAACCCGCGCATCAAAATCCGGTGTAAACTCAATCGGTCTCCCAGGAGCCCAAGAAATCCTCACCACCCCAGAGCCCGCGATAGCAAACGTCCCATCCATGATCTCCCAATGCTTCCTTCGCGGCTCAAACCGGATAGTCTTAAACCCAGGACTCCCAGGACTCAGCCCGGCCACATTTGCAACAACATCGTGGATAGGCACCGCGCTCCATCCATGACAATCACTCCGCGGCATCGCAGCCGACTCAGCCCACGTGGTGAGATTCTGGCTTATCATTGCAGACCACGGCTCTAGTAACATTGGCCGCAGCTGGTCATAGAGACCTGTTCTATGCGCTGCCTCGAAGACATAGAACCCCATTGCGTAAGAGCAGCGCGCGTACCCACTCTGTTCCGTAAGAGCACGGAGAAGGATATTGCGCGCCTCATCACCGTAAATAGCGCCAGAGAGAACCGCAAAAACCTGACAATGCTGACTCCGCTCTTCGTCTGGACTGTCGGGCCCATCGACGAGGAAGTTGCCACGCAGGCAGTTCTTCACGACTGCATTGTTGAGATTCATCGCCCGCTGGCGGTACTCGACACCCGTGTCGTGCCGCCCAATAAAGGCACAGAGCTCGGCAGCTTTCTGCAGCGCGTAGGCGTAGATCAGACTGTTGTATGTGGCTACGCCAGTGCGGTGATACGCAGGCGGTACTGCCAAGTTCCGGAAATCGCCCTTTGCAGATGCAGGGTCTGACCATTCTCGCGTCCAGTCGACGAACGGCCATACGTCCCATGCGAAGCGGCCGACTAAGCCGTTCTCGTTTAGGCGCTGGTCGAAGTGGTTGAGAATATCGTCTATAGCGCCGAGGTATCGACGGACGAGATTTGCGTCGCCGAAGTACATCATGTGGTCGTGGACCATGAGGATCCAGTACAGCGAGAAGCATGGGATGTTCACGCCCGGGAATGGAGAGGGGAAGTGTGTCTCGATTAGCCCGTCTGAGCGGCGGCTGGCGTAGAATTCTTGCATGCATTTCCGGGCGAGACGGTCGTCGTGGGAGAGCTGGTAGGTGAAGAGGATTTGCAGACGGGCGTCCATGGCGAATTGGTTCTGTTCGTAGAAGGGGCAGTCTTCGTATGTTTCATGCATGCAGTTGCGGAGGGTGTTGAGGCTGATTTCCCATGTTTTTGCGGTGTCTGGAGAGGGGAAGTGGGATAGTTGAGTCTTGATGTCGAGTGGGTAGTGTATAGTTCTGTAGCCTAGTTGTAGGATTCGCAGGGCTGTGGACGACGTTTCGATATACAGCTCGACATATCGGAAGGTACGGAACCAGAAGGGCTCATAGGAGACTTTAAAGTCAGCAGGCATGTTCCTGTCAATAGTATAGAAATCGTCCTGTCCGACTAAGATGCCAGATGCATCAGCGCGGTCACCCTTGTTCCGGGCAAATGGGTTCGGCATGGGCGATTCAGACGGCCTTTCGAAGCACTCGGCGGTGCGAATGCGAATCCTCGACGCCGCACCTCCCTGGAGCCTAAATTGGAGAAATGCGGTTGTCAGAGTTGATGCATCAAGCACGACAGTTTTTTGAGTGTTTGGTGGAATCTCGACTGCCTCGTTGCTCTGCACGAGATGGTGCCAGCGCACAGTGTCGGATTCTACGTCACACCTAGCAACAGACGAGAACTTTGCCTCGATTTCTGGAAAATGGGGAATTGAGCGTTCTGTAAGTCTCCATGGATCCAGAATTGGAAGCATTGGGACCTTCATAGTAGAATTGACCGCAGAATCCCAGGTTGAATCGTTATATTCGATGCCCAGCCAGCCTCTATCTTCTTTGGTACCATCGACATCCTCGCTGACAGACAGAAACGACGGACCAAGAGCCGGATTCCAGTCCTTGGTCGAGAGAATCTTTACAGAGTCGTCGACTTTGCACTTCCATGATGAACTAGTCGATATATCCTGCACAGTTGGATTAGTCTCTGGTCAGTGCACAGGGTACGCAATATCATACTATGTTCGAACAGTAAAGAATATACCCCGGGATAATCCCTCTCATCATGGACATATTGCCCGAATAAAATGGGGAGTAGCGAAGCACTCGCGCAGCGACAACATTGCTGCCAGTGAGAAGAAACGGCGCAACATCCACAGTCTCATAGTTCCACTCTCCAAGATGGCTTTTGGCGGGTCCGAATGCAACGTTTCGCCCGTTGACGAACAGTCGATACCGCGTGTCTGCAGATACATGGACAATGCACTGTTCTGGGACCTTGTTGACCGTGAAAGTCTTTCGGAATTGCACGAAGCGCGCGACGTGGTCTCTCTCGTCCCAGTTGGGAGACCAGATCCAGTCGGTGTCTTGACTCCAGTGGCGGCCCATTTTGTTTTCAGGTCCACGAGTGCTAGTCAAAATATCTATGAAGAACTAGCAGATCAATATCTGAAGTCATGGAGAACGTGGGGACGAGAGGTATAGAGTCCTTAATGTTCTGTTGGCCGATCTCGGATTTCCCGTGTCGCAAGCTCGGTGTAGCTCTCCCCGAGCCCTACCCCGGATATCCCAGGACCATATTCCGGCCTCTCCACGCTTCGCCGCGTTATAAGATTGATTTAGTTCCTTGTGAAGATTCAGAATGTCCTTTTGTATATTCTATGATTTAACATGTCACCACGAACAGACCATGAAAAGGCCACGATCGAGCACGTTGACGCTGTCCGAACCTACGGATCCGACGAGGAATCCAAGTCAACATGGCAGACGCTGAAAAGTAATCCGAAAATCATTGCGCTGTGTTTCTTCGCAAATGTCGGCCCGTTGATGTACGGCTTCGACAATCTGGCTACCTCGCTCTGTCTCTCCATGCCTGCTTTCGAGTACGCGCCAGCCCCTAACCATCTAACCATCTCAACTAACAGCCTCTAGACTTCAATTCGGAGAAATGGTAGATGAATCGCCCGTAATCGCAGCCTGGTGGCAGTCCGTCTGGAATGCAATGGGCCAGATTGGAACTATGCTGGGTGCAGTGGCCATCGGCTTCATCGCCGACCGGTTTGGACGGAGAGCGTGCTTCGCCATCTCGGCGGTCTTTTCTGCTGCTGGTATCGCAGTTTTATATATATGCTCTACGCCTGGCGTCTTTCTTGCGGGGAAGACGATTAACGCTTTGTCGCTGGGAATGGCCATTTCTGTTGGCCAGACTTACATTGCCGAGATCACCCCTGTCGCTATGCGTGGCATCGCTCTTTCAGGATTCACATTTAGTATGGTTAGTATAGCCTGAATATTCGCTACTTCGCCAGTACTTATGTCATGACTAGAATCTGGGGTATATGATTGCGGCTTCGGTCGCTTTCAAACGGCTGACTGTTATGGATGCATCCGCTTACCGGGTACGTCCGCACTCCGCACATCACATGCATGCATGCAACATATCCAACGGACTAATAATATGATCTATCGCAGGTCCTGTTCGCAGCAGGATGGGTCTGGCCCGGTCTAATGCTACTCCTATTCTCCATAATCCCCGAGTCCCCCTTCCATCTCGTCCGACAAGGATCTCGAGACAAAGCACGCAAAGCCCTAATCCAGCTCTCGCCAAAGGGAGCAGACATCACCACACAGCTCACAGCAATAGAGTGGCTAGTCGAAGATGAGCGCTCCCTAGCTAACGAAGCCCAATCCGCGTCCTTTGTCGAGCTCTTCAACAAGGATAACATCCGCCGAACCAGGATAATCATATACTGCAATGCCCTTAACCAGATGATCGGGGCTACTTTTATAGGCAACGGGCCGTACTTTTTGATCTCTGCGGGTCTGCCCTCTTCGTCAACGGGGATGCTTGTTGAGATTGGAATCGCGTTTGCTATCTGCAGTAGTATTATAACGTGGTTCCTCATTCCGCGGACGGGGAACCGCACCCTCATGCTCTGGGGGACGGCCGGGTCGGCGTTATTTTTCATTATAATCGGCGTCTCTGGGTGCTTTTATACGAAAGCAGCAAAATGGTAATTCCCCCGGCCTGTCCCTAGATTTTCCTCGCTAATCAACCCACCGTGTAGGACAACCGGAATAGGCCTCCAATTAGTCTGGTGGTCAATCGGGCCCTGCATCGGTCCTGCAATGAGTGTCGCGGGACAGGTATCGCAGGCCCGTCTTCGTGCGAAGTCCCAGTCGCTGGGGTTCGGGTTTAACTACTTCTTCTCTGCTATATGGAACGTCTGTGTGCCTTATATGTTCAATACAGATCAGGGGAACCTTGGTGGCAAGATGGGGTTTATCTACCTTGCTACTGCTGTTATTGCCTGGGTTGCTATCTTCTTTGATGTCCCGGAGACGAAGGGGCGGTCGTTTGCTGAGCTGGATGAGATGTTTCAGCTGGGATTGCCTGCTAGGGGGTTTAAGACTTGGCGGGAGGCTGATGTTGAATAGGTTATCATATTATCAAAAGGGAATACACTAAGATTCATCTCCACTCACTCTCCGTCTCCAACCAAGCCCTAACATCCTTCAGCCCCGGATGCACCCTCTTCAGCGCCGCAATATCAGCCCCAAACCCTTCATCATGGAACCACCGAAACATCAACCCGGCATCCGCAACCATCCACATAAAAAAGCGTGAGACAAACTCCCACGTCGTGGGGATATCCCTCCCCGTAACGCTCTTGAACACCCTCGCCAACTCATCAAACGCCACCTCGTCACCCGCCAGCGATATCGCCTTCCCCTTATACTCCCCTTGCTCCAGGAAAGCCTTTGCCCCAAAGAACCCAATATCCGACACCGCAACAACCTGCAGCGGTTTGCCCTGCAGCGCAACCTTGATTGACGTGGCCCACAGCTTCCCCGCAAAACCAGGTACAAGGCCGCCGTCGAGAAATGCAACCGGGCGGAGAATCGTCCAGGTCATGTCCGTCCCCTTGGCGCGGTCTATAAGATGAAGCTCGATATTATGCTTGTTGATGAAGTGCGGGATGTTGGTGGGGTTATTGAGCGAGTTATCGCCGCCACGATCACAGGATGTGTAGACGAAATGCTTGACGTTATTCCTGAGCGCGGCGTCGACGAGGTTCTTTCCCTGCTGTTCTTCTATCTCGGTGTTTCCAGTGAACGAGGCGACCTGGACACTGAACACGCCCCAGATAGGACTCTGCGTGGCTTTCTTTGCGGTGGCGAAGATGTCGTCCGCATGGTCTAGCGAGCCCTGGATGAGCTTGATCTTGGGTGATTTGTCTGCGAGTTTCTGCGCGCTAGAGGAGTTGGCTGTGCGTGTTACGGCTAGGATTTCGACGTCTGCGTCCTGCTGGAGGAGATTGTCGATTACGCTGCCGCCCTGTTTGCCTGTGGCGCCGGTGATGAGGATTGTTTGTGGCATTTTGTTCTTGGACTAGATACGTCAAAATTGAGATGGAACTGGATGAATCAAATCAAGATGAGAGTTCGGTTAAATACCTCTTCTTAATATCATCTGGAATACTGGAATAGGTCGTGATTTCATGATTGCTAATGCTGCTGGTCATCTGCGGCGTGTCGGAGGCCGAATCACCGACTGCCGATGCACAAGCCCTAACGATTACAGATATCTTGAGCTAACCTGTAGTACTTTATAAATCTCGTGGCTACACTATACTAGATAATTAGTTATTAACAGATAGGCATACTACTACTAACAGTATAGATGCTAAAGTAGATAGAGGCCTGCTAATAATTCCACGCAGTCAGTCTGGTACTACGCCCGCGAGTTTGATGCAGTCGGCCTCTTGCTGCTGACGGCAGGGCTGGCTCTGTTCCTCTTACCCTTCAATCTATACACCCTCCAGCCCCTGGGCTGGCGGTCGCCGCTCACTATCTGCCTCCTGGTCTTCGGCGTGGTTCTCATAGTGCTGTTTACCTTGTGGGAAAGATTCTTCGCGCCGGTCACCTTCATCCCATTCGCAATACTGATCGACCGCAATATGGTCGGCGCGTGTCTCCTCAGCACCGTCCTCTTCATCAGCTACTACTGCTGGTTCAGCTTCTTCAGCTCCTTTCTCCAGGTCGTCAACAACCTCAGCGTGACGCACGCTAGCTACGTGGCCCAGATATACAGTCTCGGGGGCAACGTCTTCGGCATCGCCGCCGGTATCCTCATCCGCTATACCGGCCGCTACAAGGCCATGACCCTCTACGGCGCCATCCCCATCTACGCCCTCTTTATGGGCCTCATGGCCTACTTCCGCATCCCAGGCACGAGCATCGGCTATATCATCCTCTGTTAAATCTTCCTCTCCATCTCCAGCGGCATTATCCCCCCCATCGCAGCAATGTCCTCTACCACCCACCACCGCATCGCCGCAGTTGTAGCCGTCATCTCCGTATTCTCCTCTATCGGCGGCGCGATAGGCTCTACCATCGCCAGCGCCATCTGGCAATCAGTCTTCCCGGCAAAGCTCGCCGAGTACCTCCCCCTCGAGGACAGGGATAATCTGCTATCCATTTATGCTATGCTCGATGTCCGGCTCGGTTACCCGGTTGGAACACCCGCGCGCGTCGCCATTCAGCGTACATACGCTGATGCACAGGCAATGATGCTGGCTGCTGGGACGGCCATCTGGGCTCTGGGCTTTCTTGCTGCTGCTATGTGGCGCGATACGGACGTTCGGGGCTTGAAGCAGGTCCAAGGTCGGGTTATTTAAGCCGATATGAACTATAAAATAGCTATATATAATATTAGTCGTAAAGGAATTCTTGAGGAGATATTTTTTGGTATTATTCTTGTACATCTTCATCGTGATTATTGTGTCACAACTGATGACTGGTGTGGCCCTGGGGTTATACAACATGCAGTGACACAGAATTGGCCCGTTCTCAGAAGGCCCGCCCCGAAACCGGTTCATGCAGGCATTGTTTGTCAATGCGTACACTGGTTAAAATTGTATTTGCTCTGTGCACGGGCTGCGGATATGGCTATGGCTGCGGCTATTGAAGTGCTTGCGAGGCTTTCGGATCTCGCTGTCGCTTTTGCATGATATTATGTATCTATATGAGTTCAGTATATGTGTTATTTATATCCGTAACGTTAACCTGCATTGCTGAGGTTGCAACATTATCCTTACCCAGGAGTGAGTCCACGTCAGAATAGCAGAAGTACTGGATGACCGTTATGATTTATTGATCATTAATTTGATACCTCATGGGCCCTGTTTTGTACGTGGCTGAGCACCATGTCCACTCCACACATATAAATACTCTTTATAAATATTCCATATCCCAGAATCACATAAAATTGGCTCAGCCTGCATGTTTCATATGAGAGAAATGACGTACAATTATTTATCACCGAGCGTGGAGCAGAAAGTGGCCAGACTCGATGTATAAACTGACATCAGCAAAGTACGTACTTTCGTCCACACCATCACAGATTCCAAATCCCCAATCAACCCAAATCATCCAACACGCCCAGATCATCAATCAGCTGCACTGCATGGTCCCGGCCAATCTACGCATAGTCCCGGTCGGCGCATCGTCACTCAAACGCCAACCCAGGCCGCAGGGGCCCCAAACTGTCGCGGCCTGTTCTGACTCAAGCTGTCCAGCACAAATTGGAATCTTTCTTTTTCGGTATCCTTTCAGTCTCTTGTCGTCCCAATCACGATCACGATTACGGGCCGGGCCCCGATCAGCTCACTCGGTGGCACCGGTGGCAATCGGTGGTCCCGACTGCTGCAGGCTAAGCCGTTTGACAGTTGATACATCACTTCCGCAGCACAAAGAGCTTCCCACAGCCACCTTTTATTGGGTCAGATGCGTGCTTCATCAATTTGTCACTCGCGGGTTCCATTCCCCGAGGCCCTATTTGGCTGACTAGCACCGAAAACTCGAGGGCTCAGGCAGCACCGCTCCGGGGTCTGTTGATCGGCTGATGGGATGTGTAAAGCGGCGGGGAGGGACGTGTCCAAACACAAACTAAGGAGGGCCCGGGAGCTTGGATGATGGATCCCGGATCTGTCAGTGTCGGTGCTAATTTTGGATTGGTTGGCTTGGGCGCTTTTTCCTGGTTCTCTGCTGCAGAGACTGGTGAAGATGGGTGGGAGGAATCGTATAAGTCACATCTGGGTCGCCGTTGGCTCACTTTGCTTTGTTTTGATTAACTTGATGCATTAATGTTCATGATCTGTGCATCTTTGATTTTATTTTCCTGCAGGTTGCCCCCCTTGGGTTTCGAAATAAAACAGATCGGTGCCCCCATTGGAGCCACATCCATACATTATTTATTCCCTTTCCGCAACTCGACCATTAACACAACAACACAAACTTCCAAGCTTCAAACAGCAAAACACCTCGCTTTCTTCACTCATCAAAGCAGAGATCGCTGCGATACCCATTCTCATAATGCGCATCAAGCAAGGTCCAGGCCTCACCATCCGCTCGCTCTTCTCGCGGCGCTCCAAGCAAGCGAAGAGCGAGAAATCCCCGAAGCGGTGCTCAACCAGTGGCTCTGACCACAGTGACTCGCTACGAACCAGACCCAGAGCCCTCGACAAGGAACTAGAGATCCTCGGACTTCTCGTAGATCCTCGCAAGCAGATTCCGCCGACACCGATTCCGCATTACTACTCGCATTCGCACTCACAGCCGCGACCTTCTTCCGCTTCTGCACGCAGGCCGAAGACAGCTACCACGCCTCCTCCACACAACCTCTCCCTATTCCCAGGCGTGCATACATACCAGGACTCAGAGTACCAAGGACAAGAACACCGCGAGTCCACGGCATCATCGACCCAGAGTCACGAATATCCTCACCACCCTCCCTCTCCACTGCTCCCCCCAACACCATCGCTCTGGCTCCCACTCCAGACACAACGAGCACCACAACAACCAGCCGAGCCCGACCTCAGCATCCCATCCAGCCCAGCCCTGAGTTCTCGCACCTTCGCCACGCGGTCGTCGGGGATATTCCCGTGGGGTGCAGAGCCTCACGCCGTGGAGGATGATACATTGTTGGACGACCAGGTGCTTGTACTGCCGTCGCCGCCGAGGTTCGCCCGTTCGTATGGATGGGGTGGGGTTTAGTTTTTGTTCGTTTAGTTATTGGAATCTGGAATAAAGGAGTATTACTTAGATGGGGGCGTGCGGGGCTTATGATGTTATGACTGTATGACTTGATGATTAGTATTTATTTCGTCTTTGTGTTAGTGAGTTAGGTTACTATTTAATATATTTGATCCGTTATGCAAAGACCCTATATGATTAATATTTTACAATCCCTTCTCAACCCCAGCCCTGATGTCGAACTGTCCTTCCAATGAAGAGATTCGCTGCTGGACACAAGGTCATCAATTTCAATTTGTTTCATAAAAGCCAAATACAAATGCCTATCTGATGGTTTCAAATAAAGAGTGATTGAACAACCTGTTAATGCAGTAGTCAAAGGCCTTTGTACCGGAACAAGTCCTTTGATAATTGAAACATGTATACTTCTGGTTGTTTCTCCTGGTTCTCCCTGCAACATCAGAAAGAATTCAGTTCTTATACCCTTTATGGCCACTCCGGTAGAGCAGGAATAACGAGCCTTTGTTATTCAAACTTCAAACCTTTATTATATAGACATTCGAAGCTAGTACAATGGTTCTCATCAAGGCAATTGTCCAGTCCATTGTCTCTTCTTTTCTACTTGTATAGACATATTTAACAAACTCATCGGCTATAACAATCTCGCAATCCCACACTCTGATACCAACCAGAGCCTAAATAAGCACCCAGAAAAGAAACACCATACTCATCTCCAACACAGCCAGATCAATATGCGCAACCCGCCTAGCTTTCAGTACTACTCCGGGTTCCTGATCAAGAAATTCGCCACCCTCCAAGCTAAATACGACAGCAATCCCGACAGCGAGCAAAAAGCGAAAATCACAGAAGAGCGCGAGCGGTTTTTCCAGTGGGCTTCAAAGGTCGACCTCTCCGGAAAGCTAACTGAAGTGCCGCTGGAGGAGCGTATTGATCTTGATAGCCAGATTCTGGATTTCAAACTCACCCTGGAGAGGGTTGCGGATATTGTATACACATGTAAGTCAGCATAGTATATTCCGCGGGGTTTTGTGGATGTCTACTAACAGGATGATGCACTTAGTGAATGAGTATCTAGACTGCGGTGAGCTCCCTGAGCTTGAGTGCAGACTTAGTTCCAAGGTCGCACACTATCTAAATGGCGCTGGTGTGAACGATGGGGTCAAGATGGAAAGGCGCATCCAAAAACTGAGCGACGACATCGACCACCTCTATGCAGACAAAATGGCGATCGAGTTTGAAGTGAGCCGACTGGTGCAACTTAAGTTTGAATAAGGGTACTAGCTTATTGGTAAAAAAGGCTTAAAATTCTTAATATGAATATGGTTCACACTTGCAAATCCGTCGTCGTTTCAGTTTATTTTGTAGTCCTTTACCTTTATATTCTTTCAAGGGAGGCTATTTAGTGCTCACCTGTAGTCTCTTTACCTTGTAATAATGCATGTTCTTTACTTATATCTCTAGAAGGTTTGCAAAAGAATGGTTCATACATGCATTGTTGGGTCGGTGCTGATGTACGTAATCATCAGCTGCCAGTGTCCCTCTTACGCGCCCACTTTCTTCTCCAGCCATTACCGTACTCTCTTTTTACAGCTCCCTGGCCATGGCATCAAATTTATCCCCAGCTGAAAATGACTCTAGCGTCCGGCCAACCCACCCACTTGACACTCCCGAACGTTCAGCCGGGACAATGTTCGATGCTTGCCTGGTGCTTGAAGACAACAAAGTTCCCTATGTGATTTGGTTTGAGCATGCGCTTTCCTACCATGGAGTACGCACAGTGGTGTTTGATTTATACATTCTAGTCTCAGACATCAACATGGCTGCGCAATCCCTCGCCCAGGCTGGTTGGACAATTGATACACAATCCCCTCATCGAATTGGAAATGACAAAGTGCAAGCTCCCCAAGTGCGGCTGATACCACCAAACAAAGACAGAGAAATGAAAACTGTCCTCCTGAATGCATCGGACTGGAAGTTTCCCCTCACAGCTGATACCCTCCTCGAGCGCGCCTTGACAAGAGAAGTACCAGACCGCGAATTATCATTCCCACCATTACCTGGCTTGCTCGATGCCCTGGTCGAAAGCTGGTTCGATAATCCTGATGAACAAAACGACGGATTACAGCTGCACTTGGCTGTTCAGTTTGGCTACCTTTATGAGTATGTGCCAGCCCTTAAAGAGCGGTCTTTTGCCGAGCAAATGAAATATGAACACCGCCAGTTCCACTTTGATGTGCTCTCTGGGATGCAGTTCGGCACAATTCCATTCAAGAACCACGAGCTTCCCATTCGGGATGCGCTGAGGCAGGGGACATATCAAATGCGAGACTGTTCAGCGTCTCGCGAGGAGAATATACGGCTGTTTGACGCTTTTGCAGGGATCTGTATACCGGACCCACCGGTAGACCAATCTATAGAATATCAGTAGCATTGAGTATTGGCTCTTATGATGGAGAGATAATGTGGGAAAAGCGATTCGCTGTGCTATCCCTCTAAACATTCTGTCGCCCGACGGCTGAAATTGTGGTCAGACATTGATATCCAGTTTGTCATGGCTGTTCCGAGTTCTTGCATTTCAAACAGCCGGACACTCGGACCATGGCCCTGCATCCCATCCCCCAAGCTCAGTCTCATCCCTGTTTCAGAATGCACCACAAAACCAATTCTGCGGCGACGCTTATCTGGGCTGATTGAAACACTAGCCTGGATCGGGTCTTCATCCCTGTTCCGGATCACCTAGAAAGGCTGATCAGTGGAGAGATCTTGCCTCCATGGAGTTCAGGGCGTCAGATCAGCGCTGCTAGGGTGTGTCCCTCTATGATCTTCCTGGTGGAGATTAGAAACAATTGGGGCAGCTTCTGGAAAGCTTCTAAAGCTTCAAGAGCTTGGCCCACTCTGGTCAATGCATTAGAGACCGAGATGACGGAAGAGACTGGGACTCGCTTCCTGAACTATGCTGCGTTGATCTAATGTTAAACCCCTATAAACTGTTTCAAATTGAGATTACGCACATCCTCTTCGTATATTTTAGTGGCCAGTAAACCAGTATTGATCCCAAACTCGACGCTAATTTTCAAGGTTCCCCACGCCTAAACTGACAGGGCTTCCCATGCGGCAGTTCACCCTTCATCATAGGGTATGAGTCGTGAGAGTTTGCTCAGTGAAAAAATATCTTCAATTTTTGAGCTCCCGACACGAGCTGGCCCATGGCGACTGCGCGACAGATCCTCCTTCAACTGCTGAATCTTCTCTCCTCGACTGCTTTCGTGTAGAAGGTTCCCTATAGCGGCATGGATCGAAAGAAGAATGGGGCTTGGGAGTAGATATCTCGAATCATGATTTTTCAACCTCACAATCCTATCGCGAGGCACAAACACCATAAGGTAGCTGGGTAATTCTGAAAACCCCTTGAAATAATAGTGGTTGAGGGTATGTGTTGCTTCGAGAACAAAGTGGAACATCTCGAACTCGCGACGGAGCACTGCGGCCATGACCAACCTGTTTTGTTCTTTCTCAAACTCGAAGATATCCGGCACCGGCAACGAGGAATAATGAGAGAGGTAATCCGAGTGCAGGCTAGGCACATGGTATCTGAAGTACCGCTGGAGGATATCCCACACTTTCCCATGCCGGTATCTCTCGTCCATATCTAGGCTCTGTGGTTGAGGTCGAAGAACACCCAGCTTCATGTCCATGACCATGTCCAATGGGATGATACGGGCAGCACTGAGCGGAGTCCCGGTCGATTTCCAGGATAGGCCCCAGTACCACGGCGGGGCTAGAATATTTGTGATTGCGCACCGGTTCCCATCTCTTGACACGCAGTTGTCGCGTATCGACATTTCGCTAGACTCCACCATCTCAAGCCGGGGGGATAGCATGGGACGTAACAGTCCAAACTCAATGCGCTCTACCAGCTGGCGTAAATCTTCATCGTCAAAGCACCTCACTACGTCCTTGAAGAGGGATTTCCGTCCAAGGGGAGGAACATACTCAAAGAGAATATCCAAGAACTCCACGGTGTCATCTGCCGCTTTCGTTTCTTTGTACCGATCGAGCTTCCTATTCATAGCCCGTTCGTTAGCTATCAGCGGGAGAAGAAATGGGATGAAATAGGAGAGCAGGATGCGTCGTTTCTTTCCTGGTGACATTTTAGCTGGTTACTGAGATAGAAGAGATGTCAAGAAAGAGTTGAGCAAATATCGAGGCTGCAGACTTCAACTACCGTGGTGCCATCAATGACGAATTTCTGCGACCACCCTTTGCAGACTTTTGTATAGAGTTTCACTCTAGTCGTCCTACAGGCTGGCTGGATGGTAACTTTCTTCTATGATGACATACACAATGGAATGGTAATCATACGATCGTTGACTGCCTCAGGCCCAGATTGTGGGAGGTGTTCTTGTTGACCTCGCTCCTTCCCTTGCTGTATTTCCCTCCAATGTAAACGCAATTCTACCAGCCACCAACACTATCTACATGCGTCCAGGTCGTCTCAGCCAGAAACTTTCAGAGCTGCCGCCCCAATAATGCCGTCGTATCAAATATATAGCGGCCGGAGCCTCCGGGTATCCAGTATACAGACTGGAGTCCCGATTACTTGGTGACTGGTGCTAATATGGAGTACTACGTGTTACCTCTCCACCGGCTTCCTCAAGAGCCAATCCTCAGAGCCAAGGAACCTTTCAGGATCTTCACAAAAACACACTACTCTAGCGCCCACGGTAAATCGGCAAGCGGCGCGCGTCAGAAAACAAACCTAAAACTAACTAACTGACTCTGGCTGACCGAGTCAGGTCAGGGACCCGGCTCCGGTGACAGCCCTGGATCGACTCTTCTGGAATAACCGGGATTTTGCAATCGGGACGATATCTATTTCTGCTAACTGCTGTGCTGCAGGACGGAGTTCCGTTCCTTACCGTGCAAGGTGCTTATTTACTTGGTACGTACTATGTGGACCAATTAACAACGAAAAGTACCTCAACAGTTGAGATGATCGTCCTCAACATCGAAGAACGGCCTCACATCCGGGCATCCGGAGCTTTTCGCCGCGCGAATCAGGGTGCGGTGGATGGATACACATGCATGTGGGTACTGAAGAAATGGAATTGTTCGAGATAGCTGCAGTACACTTTCCACGAGTCTACAATAATCCGGGTTTTTTTAAGTGCGGACATTCAAGGGCCGTGCAGCAACTTGCGAGTCATGCTGTAGCAGCTAATGTGGAATACAGGATCCTTTTCTCCAAACCGAAGGATCTCGTATCTTTCATTTCCACATGAAGCCAACCTGCTGCATCCCGGGATTCGGGTGATCCGATGTCCGGACCTAGGTAGATACGTGAAGGAATCCCTCAGGGCTCGGAACGGACTGTACCGGTTTCAACATCTTTCTGCTTAGCGTGGCTTTCTCGGGAGCCTGATATTCGCGACTACTTATATTCGATTGGCGGGGAATGCGGAGGGATTTACCAACAGAGAACGGAGACTGTGGGTGTTTAGGCATTTTGGCGGGTACTATAATACTGTGTTATTAATATAAAGGCTCCAAATTGCGGTCCTTGAAACTCGAAGTCGACGACACCTCATGTCGAAATGGAAAACCCTTAGAATTATGTCACAGAAGCAATATTAGTATGCTCAACGAAATCCCTTCTGACGAAACAACCCTGTCCTATTGCGCGGCTATGAGATCGCACAGACGGCATCCGGTAGAGAAAACCACTCACCAACCCCAGCAGCGATTAAACCAACGGGGGAATAAGACCGAGTAAATTCTCCTTCTCCAATAGGTCCTGCACTTGGATCCGGAGAGTACATCGAACAGGTAGGAGACTACTACCGGGCCACCAAGCTCGTGCGTGCGAATCGAGCAAAAAAAAAAAAAAAAAAAAAAGAACAAAAAAAAGAAGCATTTCACCTGCAAGAACTGCCAGGTCAAAAGACAAGTTAAGTTAACTATTCCGTTGATAAGCCACGAAAATGTAAATACGTATCCAGTGATCCAGTCACTAGGTGTAGGTATGTAATAACGAGTCCCTCGCGAGTCAGTCGAGTTGTGGGTGAAATTTTTCTCTCTTTTCTTTTTCTGGCATTCACAACCAATGGCGAAATCGGAGTTGAGCCGATTCGAGCAGCGACTGTTGGCTTACTACCGGAGTAATCATCCCTGCTCGATGGACAAAGGAAGTGATGTCGTACGTATTTGTTTGAGTACGAGGTACGGGGTACTTACGACTCCACTCATCTAATATACCTCCAATCCCCAAAGAGGGTCCGGACAGAGAAACCTGAAGCCACGAAGCCAAAACCAAAACCAAAACAAAATCGAAGGAGGAGATGTTCTGGAATCTGGAGAATTGCCTCATTGGTAGAATTCGTAGCTAACTGCTCCAGTTCTAGGTAACAGGGTCGTCCTCCATGCTGGTACTCCTTCGTATTAAGGCAACTTGCGCACGGATCTCTGACTGTGCGGTGTCCGAGTCAAGCGTCGGATGGATGCCACGCTAGTTACTGCTGATTATTAGTTATGGCTCCTCTTACCCTGCATCCTGATAACGGCTCACACAGGACTCGTGCCTCGTGCAGGGAAAACCGAATCAGCCCGCCAGATGAAGCTATGCCGTATGGGGGTTTCCGAGGACTGCACCTCCTACACGACCGTACATCTGGAATCCTGCCGGGATTTCATACTTGTCCTTGTCGAGGCGGATAACAAGCCAAGGCTAAATGGGCGAATTCCATTGACAGACCTTTTAACCGTAGTGGATGGAGAAATTCTCGGGCTTAACCGCGGCCTGGAGTATATTCTACGTAGTGGAACTGGACAGACACGGGCGAACTTCGAACTTCGTGTAGCCGGCCCCAATCGATACCGTTCCCTGGTTCCTTGTGGGGGCGGGATTGCATGTTTCGAACACGGTGTATCATCTCCAGAGATGGTGGGACATCGTCGTTCCTGCAGATTCCAAAAAAGAACCTGATGTCAAAGGGCTCTTCCGTACCTCGCTCCGTACCTGGTAAAAGCTCCGTCCCGTTGCCCACGGTCCGTTCAGAACTCGGTAGATTATTGACTTTGCCAGAATATACATCATACAAGTGAATTGACAATTGCGTAATTGGTCCCGATCGACAGGAGACCTTTTCCCTTTCACAACGGAGCAGCCGATTAGCCAACTGCGTGCTAGGTGTTTTGGGATTGGCCGTTCGGACAGGTCAGTGCTCCTGATACTTTCCCAGAGTATACCGCCGTGGTTGGACACAGAGGTCGGCTTTCAGATGCATTCCCTGGTCTCAATCCCAGTCCAATGCCACAGCCACCGGCGCCGGGACTTGGAGTCGCAGGCAGCGGCGTTAGTGTTGGCGTAGTGTAACAGCGTTGGGATTGGAATCGAGGATTCGGGCCCGTGTCTGATCGAGGGCAGTAGGCAGCACCAGTGGCAGCAGCCTGTCAATGTCCAGTGCACACTGTTCGCTGCAGTGTTCGTTCGGGATTTCGGAAATGGTGTGAGGCGCGCGCGATCCTCATAAAACGAAACGTTCGCTCGCGGCACGGGATCCATCGTCTTCGTTCGTTGTTGGCGCTATTGGCTCCGGAGTTTCTCCAGATATGGCACTGGCAGTGGCTCGGGCGGCAGTTAGTGTTTGGGGCATCGTCATCTAACTTTTCTGTTCTTTTTTTATTTTTCTTTTCTTTTTTTATTTTTATTTTTCTCTTTCTTTTCTTTTCTTTTCTTTTCCTTTCCCTTCTTTCGAGACAGCGTGGTGAAGCGAGGCTGTAAGACAAGGCGAACGCGGCGCAGCGGCGTCGGTCATCGGGGTGGTCTCCGGGCTTGAGAATGGATATGAGCAAGGATAATATGATCGACAACTAAGCACTCGGGTTTGTGCCAGATTGATTCGATGGTCGGAATTCCACGGTTGGTACGGAGGAAGGGTCGAGAGGTCGCCAGCCGGTTGGCGATAACTTGAATAACGGCATCCGATGATGAAGTCGCTGCTCAAGAGAGAATGGAACTCGTCCGCTGATGCTGGCAGCTAACACAGGCGCTCGGAGCTTCAGCTCGGAGCTCGAGGCAGGTTAAGTATCAGCGTTAGTGAGCCGGAGCCGGACAGGCAGCACTGGGGGTTGATGTATGAAGCCGCAAAGGTTGAAGCGCAGGGCATGAAAGCTGATAGCATCGCCCAATGCCGCTGCAAGGTCATGCAAACCTGCATCGCGAGCGATCGGCCCGAGACCAGGATTGGCCTGTTTACGAGCCTGGCGCATAGTCTAAAGCTCCTGTGGCCTGGACGGATTCTTAGCAGGCGTGAGAAATGCCGTGATTCGCGCACGCGGACATTTAATTTATTTTATCTTATTTTGTCCGGGCTCAAGCACTTGCCCGCAAATTAAATCGCAGCCTGGCTTATGCAATTCGTCATAAGTCAAGGTTGACATTAGTTGATTGCCCGTGAAAGTGGCAGCTGGGAGGCGCCGGGAGAGAGCACAAAAGGCAAGTTTAAGAGATGGGATAGCGATTCGTACTTTACTCCAAAAGGGTCGTGCGAGCTCATCACACCTCGCGATTATTCTGGGCTCACATGGGCATAAGCCATGGATGACCCAAAGGTGCGACTCGCGAAGCCCGATACTTGGAGGTGAGTCTGTGATAGTGCAGTATATGAGAAATACTTCGCAAGACTATCTGTATCTGAGCAAAGGCTGCCGTCGGCGGGGAAAAAAAAAAAAAAGAAAAGAAACGAAAGATGGACCGAGAACTCCCAGTGGCCAGAGGAGGGTGTGACAGGCCTCGTGTCGACCGTCGAGCAGTCAATGATCGAGCTCATCCAATCTCCAAGCTCAACAGTCAATCATCAACAACGGCCTACTGCCGGTCGCGCGATCCGAGTCGAGAAGGATGAGCACAGACTTCACATCTTCATCTCGGTGCAATAACACTAGCTCCTTGGCAGCAATTTATATCCTCGCAATCTGCGCAGATTGGATGGTCTCTGCTGGTGCGCCGAATCTCAAACATCCGCCAGACAGAGTGGTATCGAACATGGCCCAACCGCCGGGGAAACAGCAGCACATTGGATCTCCTGATGCTGCTCCGTTCCTGTCTTAGCAAAGGTAGCCAAAGTAATTAGCACAGCCGAGTAAACCGGCACTGGCAGGCATGTAGAAGCGTCCAAGCTCCCATGCAGCGCAGTTGTGAACATGTGATGGCCTAGAGCGAACAGGCGCAGTACTTCCGAGTCGCAGCAATAATAATCCTGCACAGCAATTGCTCGCAAATCTCGTCCATTTGTAAGTAGCAGAATTTCAAAACCGTCTAGAGCCTGCCCGGTCTCCAACCCCCAATTTTGTTCCCAAACGCCTTGCATACTCCGTTCCGTCTATATCCCTGTGCCCAATGTCCAATGCATGTCCAATTGCGTGCCAGAGCCAGCCAGCACATTCAACCCACCGCCAAAGAAAAGCACTGGTATAGTAGAGGGAAGTGAAAAGGCCTGACAAGCGATAGGGAAATCATCAGGACCAGTTGTGTATAGTAAAACAGAAAAAAAAAAAAAAAAAAAAAAAAAAAAGCAGAGGTATCATAAGCCACAAGCAAAGGACGGTAAACCAAAATCATCGTCCTTTTTTTTTCTCTGGAGAAGACGAAGGGGAAAAAAGGCGAAAAGTGAAAAAGAAATACACGGTAGAAAGGAAGAGAAGGAAACAAAAGTCGAAAAAGCCGCTGCAGCGCCAGTTGGATGAAAATTGGCCGTCGAATATACTGCAAAGGTTCAAGTCCACCGACTGGAAGAGCCCATCAGTGGCGATTGCAAAGTAAACATTTCCCTACGACGACAATGAACCTGTCATGTGGTGATTCGGCACATCGGGCTTCTTTCGGCTCGTCCACGGATGTGCGGATAATATGAGAGCTAGGCTGGCTGCAGGTGCTGTATATGTAGTAGTTTTTGAAGTGATTGCACATTGTTGACACCCAAACGACCCCCAGGCGTGGAGGGATTGGAACCGAAACCACCAGAGAATGGCGGACGAAAATGCAGCTGTGGTGGTGGACGGTTGGTTGTATGCAATGATGAAAATGTATATGTGGCCTGGTAGGGCTAGGATGGTTGGAATATAGATTCACTTAGTCGCAGTGGGGGCGAGAGCGTGAAGAAAATGGGCGGAGGAGGCAAACGGTCTAGAAGCCCTTTGGAGAGAAGTTTGAGTTTTGGCGATCAAGAGTGTACCAGAGAAAGAACAGTTATATATGCTCGAGGACGCGTTGCAAGCTTGCTCATGACGGATTCCTGAGGACAGAAGTGGTCCAACTTGTAACTGCCATCATCAAGGATCCTGCAGGGCCCGTCACAAGCCAGTGCTGCCAGGTTACTCGACAGGGGAGGAGGGCCAGGAATTAAAAGAAATAAAAAAATACAAAAATAAAAATAAAATAAAACAGAAAGGAACAGAGCAGAGGAGCCCTTTATGATTGGCCTTTTCTCCACGAATTTGGCTTTGGGTATTATTATTTTGAGGCAGTCTGTTATTATTCTTATTTATCGCAGTGCCCGTTCCCGTGCTATTTCTCTATTTCACGGATTAAATATCAAGGATTGATGGAGAACGTAGCCCGGACCAACCACAGAGCAGTCTTTCGCTGCCACCGAAAATTAGACACAAGCGGCAATCCCCACTGAAATACCGCTCCAGCGTCGTGGAATATCCATAGAATGCCTGCACTCCTCCGTTTCCGAGACTACGTCTGTCGCGATGGAGAACCGCGGTTGCAGGCTGTGAAGGAGTTCCAGTGGGACCGTGGGAAAAGTGGGCTCGGGCAGGGCCCACTTGGATAGAGCACAGTTGTAGCACCATATAATATCTTCATGGATCCATCCGTTTCGGCTTGATCGGGATTACAGGCACTAGGGATCGACGCCCATCCCTCAAAAGCCGTTGACGCTTTCAAGCCTTTAACGGCACGTGGCGCTAGCTGGGATCTTCATGCACAGCGGCTGGACAGCGGTTTCTGCTCTGTTCTTTTCTTTTCTTCTCTTTCCTCTCTGGAGTTAAAAATTATACGAAATCACACAGGGTTGGTCACGAACGGCGTTGCCAGTTAGTCGGCCTGCCTGCCACAGAAAACCGCCGACTGTCGGCAAGTGCATTGGGCGCGGAGCCGGGTTTTGGGCAGGGAAGAGAGCGATGAAGGAATTCCAAACCAATGGGCGAATTGTGTGGACGGCTGGCTGATTTTGGCATTAGGTTAATCCATGGGGAAACCCGTAAGTTTGTGTAGTTCCAACCAACAGGGCCTGCAGCGCCCCACCGTCAGCACAGAAAACCTTAAGCTACATCCTGGGCAGTCCGCAGAGGTTCCGATTGCCCAGCGGGAAAGGTAGTAGGCGCAGTTGTCTTTGTTGGGGACCTTAGGGAAGAGAGCGCTGAAAGGCGATACCGCGATATCTCGATCCCACTGCCATGGAGAGAAGGTTAGAAACCGAATACGGGGGGCCAGCCAATTGGCTAGGTACCAGTTGGTTAGCACCAGGCCGAGGCCTGGAGACCCTTTCGCTTTTGGGACAACCTCGTCGCCAAGCACCCACTTACGCGTGTCTGGGGTGTATCCATGATTTCCTTCACGTACTGCCAAGCACCAGAGACATCCCACGGCGCCTGGATTTGAGTTGACTTTGGAGTTTGGTCCCAAAGCGAGAACCTGATGAAGTTTCGGATTATTTTTCCTCCTCTGTGTCTTGCGAAACCTTCATTGTCGATCTGGTCCGAATTGGACGGTCAGCACCGAGCCACGGCTCGTCTTACCGGTGGGGGATTGGCAAAAATGAACGCCATGCAATCATCATCCAGACGACAAGCCCTTTTAAGAAAATACTAAAACTTGGCGATTTTCCGTCGCCCAGCAGTCGATGTTTCAGATCCTATCTATTCTCGTCCCGCAACGTTTCCCTCCTCTTTTCTCTGCGAGATCTCCCGCAGCAAATAAGCAACCCCATGCAAATATGAGACGTGCAAGCCTCCCACTCGTTCGCTGGCGGGAAGTGAATAATCATGGCACCACGTCCAGAAATTAATTCCGCACACTGCCCATCCAAAGAGGTCCACGATCGGTTTTCCGAGATCGCATGGATGCCCATAGCCCAGGCATGACCGTGTGCGAGAAACTTAATATAATATGGCGGGAGGGCGAGAACGATGAGGCCATTTTAATTACTCCGCAGAGCCGGTAGATTCCGGTGAATTATCAGGTTTCCCATTGCCGAACAACGAATAGGACTCGCCCGAATCATGGAGTGGTCGAGACTGCAAAGTGTGAAGTCTGCGAAGCTTTCGGAGCGGATTTCCCAGACAGCCACGACGAGGGCCAAGTTTGAGCGGTGGAGAGAATGCAGGGTACCGGCACGAGGGAGTCAGGGACACATCGAAGCCGAAGTCCTCCGACCGTTTGAGGACTGGTGAGCGATGATCGCGTGGCTGACAGAAGGATTCTGGAAAGAATGTTCTGCCAAATTCTCGATCTGCCAAACTAGAATTGCGTCAGACTTCGGCCGGCAGAGTGGATATCCGACTAGGCAAACCTGTTTGCGCCTGCCCTCAGACTTGCCAGGTTCTCGCAGGATCTGAAACATGGATCTGCGAGGAGTGACAGACAGGTATGTCTCGTACGGATGAGCAGCAGCCCCAGAATATCCCTCAGCGCAGGAGGTGGAACGGCTAGTGAATAGGCGTAGACTGGAGAACTCCATCCGGGCCTCACACTGAGTAAACAACATGCCCAACTCGGCTAGCGTATGGGTCTTGTTCCTGAGAGGCCAGCCACTCATGGCACTTAGTCAGCGGAAGCCAGCCTCTCCAGATCTGACACTAGTGCATCTCGTGATTCGACCTCAAACAGCCGCAAAACTCCCCTCCTCCAGCCTCGTCGGGGCGACCGCTGAATTTCTGGACTTCTACCTTCACTGCCCTTGGTCCTTCATTCACTTCCCCGTCATCACTCGCTTTTCTTTTTTTTTGGCGTCTCGCTGCCGATTGCGCCTGGCACTGATCCCCAACTCATCTTGGCCTGGCCCGTTCCCTAACAGGTGCGGAGCCCCTATCTCTGCACGCCTCACACTTTGTCGTCGATTTTTGAGCGTCGCGAGTTGCGGCACTGTCAAAACATAGTGGGTAAATCAAGCGAACGTTCGGAATACCATCCAGTCAACCTACACCATGGGGTTTGGCGACTTCGATGAGATATGCAAGAAGGCAGCGCTGCCTCTTTGTTCTTTGGTCGGCCCATCATCAACGATATCAGGTTCCACCGGCATCGTACCCAACTGCTATGCGCGGAATATCGAGCTGGCCAACACAATCATTTTCGAGGGCGCTGCGTCCTTCATCCACATCATTGCCCTTGGAATGACGGTGATCATGATCCTGCACATCAGGTCCAAATTCACTGCTGTGGGTATGCTTTGACACTTACCTCCCCTTCGGTATATACTCGGCGAAATCAGGGCCCACTGACAGCACTCCCTAGGTCGGAAGGAGATTATCACGTTTTTCTACCTTTACATGGCACTCACCATCTGCTCCCTGATCATCGACGCGGGTGTGGTTCCACCCAGAAGTGGTCCTTTCCCATGGTTCGTTGCCGTTCAGAACGGATTCGCTTCCGCGCTATGTACATGTCTCCTCGTCAATGGATTTGTGGGGTTCCAGCTCTATGAAGACGGCACTGTCCTTTCTGTATGGCTGCTACGGACGACATCCACGATTATGTTCGCCATTTCCTTCGTGATTTCGATCCTCACCTTCAAGTCATGGGGCGGCCTGGGCCCCACAAACACCGTCGCCATGTTCGCTGTGCTATATGTAATCAATGCGATCTGCATCGCAGTCTACCTAGTCATGCAGCTTCTCCTGGTCATGAACACCCTCGAGGACCGATGGCCGCTCGGCCATATCTCCTTTGGTCTTCTTGTCTTTATCGCCGGGCAGGTGATCCTTTACGCCTTCGGGGATACGATATGCGACAACGTCCAGCACTACCTGGATGGGCTGTTCTTCGCCACATTCTGCAATCTACTGGCCGTTATGATGGTCTATAAGGTATGTCTCGACTCGCAAGGCCCCCGGACCCCAACCCCACTTTGCATTTTATCTAATTGGGCCCACCTCTCTAGTTCTGGGACTATATCACAAAGGAGGATTTGGAGTTTTCCGTTGGAATTAAGCCAAACAACTGGGAAGTCAAAGAGCTCCTTCCGGAAGAGGAGCGACGCGGCACCGTCTACCAAGATACGAACTCGGAGTACGCCGGAAGTATGTACCACCATCGCGCCTCGACGTATAACGGTCACGGATATTGACCTGTATGTCCGGCATATTTTCGTGTCTCGCAACGCTTCGGCCTTGTATAATTCTGCTTACATATTTATACGATTACCGACGGATCTTTTCGAAGCCAGCCTTTGGTTGGGATATAATTAATATTGACGACGGGATGGAATTTTGCTTTGCATTAGCTAGGTAGATTTACCTACGAATCTTTGTAGCGATATCAGCGTCAGGTTTTTGCCTATTTTGGATCTCTTCTGCTTTTATTTTTTGGAATTATCGCAGCAATTGCTGCTTTGAGCGCTTCCAACTTTTTATTTTTCCAATTCTTTGGCACGGTTATTCCTTGCATATGCTAGGATTCAATGGCGCAAACGACATTTTATTTGTCGAGAGCGGCGACTCGACAACCATATGATAGGCACGACTAGAGGCAAAACGTCTCTATGCGATACAATAAGATTTCAATTTTACCATAGCACCGCTCCTTCGTGCGAAAGGCACAAGCCGTCGATTGGCTCTTCATCTTCAGTATCGCCAGCGCCAAAGTAGTGTCGGTGCGCCAGAGTTAGTGTTTCCGCCGGCGCTCACTATCTCCCGACTATCAAGTAATGAAAATAATTTAGCCGGTTCCATCAAGGCTAGGCCTCGGGGCTTTAGAGGCTTAATATCGGAAGGTGTTAATAAACCCTTGCTTCCCGGCAAGAGCCGGCAGGAACGACACACCCTTGGTTGCGAAGGAAATGTGATAACTAGAACTGGCTGGCTCAGCTGTGAGTCTGCGAGAGCTACCCGAGGTCATTGTCGCAGCGATAATAGGCTGGGAGGGAAGTGCAGGATCCGGGTTAAACCAAGTTCGGTTGAGATAAGATGAGAGCATGAAAAAACGGGATGAAGTCTCCGGTTCCGCTCGTTCCTGGACTACCGCGTTGGTGAACAGATGGTCGCGCACGGGGACCGCCCCATGGAGACTCCATGTATCGTGCATAAGGCTTACGACCACACCTGAGTCCCATCCATGTTGCTTTGGAGTAGCAATGGTCAGTATTTCAGACCTCCATTTATCAGCTTCAGTATCAGCGGTGCTGGTGGAAAAGATCGTCCAAATAAAGTTAGTCGGTTGGACTCCAGTTAGTTGGTAAGTTCAACGGTGATCAGAGTCTGAAGAATCCATCGTCATTTCGTCAAACAAGTGGGGTCCACATTCAACCCGGGACTGAAGAAATGGTCTGAGAATTCGAAAGTGAAACAGGCCATTTCCGACAACCCGACCGCTCCATGGAGAGAATCAGTCGACCAGAACGACGTCCTCGTCATCATCCAGAGTCCCGCTTTCGGATTGATTATGGGCTCGGTCCTTGTCGGGCCGCGGCATATGCGCTTGGCTATTATTGTCATCGGATGTTTGACCCCGAGCGGTACTATACCATCCCCTATCAACCGATCTGATCATCGCCGTGCATGCTTGGTTAACTAGCTCTGAAAAAGCCGGGTTCTCTTTCGGCATAAACATGCAGGTGTGGGCTTTGATCTCATCACTGGCCCTGTCATTGACGGTTTTGATCCACTCCAGTCCCGCGCCCAGGCTGGTCGACTTTTCTTGGTCCTCATCTCTATCCGGCAGGGTGCAAAAAGTACGATACTTTGAGCGGATAATTTTGGAGCTGAACGATGGCGTATGACTACTACTCTCGTTGACATTGCTGCTGTTCTCCACCAGAGATGAAGCGGCCTTCCCTAGGCTGGTGTAGAAGTTGACGCATCTGATTCCTCGGTCCTTGCGCACCTGCGTTAGTTGAGAAAGACGTTGTCGAAGTTCTGCTGGTCGTGCTAGGCATCCCACGAATGAAAGATGCGAAGACACCCATCCCCAGCCATCGGTCAAACGTTGCCGTTGAGAATACATGGCTGCAGCACCTCCCGCAGCGACAGCGCCTGCAGCGCCCGCAAACATGGCATATCGGCCCCATCGCTGCCAGGAGGGTGTCGCTGCAGCATCGTCATCCGGTCTTGGGGGTAATGATTTATTGGCATCGTTCGAAGGCGCTGGTGTCTCCCTTTTTGAAGAGGTGTTGTTCGCTCCGTACCCGAACAGTCCAGCTACCTCTGAGAATGCGTTGTATGTGGACGTAATATTCTTATAATGGCCCTCGGCGCCGTATGAGACAACTCCAGGGGCGATCCCGAGGTATGGAGTATCGAAAGCGAACACTCCCTGGATATGGGGGAACATGAATGTGCTGGGGTCCCCTAAGCTCGTGCTCTCCGCAGCTGCGGTGTCCTCTGATCCTCCGTCTGACTGGTATTGCGACGACTGCGGAGAGGTTCTCGGTGGTATGGGTTGCTCGGAAGCTAGGAGCGAAAGCGTATCTGCCGCGACTATTCCGCCCATTGAATGACCAACGAGAAAGACGTGCACGGAGGGATCAACGGTCGGTGAGGCTGTACCGTTGGATACTTCCAAATCTATGACTTGATTCTGGAGCCTATATGAAATATCAGTACCGTTCTGAGATCTAGTACGTTGGCACAGGACACAAGACCCAGCACGTACCATTCTCGAAATGCGTTTACACTCTCCTGCAAACTCCCTCGGGTTTCATACTTCGGGTAGACGAGTGTCACCACAGTAATGGAGGGAAGTTTGCGACTAAGGAGCCCTTTGGTATGCTGCGGGAATTTGCCGAATGTATCATCGCCGCCCTGAGTGTGCAAAAACCCCCATATTGTTAGCCAGCTTCAATCAGAAATCGGGGTAGTTCGCCGGAGAAATCGGTGAGTCTCCAGCTTGAGATCTCGACCTCATCAGATGGGTGGAGGTGTACGGCTGTCGTACCTTGAACCCGTGGATGAACACCAATAGTAGAGTCTTTTTCATCTTTAAAGATGAATATGTTGCTCGACCAGCTGTTTTGGACGTTGTTGTTGCCTGCAAGGAAGCAGCATTTCTGATGATCCGATCCCCACGTGAGCTCTTAGGCATTTGTCTTACGTCACTGGATTCGGGTCTAGATCGTCCTTGGCATTATTCTGTTTGCTCCGGGGTAGATTTACCAGTTGATTCACAGATCCTACAACTCTTTTATCGACGCTCGCTGGCTAAACCAACCCAGTGTCATCTGGTATATACAAATAAATACAATTTTTCCTTTCTCTGGGCATTCTTCCGTTTGTCAGGAATCTCACGATTGGTTTTCATTAAGAAGGCTCAACACTATCCGGCATCATGGTTCCCAATTCCACTCTATACGTCCATTTTCCTGGGCCCTGCTGCGGCGGAAGTTTATCTATATTATCCCGTGTTATTTTATACCTGAGGTATGACCCTTTACGATAATCTATCCAACTTTCTTCGCGGTCTATCTCCCAAATCTTGGAGGAACTGAAGGCGTTTGTCGAGGATGGAGGGGCGGGCGTTTCTGATCTTAGAGTAAGTAGATTGAATATTGCTCAGGTTTCTCAGTTGTTATTCAATACTGACACTTGCAACCCCAGTACTCTATTCCTAGAACGTGAGACATGACTACCGACAAGGCCATGGCAACCGCAGCATACACAGGTGAACTACAGCAACATCTGATCAGTAACCAGTTATACCCAGAGAAGCGTGTGTATCTGAGCAGGTCACCACTTCTATTGCCGGCCAACTTGGGTGATATTCCTATGATGTTCTTCACTTTACGTTCCTCGGTCCACTCGTCAAGCTCTTTAAAGGTCGACTTTGATGCCTTCTGCCTGGTGAATAGTAGAGCTGCCGATGATACTTTTAATTAAGGGCAACTACAGCCACATGGACGAATTTATAAGGTGTCCATTACAAAATATATCCCAAATCACGAATGAAGTGCTACGGCCAGTCAAGCCAGATCGGTTCTACGGCGCGAACGGTGATACCCTTGACAAAACAGTCTGCTAGGAGCTGAGAAGCTGTATCAAACCGGCAAAACACGAATCTCTCCCAATCGTGCTGCCGAATTTTACCCTTGAAGACAATCGCCCTAACGAGAGTCTCGTTAAACTGGATTGGCAAACGTGCCATCATGGTATACTTGGATCCGGCGCAAATGCATAGTATCAAGAAATATCGGCAGGGTATACCGACGTATGATAATAGCGGCTACATAGTTTCGTTAATTATCACTCACGCAAGGGACAAGCGATGCCGGTTACGGGCTATTGAAATTAACAATCGATGCCAGAGATTTTCGAAGGGAGTTACGGCATACCGTAACGTCTGCGAGTGGGCCAAGGAGAAGCGAGACAGGTTCATAAACCAAGCGAAAGCGAGAATTTCGCAAGCCTAGGCCAACCTGCAAATGCACCCTTGTGGTGAAAAGGATCAAGCTGGGCAAGACCTTGTGGCGGTTGAAAACGGCGAAGAAGAGCCAGCAGTTCAGTACAGTCCTCTGCCTGATGAACCGCCTTCTTTTTCTCTGGTAGAAGATGTCAAAGAGCAAGAAGTTCAACCCAATTCTCTGGATGGATCATCTTCTCTGCCTTGACTTTATTTGTTCTAAAATTTCGAAGAAGAGCAACTACTTCTTTTATGTAAATTTCTCCTCTGAATGAGCAACTGGTTGAAAGAATAATCTCGTTTGTGATTTTCTGTACGTTGGATTTCGGATATCATAGATTCCACAGATTTCAATTCTCGAACTCCAACCTGATTTCAAATAATGTGAGTGATCACTCATACGTATCGTCCACGGAATTTATTATATTTTAGCATAAATCAGTCTTACATACCGAATTCTTCTATTAAATTTGCGAGTTGGTAAGTAGAAGACACGGGATGTTAGAGTAATCGCAACAGCCTCGGCATCTTCCCGCCTCCACATCGATGACAACCGAAGTTCAGACTAAGACATCATCAACTCTCCTTCAACTTATAAGCATATCAGAACCCTCCAAAGATTTCATTCCAGTTTATATATATATTAATTATTGTACAAATATATATAATCCATCATGTCCTCCAAAGAGATCTACAACGTGGTCAAACTCGTCCCCAAGCCGGGCAAATTCAATGAGGTATATATATCACCCGCAAACATTACTGACATCAACATTTAAACACCTATTAACACAAACCAATAAAAATTGAAGGTCGCCGAAGCGTTCAAGACCCTCTCCAAATACGTCCAGGAAAACGAACCCAAGACCCAGATCTACTTTGCGCTTCAACCGCAGGGGACCGAGGAATTTGTCCTTGTTGAAAAGTGAGAGAAACATCCTCCCTTGTGTAGACTCGGTCAATCAGTTCTATTGCTAATATTGGTGTTTAGATACACTGATTCGCAGAATTTGAAGGAGCATGCGTCTACTACGCCGTTTAAGCAGTTTTCTAAGGCCATTGGGGGCTTGCTAGCTCAGGCGCCGGAGATCAAAAGGGCGGCGTTTGTTGCTGGGTTTGATGGGAGGTCGAAGCTTTGAAGGGCGGTCGTGCTTTCGCCGATGGGGTCTTTAGAGTAGGTAAATAAGGGTTCCTATGGAAGCTAAGATAGGTGGCGAATGCGCTAGGAGCTTGAACCTGGTCTTGGTTATATTTATATTTGACGGATCCTATACATGCAGATGTCGATATATTAAGATTTTGAGTAACTCTCCATTATGTACAGTCTTCAGCTGAAGGAAAAGCAAAAGGCAAGGATATTGAACATCTGTCACATCAAAGCAATGAGAGTCGTCATTAAGAGAAGAGAGGGTAAAAGTACATCGTCCATGGATATTGTAAGAAGGAAACGCAAGACCGTGGCACAAGAAGCCTGCCCAACCACGATAAAAAAAAAAACAAAAAAAAAAGGGATGTTATACACCATGAATCAACAACGATCTATCCATATATGCTAAAACCCCAAAAATAACGGGATTGAATCACTTTTGCTTCTCTTCCTCGGACTTCTGCTCTTGCTTCTGCTCGCTCGGCGCTCCCTCCGCCTCGGCCTTCTGCGCCGGAGAAGGAGACTGCGCGTCGGTGTCCTTCTTTTTAGACGCAGAGCTAGACTCGTGGTTGTTTTCGTAGAGAGACTGGTGCTTTTTCTTCATCCTATCCTCCTCAGCAGCAACCATCTCCTTCCAAAGGTCACCCTGACCTTGCTCGCCGTGTTCTGCCTTCGTCTTCGAATCCGCTACAGCGCCAGCAGCGGTAGCGCCAGCAGCCGCGCCCTCGGATTTAGCATCCAGTTCCCTTCTTACTCTGCGCCTCTCCGAAATCTCAAACGCCGCACTAGCAACGAGCACAGCAAGCGTCAGACCCTGGGCGTAAACACGAGCCTGCACCAACTTCTGCTGTCCCGATAGATAAGGGTTACGTCCGACGAGGGCAAAGCTACCAATCATGGAAGCAAGCCACGTAGTACCGACGATTGTGTATCGCTCCTGTCGAGCCCACGCAAGGGCACGATCGCCGAAGCTCATACCCTGCAGCCCCTCTGCATGCATCTGTTCCTTACGGTTCTCGTACCATAGGCGGGACTGGTTCTGGGACATTTCGAAGGCGCGCGAGGACCGGTCAGCCGCAATGATACCGACGAATGTTCCGGATGATGTGACGAGGAAGGCCTTCATGGGGAGTGTGAGGTTGCGGACTGTAGAGTAGCGGCGGGTAGCGAGCATGACACCTGCATAACCACCAACTAGACCGAGGGCCGTACCGAAGGAGCCGCCCTTGACGACTTGTCTGCGATTGGATCTTGGTTAGAATTGGTTCTTTGCTGCTTGAATTGAGAGCTGGGTAGGGTTGGTGGGCGCACCGGTAGTGGGCGTCCTCTTCTTCCTTGGTAAGGAGCTTCATGTTGTGTGAGCGGTGTTTGAAGATATGTACAGAGGTCTGTTTAAAGCAGTGGTGGGGAGTGCAGAAGCCAAGCTTAGTACAATTGGAAGCTTTATAGGGAGAGGGATTGCAAGAATTTTGATGTCCGGATGACGAGAGAAGGGAGATATCGGGTGGAGCAAAGCCCGGTGACGTTCACAGTCGCGGAGCCGTCCAGTGAGAGCGCGCGGGATCTGCCGGTGCAAACTCGGGCTTTGTCCCGGTCGTACGATGCCGACCAAACGCCGCTGCCGTGTTTTCCAGGCGCCACTGCCCGCATTCAACTCGTCGCTACTGTTTAGGAAATGGTACGCAGCTAATGGTAGACTCCGAATTATTGTTCAATTCGCTTTGCTTATTTACTGCCCTGGAGGCCTTTAATTAGTGCTTTGGTGTCCCGCCGAGCGCCCGATACAAAAATAAAGCTAAGTTACAAGCAAATGCGACCCGAAGCCAAGAAAGCTACCGTCGCGTGCCACTGCCCTTCGCCGCTGCGATCTGGCGCGCCCGCATTCTACGGAATCGATCTTCTCCACTCGCTCCTAGCGGTCGCGCAAACTTGCTTTCTTGCACCATTGTCGGTCTCGGAACAACGGTGTAGCTGGTATGTGAAATTTCAGCACGCGCACGGTTCGCCAGGCGCGGAGGGAGCAGCTCGCGGGCGCGCGCCTCAGCAGTATTCTCCTGAACGGTCTTGACACGCGATGTGATTTTGCTATATTGAGTCAGTTATGAGATCGAGCAGAATAAGGGAGGTGAACATACGTAGGATCGAAGTCTGCTTCTTGGTATACTCGCTTGGAGTAGTCGTCGCTGCGCTGGAGAATGGGTCGCGTCCACTCAGCGAGCATTCGCTCGGCCATGCGCTTGATGCCAGGCTCTGGGCGCTTGCTCCGGGTGTAGAACACCACCACCTTACCGATACCGCTGGCAATCAATGTTTCCTTGTTGATCGGGAGTTTGCCCAACGCAGTCAACAGATCACGTTGGATATTGTAGGCCGGGAGGGATCCGTCGTCTAGTGGCTCGAGGAAGAACTTGACAGCCTCCAGCAGGTTGATTTCCGGGTCGACCAAGCTGTTAACATATTGGTTGCGGTTCAGAAGCGACACAACCTCAGGAAGCATCTTGAGCTTGTGCATAGCTGGTTTGCCTTCACGTCGGTTGATGGCATCCATCTGCGCCGCGTGGGTCATGCGCTTGCGCATATCCTCAATCTCGGCATCTGCCATTTGTTCCAAATCCTATTCATGTTAGCCATTGTAACCCAGAGCAAATGATCGGTGTATGGCATACAATTCCATCCTGCTTCCTAGCCCTTCTCTTCGTTGGCTTCTTCATCGCCTCATCCATAGCACGGTCAAGAGCTCTCCGTCGACCTGTGTACTGTTAGCGCTTTGCCCAAAACTATTCATCGTCGCAAACGGCACAAAAAACATACGCGTAGCAGGATCAAGTGTCTCGTCATCCTCCTCAACCTCGACCTTCTTGGGCTTCCTTCGCCTCCCTCCAGCTTCGCCATCACTTCCACCCTCTTCATCTTCCGCATGCCGTCGGCTCTTCTTCCGTCGCCCTTCTTTCTTCCGTCTAGATGACCCCTCTTCATCCCCTGTCCTCTTTCTCTTGTGTCGCCCGATAAGTTTCAAATTCTCTTCATCGATATCCAATTGCGGGCGGTCTTCAATATCCAAATTCTCGGGATCGAAGTCCTCGAACTGCGCCTCGTCTACTTCGGAGAGAATGGACTCGTCATCTGAGCCGACGAGATCATGCTCGTCGACCTCGTTCCCGTTTTCGTCGACCCCCTTGTCTTCAACAGGTTTGGCATCGCTGTCATTGGCATCAGCCTCGTCGCCTGCGCCTGGAGTTGGTGGCTGCACGGTCTCTTCTGCATCTTGCTTCGATTCGATCGGCGGCGTGGTCGCCGTAGCGGTTGGCTCTGGACTTGCGGACATGATTAAAATGCCGGTTCGAGTGGCTTGTGTGTTATTCGGGTGTTAGGGATGAAAGGGCGAAAGGAGAGATAGACGGCAACCGTCAAACGGCCGAGTAGGATCAGGACCAGCCTCCGAAGTCAAACCACGCAATAGAGGAGGGGGGAAAGAAATCAGGTAAATAAATAAATAAAATGCAAGAAGCAAATTGAGACTCAGGAAGAGATGTTACAGACCAGAAAGAGCAGTGGCAGGAGGATGGATGAAAGAACCAAGGTCAGAATCGCATCGGGAAGCTCGGCGGTGATGGATGGCAGAATCTGCCCAGCTCGACTTTTCGTTCACTTGTGAGCTACAACCTTTGAGAATCAATAACATCTTCAATAACTACACTGCCTTTCTCTCTTTCATTCCATATTTTATTTTCAAAAAATAACACAAGATGTTCGCCCCAGGTATGTCCTTGCTGATCCACCTATGTTTCTTACCTCCGCTAACCCACGCGTAACAGGAGCCGAGCCCTCTAAGGAGGAAATCAAGGTACATACAGACTGTTCCAACCCAAAGCGAAAGCGAAATCGAATTATACAGGGCTATATTGAACAAACGCTAACTCGGTATTATCATCTAGGCTGGCGAGGCCCAGGCTAACCAGACCGTCCGCATGGCCATCACTAGCGGAGTCCTCCTCTACCTCTGTACGTCACCTATGCACCCTCAACCCGAAAAAAAAAACACGCAGCATCCAACCCCCAGCATCGAAGCTAACCGCTTATATCCCAAATAGCCCCTTTCGCCATTGACTTCGTCCAGAAGTTCCTGTAATACTACCACCCACCCACATACATACACACTGGTCGATGTGATGTGACGAGACGAGGCGAGACGTGAATGGAGAAGAGAACTGAACTGAGCATTTCGGCGCATCTGATCTCTTGACTTGGCTTGTTTTGGGCCTGGCAATTCAGGAATGATGTATTATTATTGTACATTCGTATTCGATTTTCTTGTCTAGTGATAAATTCAGAGGTGGTTTCATAGCTTCCCCCAATGAAATGACAAATGACATAAACTCCATGCTCCGAATAGTGTAGCCAGGCGTGCATCAACTGTAACCAAACCAAAAGCACGAAGCGAGCCGCGGTGTGCAGAAGAGAAGAACGGGAATATATTGATAGAGTCAGGGTTAGTTAAGCGACTTTGTCGCTTCCTCGAAGTCCTTTTTCACGGACTCCATCTCCTTCTGCAGATGCTGGATCTGGGCGTGGTAGTCGTCCAATACCTGCGAGAGTACACATTAGCGTTATGAAAATCGAACGACACGGAAATATAGCGAAAGACGGTACCTTCTTAGCTATCTTCATCGTATTCTCATCCAAGTCATCCTCCGTCTGCGCCGCAGCGCCAGCACCGGCCCGTTCCATTTCCGTCTGTAGTCGTTTGGAGTGTTCCCGGATTGCCAGCATACGAGCCCAGATCTCCTCACCGCGGCCGTTGAGCGAGGGGTCGAACACAGACCGCTCCAGTTGCGCAAGCTTCTTCTTCAACTCCTCCTCGGCGTCATCCATCGCGTATCCCCTGTTACGGAGGACCTGTGTTTTGGCAGCGAGTGCTAGGCATCGCTTGCTGAGGACCAGATGTTTCCGGCGGCAGTCAGCGATCTTGACTGAAATCTTCAGGTCGTGCCGAGAAAGTAGCTCCGTTAAGCAGTTATTGATCTCATGCAGGCGTTGTTGTATCAGGGTCAAAAAGTCTTTCTGTCGCTGTGCGCGCTTGCCGAGTTCCCAGAATCCGTGCACTAGAACAGGGACATAGCCTGAGTCTGGTCGACTCCGTAGCGCATCCTCCCATTTTGTCTCATCGTCCTGTGGGCCCGGTTGGTAAAAGGGTGCATTGTCCTCTCCAACGTTATTGTACAGGTACGTCCGGAATGGAGAAGCCCGATTGCTGTGATCCCACTTGTCTTTGATGATAGTCATCTGCATTGGAACTGTCCGGTGCACACCCGTCACCGCGCGCCCTGGGGACCACAGACTCGATCCCTGGGGTTGCGTCGACTGTCCCAGCTGCGGTTGCTGCTGTTGGCCCTGCTGTTGGCCACCACCCAGTAAAGAACCACCACCGCCGAAGAGGCTCTGCTGTTGTTGCGGCTGTTGTTGTTGCTGCTGTGTCTGGCCGAGTCCTCCGAAAAGACTTCCCTGCTGTTGCGGCTGTTGCTGTTGTTGCGTTCCACCTAGACTACCACCAAACAAGCCCCCCGCAGGCTTCTCCTGTCCCTGTCCACCACCCAATGGTCCTCCAAACAGGCCTGTCCCAGTCTGTTGCTGCTGCTGCGGTTGCTGCGGTTGCGTTTGTCCGAAGAGCGGCTTCTGCTGTGTAGTCGACCCAAAAAGTCCACCACCTTGCTGCGGCTGTGGTGTCGTGGTCGACGAGCCAAAGAGACCACCTCCCCCTGTATTTGGCTGCTGCTGCTGCTGTTGTGTTCCCGTGGTCGTACCTCCGCCGAACAGGCTCCCTGTCCCCGTTCCTGTTCCCGTTGTCCCACCGCCGCCAAAGGGGCTGGATTTACCCGCGTTCGAAAAGAGCGACAGAGATTGGCCGGGCGTTTGTTGACCTCCGAAGAGCGACATATTGGATGGATGTAGCTAAGCTGATGTAGCTAAGCTGATGCGCTCAAGCAGAATTGCTATTTCGGTGGGTTGCGTTGGTAACGAAGGAGCAGCGGAAGACCGAACGAGAGAGCTCGAAAAATATGAAACAAAGCCGAAAATCAACGAAGCGCGTAATTGAGTTTCCTTTAAATCTGCAGCCGCAACGTCTCAGCGCCGCATCACCTGGAGGACAGGAATCAGAAATCGCAGCGTCTTGCGAGATAAATGCTTAGCTTGGGCCGACTAGTAGATACTTCTTCCTATCGGCGGCAGCTGTTGTGTTTTGGCAGGTGTCACGTGAAGCCGAATCCACCTCGCACAGCTCCAGGTAAGAATAAACACCTCAGGCATCAATTGTCTTAGTCCCGTGACTTCTAGGACAGCGACAACCCGAGTCAGCCAATCAGCGCATAGCAAAAACCGATGTCCCAATCCCGCTCTGTCCGCAACTCAAGCTCCCCCAAGCCCTCCTTCCAGTGTATAGAGCCACGCATCGATCATTGACCCGCGTATTCCACTAAAAATCACTCACAATGTCGCGGAGAGACCCTCAGTATGATTCCCTATCCCCAATTCCTCGCTCCGAGGTCTGTTTCCGACGCTCGCGCGGTGTCTAACGTGCTCCAAATTACAGGTTTAACCAACAAAACCTCTACGACCCGACGCCTATGCCCGATGGCGTCCCTAAGGTTGCCGAGATTGGAGCTACCTCTGCGCCGCTGACCAGCGCTGCTTACTTCATTGGAGACCGGTGCAAGGCGTTCAACGATGACTACATGAAGTGCAAGGAAGAGTCGAACGGGCGGGGAGAGGTCGACTGTCTCAAGGAGGGCAGGAAGGTGACCCGCTGTGCGGCCAGTGTGTACGTTTTTCACTTGTTGGTTTTGCTTCGACATGAGGATATAGAATGTATGGTTATTTGGCTGCGCGGATGCTAACCACAGACGGCACCTCTACAGTATCAAGGATATCAACACGCACTGTCTCCAGCAATTCAACACTCACTGGCAGTGCCTGGAGAACAACAACCACCGACTATGGGAATGCCGCAAGGATGAGATGGATTTGAACAAGTGTGTTTTTGACAAGCTGGTACGTTATTCACTGCTACATACCTGCCACTGGCCGCAATGGCTTGTTCTGGCCGATACACATATTATACGATCTGTCGATTCAGAAACCAACCTAACACGTCCGCGCAAAACCAGGGCCTCAAGAAGACTATCCCCGGAACCCCCGAAAACGTGACACCCGTGCATCTCCGTCCTAAGCAGCTGTATGCTTCTTTCCCCGGACCGCAATATTAAACAACCCCTGCAATGTAAAACGTCTTGTTATAATTAGAGAGAATAAATGCAGTGCCAATGGTTGTTGTGGGTCTCCTGTGTCGTTTATTAGTTTTGCTGTTATCAGTCTCGTGTCATGGTCTGGATTTGATCGGGATGTGTTTATGTACATATTAGCATCAGGAATGTCGTTTTTCTTTTTTATGTGTGAAAACTAATGTCAGGCGGATATGATAATATCATGAATCTGACTGAGTATCTGAATCTAAGCTAGAATACAGAAGGGCACCCTCTACCCGATACCATGGACAAAGGAGAGGTAAGAGAGACAAAAGGCACAAGCAACCAGAAACGACCCGTGCAGATTATCAATGAGACTCGTTCACATGCAGAGATATGTAAAAAATCCAACGGGAAACATATAAAATATCCAAATGAGAACATGAAAAAGAAAGCCCTCTATTTAATATGTACTTGAACAGAATATACTACCAGTAGAGCGAAAAAGGCCAATGGGGGGACGTAAAAGAACAATGCTTCGGAGGTATGTTGATAAATAGCTGACGGGCGCCATAATAAGAAAATTCAAGGAAATGGTATATATACTTTCCTCATGCCTCTCAGAGCCTTCAAGCCCTTTAATCGGGTCTTCACGACGGACCACCCGGCCTTCAGCTGCTCCTCGAGCCGTGGATCCCGACGCAAGCGCATCCAGATCAACAACATCCCCAAGACAGCCAAGTCCCAGATGATCTGCCGGAGGGTCACCCAGACCAGCCATCGTAGCCAGGCCCAAACGCCTGATCTCCGACGGGCAGACAGGGCGCGTGCTTCCACCTGTTCGCGGGCGGCGGCAATCTCGGCGGTCATTTTGGTCAAGGCCTGCTCGACTCTGCGGCGCCATCGCCGGCTATCGACATCGTCTTTACTCTGGTGCATTAGCATGCCTCCTTGATATAGAACGTTTCCCTCCTCTGCGCTTGGGTCTGGAGTGTGGTGGTCATTACCGTTGGGGTTGCGGTTGCGGTTGCGAATGCGTTTCCGACTCCGATTTCCATCTGGGTCGTGATTTGTGTATCCATGCTCGTCGTCATCATCTTCAATGACGCCGCTTACTTCGTCTTCGTCCTCATCGTCTCCATAGAGATTGGCCTGGGCCTCGGCATACTCCTCCTCATCTTCGTCCTCGTCTAGATCTACATCGTCTTCGTCGTCAACTGTTTGATCCGACCCTTGTTCGCGATCGTAGTTCTTTCGCGCTGCACGCCGTTGATAAATCTCGTCAGGCTGACTGACAGGACTTAATACACGCAGGCGAGAGTCCCCGCGCGCCGTTGACGCTAGATATTGATACTCTGGGTGTTGCGCTAACTGGGCACCGATACTCCCATATGATGACTGCGGCTGTGGTATTGGAGAAAACCCAGTTGATTGTACAGGGCTCGACGCCGCCGTGGAGGAAGACATATTTGATTTGACCTGATCCCAGACGAATTCAAGTTCAGACACGAGTTCGCGCGCTTCGGCAGTTTGTGAAGCGTACGTGTGCATCGTGTCAACAAGGGTTGAGATGTATCGCCGTTTGGCCTCTGTGCGAGATATACCGCGTTGAGCGAACCAGGCATCCCTGGTAACGGTTATCAAATGATACTTTGTGATTTATAAAGTCGAGAGAAAGCAGGGGCGTACCATTTCTCACATTCCATATAAACATCCGCTGTATTCCCGACAGGTCGGTCCATTACCCCTTCGACATCCCCCTCTGTAGAACCCACGTCAGCTCATGATTCTCCTAGGTCGAAGACCGACCCAAATAATGATAAATCTGGAAATTCCATACCCATGCTTTGCTTGTATAATCCATAGAGTTTCAGCCGCTCCGTGGCCGGCGGCCGCGCGGTTCCGGTTCGAGGGATGCGTTTGACGGTGTTGAGGGCATGGACGAAGACTCGATCTATAAATCATCACTTAGGCCTTATTCCCCAATATTATGTAGAAAAAAGAGAAATAAAATAAAGGGGTCACGCACCCACGGAGTCCGACATGGTGTGAATTAGAAAGGCTCGGGATTGAGCTCGTGCTTCATCAGAGCGGGATTGCGCATCGATGTGGGCGCGACACTCTCATGGAGATCCGTCAGGAAGATTATGTACACGATAACACGGAATATAGTGACAGAGAAGAGCAAGGCGTTCGATCAAATATAGGCAGGCCCCCGTTCGGCTTCCCCAGACTTGGCTTGTCTTGCGGTTTGAGGTTCGGCGGAGACGGGAGAAAGAGGGGGAGCGATCCACGAGAATGCCGGGGGAAGATGGTGAATTCGTCGAATCTCGAACTGAATATGAGGGTGGAGCGGGAGTCGGATTCCAGTTCAGACGCGAAATGAGGCGTTGGAGCGAGTGGTGATGACTGATAGGAGCGTTGTTGATTGATTTGGCAGGCTGTTGGGTCGCTCGATCAGTTGAACCGCGGTTCTCGGAGGTCTCTGGGCTGCCCTTCTTCCCCCTGTGATTGTCATGTCCCGAGCCAATTTGACAAGCAAATTCTGGGGTAATGGCTTCTGTTTTTTTATTTATGATTATATTAATCGATTCTTTTACTCATTGAATAACTTAAAGTGTTGTTGTAATTAATTTACACTGCACAATGCCTCTTAGCAGGCTTCCGCAAACTATCGTTTTTCCTCGACCAGCCCAGAACTCGCCTGCTCCGGATCCACTGCTGGCTTCCCCGGGACAACCCCAGGTGTATCTTCAAGCTGATCCATGGGGACCGGCGGGCCAGTGAAGTGCTTCCGCGCATACGCAAAGTACCAGGTGACACTAATAGTCGCGAAGCCTGCAAACACCACGCTCGCATAGTTCATCGAGGCTGCATCGACAGGAAGTGAGACCGGCATGCAGAACAACACCACAGCTAGGCAAATCCACAAGATGGTCAAGATATTGATGGCGTATCCGAACCGACCGAGCGAAAAGCCGGAGTTCTTGAGGGCCTTTCGGCCACGGATCACAGAGATGAGAATCGGGAGCCCGTACGACGTGGAGAGGCAGATAGTGGCAACGCCAGTAAAGGAGTTGAATGCTGCGGTTGAACCGAAGTAGATCAGGCCGAGCAGGGAGATGACTGTTGTTGAGAGGATGATTGCCCATACAGGGACGTCTAGTCTCTTATTGACTTTCCTCCACAGTCGGAATCCGGGGATGGCACCATCACGCGCAAAAGCGTATGTGCAGCGGCTAGCCGCTGTTAGGGAGCCGATACCCGCGAACATCATGATGCCTAGGATTAGGAAGAGTAGGCCGAACCCGCCTCCTGCTGAGCCCGTCACGGACTTGAAAATCAGACCGACCGGCTGTCCACTCTTGACGTTAAGAAGCATCTTCACATCCGGCAGCACAAACAGGATTGGAATCAAGTAAACCAGTCCAGTAATACCAGCAGCCACCACGGATAGGACAATTGCTTTCGGAACCTCACGCTCGGGGTTCTGGACCTCCTCACTCATCGCAGCCACCATACCATAGCCAGTCAAGGTATATGCGGCCTGCAGTAATCCAACGAAGAAAGCCCACCCAGATGGCCTAGTATCTGTTAGCAAACCCCATCCCAGCGATCAGATATATACTCCCAGAGAGCAAGTAAGATAACACATACCATCCACTCTCACTCGCATCATAGTGCCCAAAAACGAACTCTCCGCTCCTCCTATCATCCGCCATAGTCAACAACACCACCAAAATAACAAGCACACTGGACGCTGTCCAAAAGATACAAACTTTGTTAATGAGATCCAACCATCTCGCACAAAACACATTAATCAGCGCACAGGCCCAAATCACCGCCCAAAACATGAGAATGGTCTGCCATTCATTCGCAACAAACGATTCATCCCACAGCGAAATCGCACTCAGGATCAACTGCGCCCCGCCAAAAGTAATACTCAGTGTCACTGTCCAGTTTCCGACAAGGGTCAACCACCCGTCGATGAACGACATCATCGGCGCCCATTCTTTCGTCGATAGCATCGCGCTCCAGTAGTATACGCCGCCGGCGGTTGGGTAGACGGCGCAAATCTCCGCGAGGGACGCGGCGATTGCGATTGAGATTAGGGTCACGAGGACCCAGCCCCAGAGGACGGAGACAGATTGGCCGTCTGTTAGGGTGATATAGAGGGTCGTACTGAGACCGTAGGGTGCGGCCATGATAGCGAAAGAGCTGTTTTTTTGCGTCTAATTAATCTGCTGTTCTCTATTCCTGGGGGTGGCTCTGTGGAACGGAAACGTACAGTCCGAGGATACTCAGCATGCTGAGATTGCGGGGAAGTTCGCTCTTGTAGCCCATACGGGCCAGGGCCTCGTCGGCGCTGGGGTCTTGAGGCATGATGGGCGGATAGAGTGAGAGACTTCAAGATGAGTATTATCAAAACATGAAGAAAGGAGAGATGGAACGCCTTTTGAAGCAATGGGAAGGCGATATGACGGCCGAGTAAGGAAAAAAGAGGCAAAGGAAATGCGGAGGTGGAACCTGAAGAGGGGAAGTCCATACGAGAACCGTGGACGATCAATGATTTTAGGCAATCTTCACGATTATCAACGTTGTATCGCGGTTGATCGCACTTCCACTACTCCAGTTTGGGCAATCGCTATCTTCAATGACGCTGTCAGCAAAGATAAACGCGGGCCACGCGATACCATTACATTCCCTTGCAGTAATGCGCCGATAAGCTGCAGACCTGCCGCCGAGAGGGACAGATTTATGTGGGCCGCAGTGCCAGACTGAACCATGGCGCACCCTCAAACATTAAATGGACATCAACAGCACTGCATTTTGGAGTAATCTACAGGGAATCAATTGTATATATTCATTTATTCATTCGTAGTTATCATTTCCAACATACATCACGGCGAATTGTCACTAAAAAGTGACGGCTGCCACATCTATCGGTCATCCACATCACTAGCGAGCACGTTGCAACATGCCAGTTCCTCTATGGACAAAGATGAGCGCCAATATAGAAGAAGAGAAGGGGAATAAGGGTCTTTGGGGGGTGGGGTAGCCAAAAGGGACATGAGGGGAGGGACGACAGGAGGGAGGTAAGAGGGAGGTAAGAGGAAGGAACAGCCAAGTAGCAACAGAGAACAATGGAAATTCGGGGGTATCAAAAAATGGGAAGGTGTATTGGCACATGAGAGACAATTCGTGATTTTCTTGTAGAACTGAGAAACACAAAAAACCACTGATCTTTCACCATCTCTGTTTTTGCTTTTAGTTGCTCTTTTTTTCCCATTTGGCGGCGAATGAGGGTTGTTTGGAAGTCGGCGAGGAAAAGAGGTCGTCGTGATAGTAAGAGGAAGAACCGAAAAGGGGCGGCGGTAGGTCCAAGTTCACTCGAAACCGGACAACACCCAGACATCCAGTCTTAGGCAAAAGGAGCGCACGCCTGCGGGCAAGGTGCCGTGTGGTGTAACGTGTCAGGCGGGCAGCGGCAGAGTCGTGGCTGCCATATGGCCGTAGGCTGTCCCTTCTCCCAACCGTTGTTTTTGTTGCCCATTCTCGAAAAGTCGAGTAGCTTTCGTGTGAAAGTGAAAAACAGAACACAGGGGATATATAACAAGTCCCTGAGCTGAACCATAACCGGTCTAGCTGGCGTCAACTGCATGATCATAGCGTGTCATGACTTGGGATCGCGAATGGAGAGATCCTGTGCGAAGAAACGAAGGACACAAAAATACAAACGCCCGTCATGCAGTCGTCAATCCTAATAATAAATCGTTACATGATGATGATGCAGTTACAGCAGCATGCAAATAAAGCATGAGCTTGTCTATGAGCAGTCACAAGTCAAGGGCTAAGAGCCCCGCAAAGGTCGTCGGGGTTGTCGAGGCCGAACCCGGCCATATCGACAGAGTGCAATGAGCCTGGCCCACCGCGACCCAAGGAGATATCAGAGGAAGCATAATCATGCTTCAGCCGTTCGTGAGGCCCAAAGAACGGTCGACTCTCTTCGTTGGGCGTATTCCCATCGCCGGCGGCCCACGGACCATGTTGCCAAAATCGAGTGTTGGCTTGTTGGTCACCAAACAGGTCATGATGGTCGTGATGAACTTCCGTGCCGTGGTTGGTAAAGTCATTTGGCGAGTGGAATCGCAAATGCGACCGGCTGAAATTTGAGCATGGTGAATCTGCCCGCAAAGGGAAGTCAAGACCTGATAGAGGCATGTCCTCTACCGTTGTTATGTCGATGGTCGGGTTTTCAGTTTGTTGGGCCAACGCTGAGGCGAGCCGGAGGTTCGAGGCGGAACTCTGGCGGCTATGAGGCGCCGAGCGCTCCATAGCTCGTTGCACGAAACTGCCACACGTTTTCAGAATCTTCTCTTGGTTCTCAGGGGAGAGGCTGGCGAAGTAATCGTTCGCTAATGAAGGCATGGGCAGTTCTGGCTCAGCACGCGTGAGACCATATGTCGTGCGAGCATATTCGGTGAACCCCGAGGGCATATCGTAAGGAGATTGATACACAGTGGGAGCCTGCTCACGCTGTTGCTCAAGATATGCATACTTCTGCGGTAGTTTGGCGACAGCTCCATTGGTCTTGTTTGCCGTTTCCTGCTTCACATTCTCCGATTCTTTCTTTTGAAGCACGTCTAGGCGGTCGCGGTGGCTGATGAGAGAGAACCGCAGCATTTGCAATAACCTTGTGACTTCCTCGGAGCGCATGTTCAGGGGTTGCATCGGCAGAAGTGTTCCATCGGGAGCACGGGACTGGACGCGTTGCTGAGCCATGGCAAGCTCCAATTTTTCGAGGCCATTGCTCGGTGGCACCGAGCCCATAGGCCCCAGGAGAGTGTCTACGACCAATTCCGTGCTGACAATGGTATACCCGGCGAAGACATTGGCATGATCGGTGATTTGGGCCAGTCGACGACGTGCAATGATCTCACGGACGCCGGCAAAACTATTGACGGGGAGGTGACTGTTGTTGGCGGTGATGGAGCCGTTCGTGTTCTGCTGCTGCTGCTGATGACTGTGTTGCTGCTGAGATTGAAGATGGGCTTTGGTGAGCTGCGGGTACGGAGCATGACGGGCAGATTGATTGGGAAGAGAGCGATAGGCTGACGGCATCGCAGAAGCAGCAACAGCAGCAGAGGTCGGAGCAGCGGGAGACGAGCGAGGAGGAGGGGCAAAAGGAGGGCGCTGCGGCAGCGATGGGCGGTTGGCAGCAGCAGCAGCAGCAGCGACAGCGACAGCGGAGGCGGTGGTGGTGGCGGCGGCAGAAGAAAGGAGGTGAGGATGAGGGGCAGTCAAAACATAAGGAGGCAGGCGCTGGTGGGGGTCAGAGGGGAGTCGGGCCATCACGGCGCCAAGGGACTTGACGCTGTCTAGGAAATTCGACCGCGGGTTGTGGATGGGCACGCTAGGGTTGTGCGTATATTGAGCCCTACACTCGGTCGATGACTGGCCCAAATAATACCAGATCTGTTCCATTTTGTCCAGGTTGACCTGCACCATTGGTGGGGCAGAAGGACGGTTAGTGCTGTCCACCGTCTCAAATTCGGCCCACTGGTACGGAGATCGCCCGTCGCCAAATGGATTCCCTGCCACAGGCAGTGCGGATTCCAATTCCCTCCGAGCTTCGGGCTTCCGGGCGAAATGCGCGGGAAGTGGTTTGATGCCTGTCGCCAGAGGGGCAAAGTTGCTCCTTCGTACAACGAGCATCCAGCGGTATGGTAACTCGATTACGTCCCTAAACCATGCACCAGTCAGCTTCATGGGATCCAAAATAGGAAAAAGGCAAACAAATCACCCCACCATTGAGAAGTATATGGCGGGGGGAGTTCTACTTACCCTCGTGGTAGCACCTTGACCAGCAAAGTGCGTTCCGTGGGTCGGTTCTCGAGAACCACCGCTCCGCTGATTTCCTTGTCGACCTGGAACTGCAAAAGATCGCCGATAACGAGGTGTCGAGCAGTCTCGATCAACTTACGGTCATTGTCTGGCGATTCGCTGCTAGCCATCCACGACGGTTTCTTCTGGCGGTGGTATTTGCACTTCAAGTCCACACTAGGCACAGAGTACTGGTTTCCATCGTCCGCCACAACAGTGACCGCGCCCTCTTCCACTTGTACTCCGGCTAGAAGCGCACAAGTGGCATGATAAGACCGTGTGCACTTGCCAAAGTTGCATTGGAAGCATGCCCCACGCACCTCACGACAGAAGAGGCACTTGAGACCCATGCGAGCCTTAGGAATATGATCAATATCGCACACAACCTCTTTGCCAGACTCGTCGCGAAGGACGCTAGTCTCTTCAGTGTACAAAGCACACCGCCGATGGACGTGAGATTTGCCATCCTCAGTGGGCAGCAAATCTTCATAGTCGAGATCATTGGGGCACAATAGACAAGGCATTTTCTTCGGGTAATCGACCTTCATGCGCTTGACCTTAGTCATATCGCCATCGAGCTTGCGTTTACGGCCACGAGTGGAAGTCTTTTCCGGCACACTGCGCGGAGGTGTGAGGAGATCAGAAGCACCCTCAACTGCATCGAGCTCGCTATCAAATTCGCCGTAGTATTCAGGTGTTGATTCGCCGCGAAGTTTACGCTCGATATCGTCCACATCAATCCAGACACTGTCGGACTCGCAGTTGCACTTTTTGGCGACCCGACCATAATCTAGCCACTTCTCGGTCGCAAAGTTAACGGACTCGGCGCAATTATATCCGAGGTTGTATCCAGAGTGGTATCCGTAAGGATATGTAATCACAAACTCGCCCTCATAGTGTACCATTTTGTTGACTGTGATGCCGTACTGAGACTTGAGGAGACTAGGCGAGACGAGGTAAGTCTTATGGCGGAGAAATTGGTCACAAGTCTTTGCATCGCTGGGCCAGATGCCTAAAGTTGCGGTTAGAACTGCTGCCTGTATCACACGGGTGGGCCGCTATATAAAATACTTACTCTTCATTGCCTGTTCAAACTTCGGGGCATCTTCTTGGGAGATACTATACCACTGCTTCGGAGCGCCAAAGTGGATATAGTTGATACTGTAGAGGTCCACATCCTCCAAATGCCACGCAAATGTCGCCTTCCACATGCCCAGGTATAAATATGCAGTGTTGACACCGGGGACTTTTTGCCCGATGACGTCGAGGAGATTCGGTAGCTTCGCAACGTTCCACGAGGTCGTATTTTCATCAAAGAGGGAGCCTGGCATATCTGCGCCATACATAGGGTTGTTGAACATAAGAGACTTCCAGTAAGCGGTTTCTAGCTCTTCGCATCGTTCGTAGGTGTAGTCTTGGTTATCATGAATGCGGTAATCGAAATCTTTGTACGCTTCCTCGTCAATGTGCTCGATGGTATCACCCTTGTTCTGCTTCCTTCGCGCAGTTACCGACTTGGGCTGTCGTCCTGTTGGTTTCGGCGCAGGCAGCGATTCACCGTCGCTGAGAGCTTCGGATTTCGCTTCAACGGGGTTCGATTCAGGTGAGACTGGCGTGGGCGGTCCTTCCTGTCTGATCTTATCCATACTGTCGTCCGCTGCGGGCTCTTCTTTGATTTTGACTGCCTCCTCCTTGACCTTCGCCTGGTTCGATCGCTTGGGTGGACGCCCAGGTCCTCGTTTTGGAGTGTCCGACCGCGAGGTCTGGGGCTTGGGAGCCGAAGGCGC